TTGAAAGGTGCAATTTAACATCAATATGTAATCCATCTATATGACACACCATTGTTTGGCACTCACCGAGAACAAGCAACAGAAAGCTGCACACTTTTTATGAGAGTTCAAAAACTGTTAAGAATTATTTCAGCGTCTCAACTAAACCTGGGTAAAATATATCAGTGCTATTTCACTAGTATTGCTCGAATGCATGAATTCTTGAGCTGAAGTGAGCTGGTGTAAATTATGTAATAGATGCTTCGAAGCAGCATTGGTATTCTAGTTTCGGGTTATTCTCGAACAAGTGAAATATAAATATTCCTTACCACAATCTTACTCATAATTTTATTTTATGCATGCAGACTGCGCACAATGGTTATGCTGATAATAATAATCCTTGCATTTGATATAATGCTTTTCACGTCTTCTAGACGTTTCAAAGTGCTTCACACAATATACTGTAAAATGGAATGACTATAGTTTGTGGGCGAAACGCGGCAGCCAATTGCGCACAGCAGTGTCCCACAAACAGTCGTGGATTGAGTGATCAGATTTTTTTAAAGAAGGAATTGTTACCCTCGGTAATGACAATAATAATAATAATAATTCTTGCATTTGATACAGTGCCTTATCACATCTTCGAGACATCTCAAAGCGCTTCACAGAATATACACTAAAGCGAGTTGACTGCATATTTGTGGGAGAAACGTGACAGCCAATTGCCCGCAGAATGACACAGTATGATGGCGCATACTGCATAGTTATTGCGTTTTAGTTTGGTCCAGGGATAGTTCAATTAATTCCTTACTTTCTCTTCACATTTTGTGAATGAAGGTGGGTCCACTTAGACTACAGCATTGGAGTGACAGCTTAGCCGATGTGATTCCAAATCCCAAATCCTTCTGACTCAGAGGCGAGAGTGCTACCACTGTGCCGGGCTGACACACAGAATAAAAATGAAAGTCCTTATAGTTAAAGCAAAAATGTTCTTCCAGATCAGAGATTTCAGCTCAGCAGTAGACACATTGTCCTTGCAAATCTGACCAGCTTCTTTTTTTCTCTCCCTTGCAGCCAGACACGGCACATCCTGTTGTGTTTCTGTCTCAAATGGCCTCTTGCTTTTTCAGTGCAGTGCAGACTCACACACAACTCAGCCACTTGCTAATCTTCCAGAATGAATCCATTAGTGCTAATGTGATTCAGGGAAGCAGTAGATCGAGATCTACAGAATGGCAAGACACAGGGGATATTTATAGTATTATAAATGCAAATCCCTTTCAAGAACAAGATGAGAAATGGAGTTAAGAGGAGTCCTGTAGCTTAGTGGTTAGAGCACTCGCAAGCAAGAGGACCTGGGTTTGATTCCCGGGCTGGGCAAAACACGCCTCTGTTTACCTGACAGTAAGTAGTAACCTGGTTGTTAGTTGATTGGCAGATTGCTTTTCCGGAGTAATAATCTCTTCAAAAAAAATAATAATAATTTGGTCACTCAATCCACGATTATTTGTGGGACACCGCTGTGCACAATTGGCTGCCGCTTTTCGCTCACAAAATATACAGTCAATTCACCTTACAGTGTATTCTGTGAAGCGCTTTGAGATGTCTTGAAGACATGATAAAGCACTATATCAAATGTAAGGATTATTAAAAGTGGAAATGTGCAATTGTTGAAAAGGAATGCGTACCTTGTATGCAATCAAAAAGACCTTCATTGTACATAACAGAATTATATTCGCCAATGAGTAAAAGATCTTCCGAATTCCCATTTACAGCAGGGAACAAGATTCATTCTGCAAGAGCGAGTCGATGGAGATTTGTTCATTCCTCTTTTCATTCATTGTGTAGAGTAGGAGCAACAAAGTGGCTAGCTTTAGCATAGGCATTGAAGATTTTCATGTTGGCAGGAAATGTTCGCAGTAACGCTACCACATCAGCATATACAAATGCACCTCTCTTTATGCAAGCCAACTGTTATATGAACTTCAATTCACCTAAAATAAGTCCCATGGCCTTCAGGACAAGCTGTGAAACAAATTCAAGGAAAATGCATATACTGTTATCTCTGCATATATTTTAAAAGTATTGCATTACACCTTTATATTGAATATTACTATAGTTGGCATATGTGATATATTATTAAAGTCATATTGGTTATCCAAAAAAATACAATTTAATCACCAGTTTACTAATTAACATGATGTTGCTGTTTAGGCTCTTCTGCCAAAACACGTCTCCTTTTCTGAAGTTGGCAATGCTAAGAGGGAAACAAAAGTTCAGCAGGTCTCATTAATATTACTGCCAATTCAGAAGCTGCAGAGAATTACGGAAATGTAGAAGACTGTCTCGTCTTTCAAGCCTTTGAGCATTTAAAACGTATTTGACTGTTACATTTGTACTGAAAGGACTCAATCTCTCCATTGGAATCACTGTGGTTAACACTGTGGGTCTGTTCTCCTCAGTGAGTTTCCTTATATCCTCCATTACTGTTGCAGCAGAAGATTAAATCACAGCTGGAACCATAGATGTCCTCAAATCCTGCTTGTGCTGTGTTGCGCTACTATTCATGATGTTTCTGATAGATCTACTGTTGCTGTAATTTTTCAATGTGAAATGGAAAAGATATTTAGAGGAGGTCTAGTCGTGAACAAAGTATACAAATTATTAATGCCAACACATTGTATTAATTTCTACAGATTATTATTTATGCACTCCACGCCTGTATTTCATGAAACAAGGAGACACGATTTTTGTCAACTAAAATGGTTCAAGGTTATTCGTTTTAGGGGTAGATACATTGAGGGAATCGGTAAGAAATGTCATGGGAATGACAGGCTGATGATCTACTCAAGCCTGAAATTGTTGCTGCTTTTGCTATTATGTTGGGAGCAATATTGCAACGCTTGGCGATTTGAGGGAGAAATGTTAAATTACAGAATAGGATTACACCTACCACTCCAAACCCATTTGGGTATTATCACTTGCTGGTTTGGGAATGGATTGATTGCAAGGAGCTCATGGCAGTCTCCAGTTGTTAAAAACCATGTGACTGTGGAAACTTAGAATGATATCATTCAGGTTGAACTCTAAACTAAGAGAGAGAAAGCGTTAAGGGAACTTGTGGTATTAAAAAGTGAATTGTTTTTGTATTTTAGTTCTTTTTATGGGCGTATGAAATTTACATTTTCCAGCGCCTTGGGACATCCTCCCGACGTGAAAGGCGCTATACAAATGTCATTTTGTATTTTTTTGTGTTGTATTTAATTTTTCCTTTGAAGCTCCTTGGTGCTTTATCATGTCTTTGAAACGTCTCAAAGTGCTGCAAAACTTCTTTACTCAAGAGAGTGGTGGGACTGTGGAACTTGCTTCCGCAAGGAATAGTCGAGGCGAATAGCAAAGAAGCATTTAAGGGGAAGCCAGATAAGTACACGAGGGAGAAAGGAAATAGAAGGTTATGCTGATCGGCTCAGTTGAGGAAGGGAAGAAGGAGACTCATGTGGAGCATAAATGCCAGCATAGACCAGTTGGGTCAAATGGCCTGTTTCTGTGCTGTATATTCTATGTAATTCTACATAAAACATTGACTGATCCAAAGTCAAGACTGCCTGGGCTGAGGGTACGCTCCCGTTTCGAAAACTTGAACCATTTTAACCAAACAGCCTTTGGGTAAAGACCAATTCCTAACTTCCCACCCCACCCGCTCAGGTCTTTTTTAATTCAGAAAGGCACATCATCCATTTAAGAATACTGCGGTCGGGTTGTAGAAATGACTTGTTAAAAGAACAATGGTGAATGCCTACCCAAGGTCCACCCCGCAGTCCCTCGGCCTCGCCCCCTCCCTCGCCTCCTTCAAGATCCGTCTCAAGACCCTCCTCTTCGACCATGCTATCTATCTCCCTGCTTCTCCCCCCCCCCCCCGCCCCATCCTCCACCTTCCCCCATCCCGACCTCCAGCTCGGGTCCGAAACTCTGTCTGTCCAGCGCCTTGGGACGTCCTCCCGACTAGAAACGCGCTGTACACCTGTAATTTTGTTGTTGTTGTTGTTGTCAAATCAACAAAATATTGCAGGGGGCGGAGTCGCTGCTGCTGGTGGGTATGAGAGGGGGGCGGAGTCTCTGCTGCTGGTGGGAATGAGAGGGGGCGGAGTCTCTGCTGCTGGTGGGAATGAGGGGGGCGGGGTCTCTGCTGCTGGTGGGTATGAGGGGGGGCGGGGTCTCTGCTGCTGGTGGGAATGACAGGGGGCGGAGTCTCTGCTGCTGGTGTGTGTGAGATGGGGCGGGGTCTCTGCTGCTGGTGGGAATGAGAGGGGGCGGAGTCTCTGCTGCTGGTGTGTGTGAGAGGGGGCGGGGTCTCTGCTGCTGGTGTGTGTGAGATGAGGGCGGGGTCTCTGCTGCTGGTGTGTGTGAGAGGGGGCGGGGTCTCTGCTGCTGGTGTGTGTGAGAGGGGGCGGGGTCTCTGCTGCTGGTGGGAATGAGGGGGGGGGGGTCTCTGCTGCTGGTGTGTGTGAGAGGGGGCGGGGTCTCTGCTGCTGGTGGGAATGGGAGGGGGCGGGGTCTCTGCTGCTGGTGTGTCTGAGAGGGGGCGGGGTCTCTGCTGCTGGTGTGTGAGAGAGGGGCGGGGTCTCTGCTGCTGGTGGGAATGGGAGGGGGCGGGGTCTCTGCTGCTGGTGTGTGAGAGAAGGGGCGGGGTCTCTGCTGCTGGTGTGAGAGAGGGGGCGGGGTCTCTGCTGCTGGTGTGTGAGAGAGGGGGCGGGGTCTCTGCTGCTGGTGTGTGTGAGAGGGGGCGGGGTCTCTGCTGCTGGTGTGAGAGAGGGGGCGGGGTCTCTGCTGCTGGTGGGAATGGAGGGGGCGGGGTCTCTGCTCATGACGCGTGAGAGTGGGCGGGGTCTCTGCTGCTGCCGGTGTGTGATTGACACCTCGGTTGAGCGAGCGCGCGCGCGCGTGTGTGTGTGTGTGTGTGTGCGTGTGTGAGGTTCCGCGCACGCGCACTGGCCTCGTGGGCCGCGCGCCGTCGGATTGTTCTGGAAGCTGTCGCTGCCCCTGTGGTGGCGGCGGCGGGAGGACGATGGCGGCCACTCGCTACCGACGCTTCCTCCGGCTGTGCGAGGAGTGGCCCATCGACAGGACCAAAAAGGGTCGCGACCTCGGCACTTTCCTCAGGCAGCGGGTGGCGCAGGTCTTCCGCGAGGGGGAGAGCACCCAGGTAACCCCCCGAGAGAGAGAGAGCCACACCGCCCAGGGGTTCAAAATCTACCCCCCCGGTCCCGGGCCTGAGTCCCTGACCAGAGGCCCGAGATCCACCCCACCCTCCCCCCCCCCCACACACACACATCCCTCCCTCATACCCCTCCCCACCCTCCCCACACACACACACACACATCCCTCCCTCATACCCCCCCTCCCTCACACACACCCCTCCCACACACACACATCCCTCCCTCATACCCCTCCCCACCCTCACACCCCCCCCCCCCCCACACACACACACACACACATCCCTCCCACATATCCCCCCCACCCTCACACACACACCCCTCCCTCACACCCCTCCCCACCTTCACACACACACCCTAATACACACCACACCCCTCACACCCCCCCCACCCTCACACGCCCCCCCCCACCCTCACACGCCCCCCCCCACCCTCACACGCCCCCCCCCACCCTCACACGCCCCCCCCCACCCTCACACGCCCCCCCCCACCCTCACACGCCCCCCCCCCACCCTCACACGCCCCCCCCCCACCCTCACACGCCCCCCCCACCCTCACACGCCCCCCCCCACCCTCACACGCCCCCCCCCACCCTCACACGCCCCCCCCACCCTCACACGCCCCCCACCCTCACACGCCCCCCCCACCCTCACACGCCCCCCCCCACCCTCACACCCCCCCCCCACCCTCACACACACACACCCCTCTCCCACACCCCTCCCCACCCTCACACCCCTCTCACACACACACACACCACACCCTCACACCCTAACCCCCACCCTCACACACACACCCCCCTCTCTCACACCCTCACACACACCACAGAGAGAGAGAGGGGGTGGGGGGAGCTGGGTTCAATTTCCCCCTCCCCCACGGGCGGGACAGGTCAGGGCCAAACGTAGGGCAAGTTTCCTTACTCGCTCCACACACGCAAGCAGGCGCGCGCACGCCTCCGTTTACCTAGCAGTAAATAGGAGCCCGCTTGTTGGTCGATTGGCGGATCACTTTTCCGGTGGAGGGGGGTGCGTGATAATAATCCCTTCAAACGATAATAATAATTATTTGGTCACTCAGTCCGCGACTGTGCAATTTGCAGCCGCGTTTCGCCCACACAACACACGCTCACTACGCTTGACAGTATATCCTGTGAAGCACTTTGAGACGTCTCGAAGACGTGATAAGGCGCCGCATCAAATGCAAGGATTATAATTCATATATATAATGCTTGTGTTTGTTATAATGCCTTATCACCTCGGTGAGACGTCTCAAAGCACTGCACAGGATATAATAATAATAATCCTTGCATTTGATATGGCGCTTTATCACATCATCGAGACGTCTCATCTCAAAGCACTTGCAGAATTATACAGTAAAGCAAATTCACTATATTTTGTGGGTGAAACAAATACAGTAAACCTCACATAAGTCACATCAAGCGACCATACATTTAATATGACTTATGCAAAGTATCAGTTATGTCATTCTTGGCTAGAATATAAACTCTTGAACAGGACTTGGGCAGATGTACGATTTAGGTGATTATACAATTGATACAGATCAGACTTATGTGAATTTTCCTGTATATTGTAAAATGTATTGACTGTATTTATGGGTGAAACACAGCAGCCACTTGCGCTTAGGAGTGTCCCACAAACAGTTTTGGATTGAATGAGTGATCAATTTTTTATATATATCACGTCTTCCTCATCAGTCGAACAGCCCAAGGCTGGACAGTCAAGGGTCTGCAGCCAAGCTGAGGGTTGGAGTCAAGAGAGGTGGAGGTGGGAGGAGGACCTCTTCCGGTCGAAGGAGCTCTTCCGGTCAAAGAGGAAGATCTTGAGACGGGCCTTGAAGGAGGTGAGGGAGGGGGTGAGGCGGAGGGGCTCCGGGATGGAGTTCCTTAGACTGGGAGCAGAAAGGCTGAAAGCCCGATCACCGATTGTGGGATGAGAAGGGTGGGGGATGTGGAGCCAGCTACAACAACAACAACAAGATTCCATTTATAGAGCGCCTTTCACGTCGGGAGGACGTCCCAAGGCGCTGCAAGCTAGTGACTGCCGAGAGGAGGGAGCGGCCAGGTTGGTAAGGTGTTAGTAGGTCGCAGAGGACACAACCCCAGACAACACAAGCCCAGTGACCCACCAACATTCTTCTCCACACACCCCACCCCACCCCCCCCACATCCCAAAGTGGCAAAGAGCCGCCAGGCGCAATGTTTCCTGGTATCGGGAAGGAGTGCAAGAAGCACCCGCTCTTCAGTATTTGGATGAGCCCAGGCTTATGTATCATGGATCTACTTTTTATTTCCGTATAACTTCTCTCAGCAAAATGATCAATTTCAGAATTGTTGCTTGAAACTGGTTAATAAATCAGGTGCTGAAGTTTGCTAAAGATACTTACATAAACGTTGATGGTTAAATTCTCTGGGTATTTAATTAATTTTAGAAATTCATGTACATATTACTTCAATTGAAACAGAAAGATGGTGCCATTTATAATCTATGTCTACACTACCTGCATGCTATGTGTTCAGAAAATTGCTATGAAGACAGATATGCAATGAATTGAATAGATTTTTTTCGAGAACATTTTGTTCGCAAGGCTAAACTTTGACACCTGAGTTATGCAGTGTAGTATTTGGTGATGAATTGCTTGTCTTCAGCAGTCATAAATGCTTGCTTCTCGAGGATTTAATATGAGCAGAAACTTTATAGGTGAACGGTTAATATTTTATCTATAGAAACAATATGGTAGCTCTCAGCTTTATAATGGATGCATGCATATAGAGCTGATTTGGACTTCCTTTAAATATTTTATGTGCTTAGATTGCAGATGTGGAAAAATGTGACCAGATGTATGAAAGTTTAATCAGATTGAATACCAATTATTACAGAACCAAGGTAAGTTGCATAGATAGTAAATAACAACAACAACTTGTACACATATCGTTTCTTTCACAAACTAGAATGTCAAAGCATTTACAGATGTGGTTCATTGAAATCAACTGCGGGTGTGGGAGGCATTTTAATATTTTTCTGTTTATCCCAAGCATATTGAAGCACTTTGAAATGTCTCAAAATCACGATAAGGCCCTATAACAAATGCAAGGATTATTATTATTGTTAGAAGATTGGGGTGAGTTTGGGAGCTATGAGATTGAGGCACTCCACTGTAATGTAAAATGACATAGAATTAAATAGAATGGTATAGCACGGAAACAGGCCATTCACCCCAATTAGTCTATACCAGTGATTATTCTCCACATGAGAAAGCATTCAGACATATTTTGAAGTTATTCAGTTCAAGAAATAGAATTTATGAAAATTAAATTTGCTTTGCAATTTGTAAACACTTTACTTAACCAGTACTGTAATTTGCACCCTCTTATTGGAATCCTAATAAAGTTTAAGTGTATCCTGACTGTACCTCACACACATTGAATTGCATCTTGTAAATGTTGTGATATCTCTGCTTAAATTTAACTGATAAAATAATTGATCACAATAATGGTATCCAAAAGGATCTCAAAATGGTCATGGGAAAATTAAGTGTTTAAAATGTATACAATCACTTGCAAATATGTGTGTGTGTGTATATACCATTTTAAAACATTTTATGCACTTTCAGTTCCCACGTCTCACAAATACAAGTTTCACTGGTGTAACAGTAGAGGAGTGCCAAGCAGTTCTTGCAACAGGTAAATTTATGACTGATCTGTAACCTCAAGCACATTTAGTACTGATTTTAGTTCATCATGTTTTTTATTGCTATTATTCTTAAATTACAAAATGCTCTCGACCATCGTTTTCACGGCCTATGAATGCGGAACGCATAACTGAATGGCTGGTGGACAGCCATATATTAAAACTAGGAAATAGTTGGTGTCTGGGTGCTCTGCTATAGTGCGCTGCTGCATGGTTTCATGAGCTGCAGCAGATGAAAGATGGATGCATGCGACTTCTTGATAGCAGAGCTATGTTCAGATCCTTGTAGGTTTGTAAGCCAGGCAGGAACTGGCATCTAGCCCAAGGATTGAGGGCTGTTAATAAGGTCTTACTGCAGTCCAGAGATTTGATGTATTTCATGAACAAGTCTGGATAACTCAATTCACTGTAGAAATGAGCTTAATCTAGAATTGTATTGATCCTCCAGGGAAAAGGGAATAAATTGCTTGTCAATTATTGAAGGAACTAAGAATATATTAGCGTTCTAATTGTGGGTCCTTTATTTCCTCTGTGGTTGAATTGGAATGCTGGGAGGGGTATTTAAAAGGAGAAGGGGATATTCACAGAGTCCCTATACATGTCCCTACACGTTTATTGTGCCAGGGAAGGGACCATACTAATGCAGTAATTATACCTGAAGTGTTAGAAAATTGAAATTAGAATTACTTGAATACTAATGATCATAAGGCTAGTAGATTTAGCCTTGTGATGTGGTCAGCAGCAGGAGAGGTAATAAAAGAAAGTCAGATATAAATTACGAGAGATCTAACAAAGATTTATTACAAGAGAAATGGCATCAATGCAACACAAAATATAGATGGATGTAGAAATAATGCACAGACCATAAACCAATAAGATTAGGGATGAAACAATTTACATTTATATAGCACCTTTCATGTCTAGAAGACATCTTAAAAGCACTTCATTCAGCAGATACTCGAGCTGGGAGCCAAAGAGTGAGGAAGGGGAAGATGACCAAAGTGCTGATTCAAGCAGCTAAATAATAAGATTGCATTATACAGCTTGTATCTTCTCCCAGGCTCTTCAAACCTAACACTTCCAGCCATTTTGCCCCCACTCTGGAACTCCATCCCTCTTGACTCATTATCTCCCTTCCGACTTTCAAACCCCACTGCAAGACTTGCCTGTTTGACAGCACTTAGGTCATCTTTTCCTTCCTCACCCTCTTCAGCTCCCAGCTTGATTGCCCAGCCTGCTATATGGCGGTTTTAAGATGTTCTCTCAACATGAAAGGTGCTATATAAATGTAAATCGTCTCTTTCTCCTTTAATGGAAACTTATCAGTAGTGCTGATAACATATGTTCAGAGAAGTGCCTAACCAGGAAATAAATTGCTTTTGGTTATCCCAGGAGCTTATGCCCTTGTACTCTCATAATATGAATTCCTTTATGCATGAAAGACTATATATTTTCATTAGTTGTATTCCAGTGCTAACAATATTTAATGGCCAACAACAAATCTCTCGAGATGTGCTGAAAATTGGCTTATATGTGGAAAAAAAAGCTTCATGTATATATCTACATACTTCTAAAAATATTGTGGGGTGCTTCAAGTTCCCTTTAACTTTTACTACAAATGGTTGGGGCATTGCATGTTTAATGTAGGCACGGGAGAAGGGGAGAGAGCAAAACCAAAATACAACTTTCTTGAATATTATACTGCTCTAGATAGACAAGTGAATCAGTGCAACAGGAATGCAATTTTTTCTTAACTTCTATTTCTCAATATTTTTGTTGCTAATTTTCATTATGTTTACTCGTGGAGGCAGATGTGTATTGTTAAACTTATTTAACTTAATCCTAAATTTATTCAAACCAAGTTAATGATACAGTATTAAAGTGACATATTGACAGTATCTAGCAATGATTCATGTTTCAAACTGGGTTATAAGCCATACAATACAGTATGCCTTGTTCATGAGCTATTTTATTTTTTTTGCTGGATTCAGACAATATGAAACAGATGGAAGAAATGAAGAAAGGAATATGGAAGAAGTTAAGAGAGAAGCTTGTAGGCAAACCAGAGGATACTATAAAGGAGTAAATGGATATCTTAACTAATGTCTTTCTACCATTAGATCTTGTTCACTGCAGTTATTAAACAATAACTGTAATGTTTTTGTGACAATCGTTATTTCATTGAACAAATGTTAAGTGACTAAGAACTCTATAATTTGAAAGCTATTCATTTTTCAGCCTGGCAGAACACTTCATCGCATTAAATAAATTAATTTGTATGTTCACATTTGTATTTAACTGTCTAAATATGGATAGAATATTACCTTTTCAACTTAGCCATATGACTTTGTTTCCTCGAACATTGCAACCTACAGAGAGCTATACTCACAAAGTTAGAGATTTTCTTTGTCCAAGCAGTGCAATTTACGGAAGTCTCAATCCTGTTCTTCTCAAGATTTTTAGCTCATAATCTGGGCACACACTCATACAATGCTGCGGTAGTGCTGTATTGTCAGAGGTGCCATGTTGCTATGCTTCAGATGAGACTTTAAACTTGAGGTTCCACCTTCAGATGGATGTTAAAGATGCCCTAACGCTATTCAGAACAGGGAGTGTCTCCTAATATCCAGTCAACAGTTCACTGATTTTAAAAANGAATTGTCTTTTAAATTCGCTGATTTTAAAGAATTGTCTTGTTTGTGGGATACTGTTGTGTGCAAAGTGACTGCTGTCTTACAAGTACAATCAGTACTCTTTACAGCTAAATTCCATGAAACTTTTGAGATGTTTTGACAATGTGATCAAGTACAACATCAAATGCTAGGATTATTATTTATTTTGATGGGATTAGAAGATCGATCCTGACTTTGTAAACTGGTGGAACAGATGTGTATGGCTGAATGACTTGCTCCTATTTCTATGTTTGATGAGCAGATGCTTTTTCCTGAATCAAACAAGTGCAAAATATGCAACTCACTCTTTACAACAACTTGCATTTATATAGTGCTCTTCACATGGGTCTCGGAGCGACTATTTATATGAAGTCTACTCTTTAACATATGCACTTCATTATGAATGAAACTAAACTTTTCAATCTTGTTTTACAATTCAATATTTGTAGCTGAATTAGCCTAAATTTTGAACAACAAAAAATTTACCAGTCCATTCCCTAAAGGGAATTGTTTTTGGACTGAGAAATTTTGAGGACAAAAGCTATTTTATTTTGAATGCTGAGCTTACAAACATCAATTAAAAAGCTAAATAACTATTCTATTGTTTTATGATTAATGCATTGTTTCTATCCACATGGTAGTCATAGGTTCGATGACTCATTACACAATAGAGAAAGAGGTTAGTCTCACGGGAAGAAATCAAAACCTTTTTACTTGTACGGCTAGTTGCGATTTCTGGTCTTGTTCATAATTGCAGGTATGAGTGAACAGTGTGATTTTTTTTGTAGCATTGCCAATAAATGATTTTCAATGTAGAAAAAGAGATAACAGTAATTTGCTGTTTCATATTTTTATTAACACTTCGACCATGTATGTGCAATTTCCCTTTCTGGTAAAAACAGAAAGTGAGGTTCTTTCCTTACACCAAAATAATATTTAATTTTAGGCTATCACTAGTATTTGCACCTGTCGCAGATGACCATTTTGCACCACATTCTGACTTCATTAATAATTCACATTCCATTTGGATCTATGAAGCCCACATATTACAGTAGGAAACATATCCTAAATATTTCTTGATCTGAATGATCATCAGACCAAAGTACTGAGTGGGATAAAATCCAGTTATATCAATAGTGAAGTGGTCCCTTTATTCCAGTCTTAGGAATAACAAAACTAAACAAATGTCACATAATCAAGTGACATTTGGTGAGCATATTTATCTAGAAGCAGCCTATCCACCTGCAATAGATTGCTAAAGATGTTTTGAAGAAAAGCAAAATAAATAAATCTGGACCTAGAGCAACCATTGCAGAGGTAATTAGTCATTTAAACGTATGACATCTGTAAATCTAAAAAAAGAATGATTAAAATACTGTGATCAAATTGCCACATATAAAGTAGAAATTCAGCAAGTCTACAACACAAGTCTGCATATTTTGCCACAATCCAGCACAAATACTTTGCAGACCCGTGTTTAATTCATTGCTATCCTCCCACATGAAAAGCGATTGCACCTCCGCAAGAAATCTGAAAAACTAAGAACTCCCTAGAGCAATAGATTGTTTCATTGCAGATCATATGGCCACCGACAAGAAAGCAGAAGAACCTTGCGAGATAGAACTTTCCTGCTGAAACAGTGTATATAGTCCATATCAGCAGTACTAAATGGTCAAACATATACTCCCTATACCACGTGACTGGTATAAAGTATTCCACATTCCAAATAAAGTTAATATGAAATATTTTATTAGATTTCAATGGTCCAATGTTCTGACCGATGGGCCCTGGTATACATACACCGGTTAGTCGGCGTGTTGTGCAAGTGCAGCAGATATGCGCGTGTGCTATTGGCTGCAGTGTATGTGCACAACAGGTACAATTCTGCAATGAGAAGCTCCAGTCGAATAAATTATGAGGTGATGCTACTCTCTTGCCTCCTATTCCAGCATGGAACCCATGGGCTCAGCCACTGCTGCTACAATAGTGTTTTATGCAAAGCACTTTGCAGAAACCTGCAGGAAAAGTTAGTAGTAGCAGTAGTAGTTGGAAGGTTTTATTGAGCAAACGTGTTTATTTGCCTGAAGCAGCAAAGTTGGATATCTCTTCAAGCTGACCAATTTTACCAAAATGTAAAACAGGCATCTATTCGAGTGGCAGAATTTCTCAAATATAACCCGCAGTGAGAAAATAGCAATCATCAAACCAGATTCAAAGTAAAATAAAATTGTAACAAAACTACTTCTCTTCCTAAAGAGTTACACCTAACGTGCGATTAACAAATCAATTGTATGTGTTTTAGTTGTTGTAAGATCTTTTGTTGGAATGCAGTCCTATTCAATCTAAGCTACTGTTCGGGTTTTCTTTCGTCGTAGAGAAGATGTGTAGTACAACCGCATTCTCAAGGCAGTGACTTGGGAGTATTTGTAACAAATGGAGTGTTTCAGGCTTTAATCATTTGGTGATTTGGGTTTGCTGAGCTGTTTTGGACATCCACAAATCCCATTCTCTGTCTGCGTTTCCTTTGTTCCGTCATCTGTAAGAAACAAATGGTAATGGTCCATTTTAATATTGTTTCTCTCAATCTATCTGACTGAGCCCGCTATGTAGAATGAATTCATTTATTTTCCCTATTCTTGAAAAATGATAAATGTATCCAAGTTTGCTCGCTACTTGTGTTCCATGCCTCGGCACTAATACCTGTCACTTTTAATTGCACCAAAACGTCCAAAATTATAAATTTAAACATCTATCATTCAATAAGCAGACTATTCAGAATTCAACATAAAACTATATGGGGCCAATTTTCAGTACTAAAGCACTGCAATTTCACGTGCCGGTTTGTGCATGCAAAGCAATTATCTTCTCAATTAATTGTCCTTGCAGAGTTGCCAGTTTGACCACAGCCCCTGAAGTAGGCAGGGGACCTGCTTTGGGAAGTGACAAAAGGTGGGAGCGTTAGAGGGGTGGGAAACAATTTGGTTTGGAGAGAGGATTCCGGGTCAAGTTTCACATTTCCAATATTTTCCTCATCCTTCAAAATTGTTCCAATCTTACACCAGGACTGATTGGGATCCTATCTCGGGTCAGGACTTATTCTACCCTGAACTAATTCTAAATCAGGGCTTCGGTTAACAAACAGAATGTCAGGTTCATATCAAAACTGCAGTGGGGGTAACATTTGGGGTATTCCTTCAAAAGTTGCTCAAATTAACACTTAGATAATATCCACATTTTACCCCAGTTTTCCTAAGCACATTCCGTTCCTTGATGATCACTGGTAATTATTAAAATGGTTAAGAATGGAATACAATATGCATTTATATAGCATCTTTCACGTCAGGAGGACGTCTGAAAGTGCTTGACGATGCTGGCTGGGCACCTGAACTGGGGGAATTCGATTATATTGACACCTGTAAGGTGTTGTCAATCTGACCTTATTTGGGGGTAATGAATTAAGTTATTTACGTTCAGAGCATGTACCTGTTCCTTTAGTTCTGTGAGCTGATTTGTGAGGTTTATCACCAGCTTCATTGTGGCATTCAGCTTGTCCTGTAGATTTCGGAGTTCATTCTGTTCTCCCTCTCCTTCATTGCTGACCAGAGACATGGCACGCATGCGAGGGAACCAGTCTAGATTTTTGCTCTGCGGAAAGCAAAACAGAGATGATAGTTGTCTGTAAACTTGTCACTTGGCTGTGCATCACGTTAAATGTACTTTATGGAATGTAGCTGGTAAAAAGGGTGGATTTAAAAAGCAGCTCGATGCTGTAATAAGAGGCCATAGAGTGGGTGTTCTGGAAGGGTGAGATCAGATGGGTCGAAGGACCTTCTTCATCCAAACGAATATTGTGATCTTGTAAACAGATATCGAGTCTTCGGTTGGATTCTGGATCACTGTGTTAGCTCCAGGTATTAGGTTCAAAACATGGTGGGTCCAAAATAGCCCATGCTGGGATTTACATACTGAATTTATGCCTATAGCAGCATAAATTCAGCACAAAAAANTACTTTATGCAATAAGAAACAGGAACAGATCTATGAAAATACCAGAAGTTACATGACCACGGGGGTAGAATGTTTCAAATAAACATTCCCTAAAAAACTATATGATTGCCAGTGGGTTGCTCACGTTCATTTAGAAAGTAGTCAAATCTCAGAATTTTCCACAGCAAACGCCATTGTTCAGTTAACATCTCATAAATTATCGATCCTATCAATCTACTCAAAATAGGAAGTAGTGTTTTCAGTGGCAAGCTATCCAGTTTTAGATGGTTAAATTCCAGCAGTTACCCCAACTCACACTCAAGTCCTCAAGCCTTGGCTCTTGCCAACTCGCGCCTAATACTCTCTGAAATTAACTAAGCAAGATGCCTCTCTCCGGGATCATCTGACAACTCAGTGAGTTGCAAAGCTCAAACTTATTTCACTTAAATCCAACCTTTAAATCCAACAGAGAGGAGACTTTCATCTCATCAGTTTTGTCTGCATTTAACTGAACCCCAGAGTGAAAAGGCTAACTCGTTGAGATGCTCAACCTTCTGACTGAAACACACAGCATCAATGTGCGGACAGTGCTTAGATTTATGATTTATTTTGAAGCTGTCAGTGAAAAACAAGAGCCCAATATGGTTTAGGAAATTATTACCTTCATCATTTGTGAAACGTAGCTTTCTGGGCCTGTGAAATCAGTTCTGTTTTTAACTCTGACCAGTACAATGAAATAAAGGTAGTTCCAGATATTGTGTTCCAATTTAATGTGCTCTTCAAACGATACTGTCTTGTTGTCGAACTTATCTCGTTCCAGACCTGCAGAAAATAAGTCAGATATTCTCTCAAAAAATAAATCATGATATACCATCCTTAACAGAATCAAAGCACTTCACGGGATTTATTATAAAATGCAGTGACTGTTTATTTTGTAGGCAAACACGGCAGCCAATTTGCGCACAGCAACGTCTCACAAACAACCTTGAAGTAAACGACCAATTTTTATCAATGTGTTTTATCAATACGTTAAACTAAAGTCAGTTGAGTTGTGAATAAAATCATCAGTTCAAGGTCTTCCAGCAATGGTGTTTCTCACTGCCTTTAGCTGTTGGCTGAACTGCTTAAGCAAAACTAGTTCCCTTCTCTTCCCCTGCACTAATAAAAACTCAGAGAAAATAAAAGTTGATCAAAATTATCTGTAGCTGACTGAATGCTTGGTTTGAAGCTTTGTCTGTGAGAAGATGCTGAAATTCCTTTGAAAGCTAAATTTCGATGGCCCCATCGCAGAGGCAGCAAATAAAGAAGTCCTTCCCCCTCTGTGGAGAGGACGCCCTACGGACAGGCAGGACAACTGGGGCAAATGTTCCAAGAATTCACCACGGGCTGTCAGCACAGTTCTCCTCTGTGCGTTGTCAGCACGTACATCTCGTGACAGGTGTGAGAAATGTACTTGTTGCCAGTGATGGTTTGATAATGAGTCTGTTCAGAGCTGCCAATCCTTCCTCATCGGGAGTGACAGTTACTGATTTTGCTTTGAAAATGCAACCTACTTTGATGCATGTCACTCGGAAAAAATAAGCACAGCCCCATACGTTTAAATAGATTTGCAATCTGTGTCACTGTTGTCAATCCACAAATCGCACCCTGTTATTTCTCAACATTGACAGCTCTGAAGATTCAAGGGGTAATAGTAGCGCAGTTATAACGTTTTACATCTGTTTCATATTTGCATAATAAGGCTCTACGCAGTAGAATTCTGTCATTTCAGCCTCGATGTCAATGACATGTCTGCTACCAAATGTAAAAGCTCACAATAAAAGATAAGACAGCATGGCGTGTTCTACCAGCAAACAAGATTAAATAATTGCTTTCGTTTTGAAAACTGCATGTCTGCACCTGAAATTTTTAGAAAATCATTCTATTTGTTCCTCCCCAAGTGTATTATTATTACATAGCAACACAAGTAGCCTTTCAACCCAACGATTCTCTTCTGCTATTTGATTAGATTGTGGCAAATCTTTTAATATAATTTTCCCACTTTATCTACTGATCCTTTAAACTATCGACCTAGCTACCTACCTACCTTCCTTACCGACATCAGCTGCCTGTTCAACTGGACATTAAAGATCCATTGGCACTATTCAAAAAGGGAAAGGTGTACTTGGCAATGATTCCCTCAGATAAAATCATTCAGTTCATGGCTGTTTGTGGGATATTGATTTGCAAATTGGCTGCGGAGTTCACCTACGAATACACAGTCACAACACTTAACAGTAAAATCCTGTGAAGCGCTTTCAGCCATTTCAACAACATGATAGGTGTTAGGCAAATGCAAGGATTATTATTAATATTACTGCCTGCCCATGTCCTGCCCTCAAGTGCAATCGATTCCACATCTTTCACCTACCACAGATAAAGCAAGTCGACTTAAGAGTTTCTTCTTTCTTCTGCTTCTCGCTTCTCAGATCGGCAAAGGTGTCGATGATGACGCCAAAGATCAGATTCAGCACAATGATGATCACAATGAAGAAAAACAGAAGATCGAAGACCACACGAGCGGGAAAGAGCGCCTCCTGGAAACCAGTAAATCCGTCATTTCAGAGGCCTTGTCATTACCGTAAAACAGCAACAAGTTGCAGTTATATAGCCCTCTTTACGTGGGGTAGGGTCCCAGAGCACTTGACAGTGGCAGAGTCTGACCCCAAGCCGGGGGGCTGAGGTGGTGGAGAGGAAGTGGGGAAGGTGACTGGAAGCACAATCAAAAAGGAAGGTTTTTAAGCAGGATTTGAAGTGTAGAGGGAAGGGGGCAAGGCGGAGGGATTGGGGGAAAGAGTTCCAGAGTTTTGAGGTGTAGTGGTTGACAGTAAAGTCCGACTGTTGAATATTCTTCCACTAATATAACTCCTTCAATTTTTCCCCTATCCCACTCCCTTTGCACCCACTCGTCTCTGTTTGAGACTGAACAGGCAATCTAAACTGGCCTTCAATGACTGATTACTGAGCGCTGGGCATTACTTATGTGTGAGATGCATATTTTCAGACGTTCTCTCACAAATATTGACTCACGTCTTTTGAAGGCTGTCGGAGGACATCTCCGACACCTCCTCCATTCCGCAGCCCGTGATTCAGTACAGTTACGATGCACATCAATAGAGTCTCACAGGCATTCTCCTTGTCACTCTCCTCCTCATCTGTGGCAACAGAAATAGCAAGACTAAATCACAACACCTATGTAAATACTGTGGTGGTTGGCTATCTTGGGATACATGAGGGAGAAGTTTACAACAACAATTTGCATTTTCCGATGAGACGTTAAACCAAGGTCCCATCTCCCTATTCGGGTGGATGTTAAATGTCCCACGGCACTATTCAAAAAAAAGGCAGTTTCTCCTGGTATGCTGACCACCCATGAACAGGGCCAATAGAAAATTGTGGAAATTGTGGAAATACCGCGGGCAAATTTGGCAAATTTTGCAGGAAATTGCAGGGTGTTGGTTGGTGTTATTGAGAGGCACATTTTACTGCCAACCTCCATTTTTTCTCTCTTTATTGATAAAAACTAAACATGACAAAATAGTACACATTGTTGAACAAAAATGATTCATGCTTTCTTTAACAAAATCTGGGTGGCCCACTCGGAGTGGGGGCGAGGGGCGGGGCAGGGCGGGTGGGGGTGTGAATGGCCCGTTTCCACCCCACAAGTGTTGATTACAGGGCTCCAGAAGGTCAACACATTGCTTTCCGCAAATTGGCTTCCACATTGACCCACCAAATACGGTCAGCCCACTTTTATATTATATGCTGTAAAGCGCTTTGGGACATTCTCTTGTTGTGAAAGGCACTATATCAAATCCAAGGATTATTATTATATTATTAATAGTAAGACTGCTACCATTAAGCAATGTCTGAATGAACAATTAAATTTTTAAGGTACCTTGTACCATTATTACAGTAGATCAACTCAGATATACTGACCTTGTGACTCAACAGCTTGGATACCTACGGAGCAATTAATATCATCAGCAGGGCATGAATTAATGGCATCCTTCATTATATTTCCATGTACTGTAAAAGGATCTGTCAATACAAAACTCATTTCACACGGTCTGTTTAATATCCCTACAATGCTTTACTGAAGTCCTGCTCGTGCATCCAATTAGGTTTTGTTCAAAAGGTAAAATAGTGCACTTGCTGGAAATTTGAAATAAAAACAGAAGTCGCTGGGACCACGCAGCAGATCAGGTAGCATCTATGGAGAGAGAGAGAGAGGAAAGTGGAGAGAGGGAAGTGAGCTAACGTTTCAGGTCGATGACCTTCCGCCAGAACTAGGTTTTGTTCGGTTGTTTTCAATGCAGGAACTGGTTGCAGTGCAAAAATCACACAAACGATTGTATTTATTTTCGTACCAGGTTACCATTTAATGTTCTAGTTTGCATTCTTCACCTGAGAGTTGGCAAGACAACCAGCCTAGTGATAGAAATTTCATCTGGGCTGAAACTCTATTACTCTATTAGCATTTCAGAACGTCCAGAATTTGGAAACGTTCTTGAAAAATTCTTAATCTTGAAGCCAGGTTTTCTGAAAGTTATTTTACGCTCTACAGAAAACTGCCTCCAAAGGTGAAACTGAACGCCACAACTGACATATGCTACACAAATAGAGTGAATTTAGATCCAGGTGGAATTTCTCACCCTTCCTGCAGGAGTTCGCTGATATTGGTCTTGTAACAGGTACATGAAGATGCACAAGACTGTTCCCGCTTGCTGCCTTCGCATCTCTCCTTGCAGACAGGATCATAGAATCGTTGAATCTTACAGCACAGAATGAGGCCATTCGGCCCATCGTGCCTGTGCCGGCTCTTTGAACGAGCCAACAACTGGCCCCGCTCCCCTGCTCTTACCCCATAGCCCTGCAACTTTTTCCTTTTCAAGTACACATCCAATTCCCTTTTGAAAGCCACTCTCGAATCTGCTTCCAACCGCGATGAATCCTTTCTGCGTTAGCTGGTGTCACAATGTTGCAACACGCTGTGTGTCCAGCCCTACTCTATGCAGCAATGTTTTAAGCAACAACCATGACACGGAGCAGACTCTAAAATAAAATAAAACGTAATCTACTTTTAAAGTTCCTGGTAACAATGGCTCACAATAGCCACGACGGGACAAGAACTGCGACCAATTATAACCGAGTTGGAGCTGTGTGAAGATGTTTTCTATGTCAGCCTACACTTACCTTTTGTCCTGTTGCTCGGTAACCTGTCAACTTCCATAATGAAATCATCCCGGAGGAAGAGGAAGCCCACGATTGAGAAGAGGTAGACGAGGATGAGAGCCAGCACGGCTGTCAGCAGGATCGAGCGTCCGTTCCTCGTGACGCTCTTTATCACATTGAACAGCGTCTCTTCTCTGTAGATCAGATCAAACAGCTGCAAAACAGACGGCAGATAGGTGTGTTGTAATAATAATAATCTGTGCATTTGGTACAGAGCCTCACCACGTCTTTAAGACGTCTCAAAGCCCCTTTCACAGAATATACTGTATGTCCTGTGGGCAAAATGCGGCAGTCAATTATGCACAGCGGTGTCCACAAACAGTCATGGATTGAGTGACCAAATGCTTTTTTTTCAAGGGATTATTACCCACGACAAAGAGATCCCTGAATCAACTACTAGGTAAACAGAAATGGTGGAGTAAGGAAACTTGCCTAACGTTTCACCCTGCCTGGGAATCAAACCCAGGTCCTCTCGTTTGTGAGGCGAGCGCTCTAACCAATACGCTACAAGACTCCACAATAATCCTCCGTTGATATTGCACCATATCCCGTCAAAAGAGCTTTACAGGACTTTACTCTAAAGTGCAGTGGCTGTGCATTCATATACAAACTTACAATCTGTAAAGTTTTGAAATGAGCATCTCCAGCAAATTGCATCGAAATCTCCGAAGTCACCGAAGTACTTTACTACAGCATCGCGCAGAGCAAGGCGTAAATTATAATTACAATGGTAGCGTGACGGTGTTACCAGTGAGGACCTTACCAGAATGCTGTAGAAAAACTCGTGCACGAAGAGACCCAGGACACTGATCAATATATATGCAACATGATAAAGGAATTCCATATCCATGATCATGGCCTTGTATCCCAAGATAAATTTCCCACAGTTGCCCACAAAACTGACCACGAACACAATTTTGTTGATGAGCTGCGAGTAACAAAGAACAGGGAAAAGGATGAGTAGCAAAGAAAACACACACCCAATGAAAAATGATTCTAGTATTCATACAAATAATTAGCTTTTTGTGGATTGATGGGTGAGGTATGGGTGAATTATAGAATTTTGTCTAATATAGTGCATTCATCTATAGTTTGGGTTGATTATCCCTCTTAGAAAGCAATAACCTTTATAACTCTTTATTTGACCTAATTCTCCCAGTTGTTATTCTCTCAATCACAGCTTCACTCTCGTACCTTTCTTCCATCCTTTGCTATCTCAATTGGATCGAGGCAAATTTTAGTTTAATAGTATTCTTATTTAATAGTGATTAACAGTATTCTTCCTCCATTGATGTAGAATAGCTCCTATATGATATGGTGTTTAATTTATCAAACAAATAAAACAAAAATATCTATTTTAGAATTACAGGCAAATAAATGTTAGTCATCAAACAGGTCCATACTTACATTGAAAACTCCCAATGTTAGCAATGTGTGGCCAATTCCTATGTAATATATCGATCGGATTATCAGTGCTACTATTAATGGCCTCAGGCCATATCTCTTGGAAAGCAGAGAAACTACTGAGAAGCATATTACAACCCAAAAGACGAGTGAGAGAAAAGAAGAATCCAGGGCTCCTGTAAGAGGAACAAAAGAAGATTTAGTCTGTGCAACGATTGCTTGGATTATTGGATCAATCTGGTCAGATACAAGTTGTACTTCCTAAGGTACAAGTGTCTCCTAAACCCTTATATTGTACTCAGGTTCTCAAAAGCTGGGAAGCTACCTTTATAGGAACTTGAACAAATTGCTTGACTTCTGAGCTTTCTTTGTTCTGGGTAGACAACAAGTTTGAGAAAAATAGGGGGAGATTTGGGGAACTCGATTGTTTCAAAAATGTTTGCCGGTAAAACGTACATATGATGAATTTGCTGATTACGTCTACAGCAGCCATTGGATTCGCCTTTCAGCCTTGCAAATCGTTTTTTTTTAGACTGAAGGTAAATAATAATGACATTCACTCAAATCTTCACTGTCAAATGCAGTAAAAACTCCCATTAGTCTTATCTTTATAAATCATACAATCACCTAAGTCATATTTCGACCCGAGTCCCATTCACTTTTTCCTATATAAAAAAANCCTCAGATTTCTTTGAACTAGTCGTATTTTATTGAGCAAATCATCTCCTAACTTGTGATGTCGCCTCCACACATACTATCTGCATCGAATCGTGGGAAATTAAGTCCTGAGCCATCCACACATTTGTGTACTTAAGCACTCCGGGACTCTTATCTCACATGAAAGGTGCTATATAAATGCAAGCTGTTGTTGTACCTACCAGCTGCTTTGATGTAAGCATGCGCAGTGTAGATTATCGGTTAAATTTAATTTTATACGCTTTATGCAAGTTTGCCTGTAACGCATACTTTGCGTAAATAATATTAAATGTTATAGCCCCGACTGATATGATTTATGTGAGTTTTACTAATAACGCATTTTCTTCTTCACCGAATCAATAGCAGATCAGTTCGGCCAGATTAGAATGATTGAGATCTTGACTTGCGCAACTCTCGAAGGAGAAAAAGGGGTTATTCAAACTGAACACAGATTTGCAATCATAGCGCTGAGGCTAATAGCAAACAGCCTGCACTAGCGATTAACTAGTGTGGAGATATTTACATACTTATTTCAGCAGTCTGATTCAAGTATAATTGTCTGGCTGTACTGTAATACGTTTTTGTACTGCTACCTAAGATCTAACTAAGATTTTATATGCCTCAAAGCGCTTCACAGAATATACTGTAAAGTGAATTGATTGTATATTTTGTGGGCAAATTGCGCACAGCAGTAAACAAATACATAGTCATGTATTTACGGGACCAATTTATTATTTTTTTTTGGAAGGAAGTATTACCCCCCAGGAAAGCAATCCGCTAATCGACTAGCAACCAGGTTCCTTCTTATTGCTAGGTAAACAGAGGCGTTTGGAGTAAGGAAACTAGCCCAACATTTCGCCCCTGAGCTACAGGACTCCACAATGATGTATTAACCATGAGCAGGGGAAATTATGACATTGTTGATCAACGCAGTCATCGAGGCCAGTCGCCAGCTAAAGATTGTCAGTGGGTGAATAATACTCCACAAAATCTTACCCACTGAGGTGGCTTCTCCATACGGGTAAAAGAAAGCGATGACCAAGTTGATAAAGACAGCGAGGTTGAAGGAGATGCTGCCCCAAAGTGACATCCTCCTGGAATACCAGTACAGCACTGGCATGCCTAAGGGATAAAGGGGAATGATGTTCATAAAGAGACATTCTCCAGGAATGGAAACCCAGTGTAACAAAAAGTTTCCACCTCCCAACAAGGGAACACGCAGCTTCAAACGTAATGAAACTCTTTTAAAAGTAATCCTAAAATAATCAGTGATTCATTTGTTTTGTTTTTCTTCCTTAAGCAGCAATTACTATAATGTTTCAATGCTTGTAACCCCGTTGTTTCGATGCTCGTTTCATGCAGTTATTTCTTTTCTTTTTAAAGGGTAAACTTAAAAGCTCTCATTGCCAAACCAGCCAGAAGCGATCACTGGCTGTTAAACTATGCGAGTGACCTGACATTATCAAGAAAAGAATCAGAAAAGAACCTCTAAGCTATTAAAGGGCTCACGTTAATAAACGGAATCGGTGGTTCTCAATAATAATCCCTAAATTATCTCGCGATTTTTTTCCCCCAGTAATAAAACCAATTATTATCAACCAGGAGGCACAGAGAAAAGTGGAAGCTAAAAGCTATGATAATGTGTCCTCAGTGACCATCAATGTGGAGAAACCATGAGCCTTTGAGAAGTGGGGATCTGAACCTTGATACCAGCATATTGTAGTTCAAAAGCAAAATGAAATGTTTAACTGATATAGAATCATAGAATAATAGAATGTTACAGCACAGAAGGAGGCCATTCGGCCCATCGTGCCTGTGCTGGCTCTTTGAAAGAGCCATCCAATCAGTCCCACTCCCCCGCTCTTTCCACATATCCTTGCAATTTTTTTCCTTTTCAAGTACCTATCTAATTCCCTTTTTGAAAATATTTCACCAGTTAGCTAGTGATTTCATCAGGCTGTTATTTTTGGAAACTGAAGTTGCAGAGTTCACAAGATCACAAGATTAGTTTCGATGAACACCCATCTTATCGCCCTCCCATCACATCAAGAAGCTACTTTTTAAACGGGTCCAGTGTCGTGGCTTCCTCCACCATTCCTGGTAACCTGTTCCAGTCGTTGATTATCATTTGTCTAAAGAAAAATGTCCTGCTGTAGGTGACAAAGTAAGAAATATTTCTTTGTACAGAAAGTTGTCAACAGCCGGAATGAGTTACCAGGAAGGATACTTAATGCTCGGATACTGGGATTTACTCAAGAAACTGCAATGGGAGATTAGTTGGGTGGATATTCTGGAAGGATGAGATCAAATGGGGCAAATGGTCTTCTTTATCCCTTCCTCCCTTATAATGTTTTGATAATTGCAGAAGTTGTAGGAACTGCTGTTTAGTGCTTCGCTATTTCCGATAGAGATTATTTACAAAAGGCTGAACCGCAGAGGGAGCAGAAGGGACCTCAGTACAGCAATAGATTATCAGCCTAGATTCTGAGCTCCAGTTCTGGTGTGGGGATGTGAACCCTGTAAACCTTGTGACCCGGAGTATTACTACCCGAGCTAAACTGACAGTGCGGGCTTACTCCTGAGTTTCTTTTGCCATTCCATCTCATTGTGCAAAAATATGGACTTCTCAAAAAAGTCGTAGACTTTGCTGCCTTGCTCGTCCTGCTCAGTGGTGTTGAAGACTCTGTGCTTGGAATCTTTTGTGATGTATTCGCAGATACTTGGCACCGGGAATATGATCTGCTCCATACTTCTGTCGTTCCGAATAATCTGGTGAACGCAAACACAGAAGAACGACATTTGAAGGATATTGCAATTCTTAAAGATTGAAAAAGGTGAGCAAGTTGAGAAATATCGTCCGTAAATTTTCCAAACTTGATAGTATCAGTTCGTGATTTAGATCCATCAATTTGCCGAGTTTCAGAGAATTTCTCCTCATTCACCTTATTTTTAATAACAATAATAATAATAATTTGGTCACTCAATCCGCGACTGCTGTGCTCAATTGGCTGCCACGTTTCGTCCACAAAATATACAGTCAATTCACTTCATACTATATTCTGTGAAGCTCTTTGAGACGTGATAAGGCACTATATCAAATACAAGGATTATTATTATTCTGTTCTGCCAGGGCAGGTCGACGAAGCACAGAATTCCTGTTATTTAGATATTTTTTAAAAAAAATAATAATTTGGTCTCTTAATCCACGACAGTTTGTGACACATATAGTCAATTCAATTCACAGTATATTCTGTGAAGTGCTTTGATACGTCTAGAAGACATGATAAGGTGCTATATCAAATGTAAAGATTGTTATATTTATTATTGCATTGTCAGACCTGAGAAATTGTCAATCTGCCACTTCTTTTACTTTTACAACAACAACTTGGATTTATATAGCGCCCTCCACTCCAGACGGCGTCTCAGAGCACTTTTAGGTGGTGAACGACATTTCTATGGCGATGAAAGCAATATTTTCGGAAGCACTTTGCCAGATATCGGATGAAGAATAAGATACCTAGGAGTGATTTATACATTTAGATCTATGTATTATGGTATTTTATAGTACAGACACAATGGTCCGAATCGCCTTAAACTGTGCTGTAAATTTCTATGGATCTATGGTTCTCAACAGTGAAAGACAGTAATGCATTGAGGGTGAGGGAGGAGGAGTAGGTAACATTTATCACAGGGCAAAGCTCAAGCAAGCTCAAAATGCTTCACACCTCTTGACAGACTTATATTATATATATTATGTAATATATATTATAAGACCTCTTATCTCTACAGAGATTCCTGTATTCATGTGCTCTGGAGGCTACCCTCCATGGAGGGCGCTGTATAAGTGCAAGTTGTTGTTCTATGCGGAGCATAATCTTAAAGGTGGAAATGAGAACGAGTTACAGGTCAGCAAACCCACTAACTGGCCAAACCGTGATTTGTACATAAAATAAAGTCTCTACCTCTATCTGTGCTGTGTGCTTCGAGTAATAGGTCAAAGGGTCTTCCTCTTCTTGTTGCTCTGGTTTGCCTGATTTAAGCATCTGTTGCAGTTGCATGTTGTTCAGAACGAGCTGCGAAGCGAAGGAAGGTCAGATTAGCTCTTCAGTCACAAGTCGCTGCACATTGTACATTTTAATACACATCTCTTAATACACAAAATATACAGTCAATTCACTTTAGGGTATATTGTGAGAAGCACTTTGAGAAGTCTCGAAGACGTGATAACGGCCTATATCAAATGCAAGGATTATTGTTATCTTATTCATCAGTTAAAGGCTTAGGCACATTACCGATTGCAATCCTGTCGTTCATTGAATGCATGTCTCGCGTCTCTTATATGTTTCTTTTGGATTACAATTTCACCTCCAGCCCATTAAATCATTTATGCTGCAAGCACATTTAAATTAAAAAAAAATGTGGGCAAAACGAGCTCTTTTGCACCAAGCTGTTCGCAGATGATGATGTTTTCCTTCCTGTCGTTCTCCGGACGGTTTATTTCTCAGAATTAATTTTCCACTCAGCACTTTTTGGAGACGGGGTGCGCACCTCAGCCTATTAAATCATTCATGTCCTCTTGAATAGGTTTAAATTAAAAATAACACCTTTTACACAAATCACTGGTCATGACAGTATTGAGCGCATTAAATAGTCAAGGCAAGCAACACAAACTAACTTGGAAACATATTACAATGGGATCAAGACTAAGTGTTTTAAGAGTTTACAAATTCTGTGTAATAAAAAGTAAATTCAGGACATTGGAATACCCGGGTCAACAATTGAGATATTCCCCAAAATTATTCCATTTCTTTACTTTTGTTAAATGTGCTTGGACTCTTCCCCCCNATCCCCAAATCTTTGACTTCTGAATTGTGGTGGTGTACAAAGCTAAAAATGCTAAGAACAGCTATCTTGGATTCTCACTTAGCAAATTCTCACTCACTGTTTTTAGCCTGAGAGTGGATCTACAGGATCACTTTAACATGTTCTCCTCAGCTATCTTGTCTAATACACCCAGCTCCACAAGAAGTGAAACTACTTGACACCTGGTGAAATGCAAACAGCGTAGAAAGAGCTCATTCGGCCCATTGAGTCTGCAATTAGCTGTCCATTCAGTCCCACTGCCTCCTCTATCCCCACACCTCTTCAAGCCTTTATCTTTCATGAAGTTCTCTACTTAACCACTTGAAACCTACTACCCATCTACTTCTACCACCTTATTTGGCAGGTCCCAAGAACTCTGTGTGAAAAAAAGTCTCCTAAACTCTCCTTTTAATTCTTGCACATGGTTAAAGATGAATTTGTGCATCAACTTACCATGGAGATGCCTTCTTCCACCTCCTCTTGCATCCGTTTGACTGGTTTCAGCAACTGCTGCAGTTGTTTGTTATTACGTGACAACTGGAACAGACAGGGTAACATTTAGAGCATTTACAGAAATTTAGACTATGCTTTTTTGAAATAAAGGCGAGGGGGATTTGGGACATTTTATATAACTATGCCTTTACATAGTTATCAAATCTGTCATGAAATGTTGCAAGATGTACCAACTCACCCCCATAAACATAATCATTATTGTGTGATGTGTGACACTGCCTCAGAGCATTTGAATTCTAAGCGTGGTTCCTACTCAATGAGAAGCATAGAACGTTTGCATCATAAATGAAGCCATTTGGCTCATCGCATTTTACTGGGTCTGGAATGGAATGCACACTCTCCCTGGAGAGGTGCACCCTGTTTACCTAATCCCAGAAAGTATTAGTTGCAGGTTGGCAAGAGCCAAGGCTTGGGGAACCCAGAGTGTGTATTGGGGGCTCTGCTGGAGTTTAACTATTGAGAGCACTTCCAAAAAAGAAAGCAACGAGAAAAGAAATCAGAAACGAAAATGTTAAAGTTCAAACCAGCATAAGCAGCGTTACCTGGAGAGCTAAAATGTAAATATTGTGTCCCACATCCCTTGGGGAAACTTCTAAATTCTCACATTCTTCCTCTTGGTAGTACGCCTTCTTTATCACATCAACCTAGATTAATTTCAGAGACATGCACAATTAGATGTTACATACATTTACTTAGACATAGGCTGTCACAGTATGGAAACGGGTGTTCAGTATTGATAATAATGATTGATCAACATTGATTGCTGATGTCATTCCCACAACTTGGCTCGGATATTTGCCTAGTTCAGTTTCTGAACTTTAGGTAAGATTGTTGTGGGTTCATGCTCCAAACATCCAGACTTTGAGCTCGCAGTCCAGGTTAACATTCCAGTGCAGTGTTGGGGAAGGTGCCATCCTGTGGATGAGACAATAATCCAAGGTCCCGTCTGACTGTAAATATCCCATGGCGCTATTCAAAAAGAGTTTCTCCCAGTGTTCTGACCATCAATCCTCCATATTAATTGAACATTCACTTTATGGCTCTTTGTGGGACTTCATGATGTGAAAATTGGCTGTGGAGTTTGTCTACAAATCATTACACTTGACAGTAATTGGTCGTGAAGTACTTTAAGTTGTTTCAATGTTACAGGTACTATTCAAATACAAGGATTATTATTAGATATTGAATTGCATCAGCTACTGCAATTTGGTGTGACCTTTCCTGTATAGAGTAGATTTCTTTCAAACCACCAAATTCATTTTGGTCCTCTAGAACAATACTTCAAACACATCATAGAAATACACTTCAAACCCCTCAGTCCTTTAATTGACCCTAGTTAATGGGCGTGAGTTACACAGGTTTACGACACTGTACAAGTTGCTTCAGGTTTCAAGGCTAAATCCTTACAAATTATATAAAGTTTTTCAAGATCTAACCAGGACGTCCTTTGCATTGAAAAATGTTGCCGTAGAAACCCCATGAAAGTACAATGATTTAAAATTAAAATACTGTAATTTATATGCAGAAAAACTCACAGTTGTATCGTTTTCCATGCTGTTTCGGAGAAATATATGTACAGTTCAGTGAATCATGATATTGCAATGTTCCCGATTTAAATATACAGTATTTGTTTCACTATAAATCAAACAGTTTATTACTCTCACCAGTTCCTGTGGCCGCAAATTAAAGAGTATCCGTTCAGCATTCTCAGTGTCGTGTCTGCTTTCCATAAGTGCAAGTAAAAGTTTGGAAGCATTGTCCTGTCAAAAAAAAATACACAGCAAAGCTGGAGATTTAATGCAACAACACACTGGCTAAACTGGCTACATGAAACCTGCAATGGACATTTCACTTTGGGGTGAAGCTCACTGATACCCAAACCTGTAGCTTGCAATAGTTTGAGGTGTCAGCCTGGATCAACTCTGCGTCGGAAGGTTGTGGATTCAAGCCCCACATTGGGACCTGATCTCATAACTGAGGGTGACACTCCAGAGCAACACGGGGGTAAAGCTGCATTGTCTGAGTTGCTATCCTTTCGACATCAAACACTAATCTTTGTCTGTTGCAAAGATTCCATGGTAATATTGAGAGTTGCTTCTGGTATTCCAGTCAACAACGCTCCTGGTAGAACTGGTCATTCTGATCGTGGGGCATTGCTGTGAACAAACTGGCTACCGCAGTTGCCTACAAGTACATAGTCACTACATTTTACGGCAAGCTCATTCAGACGTTAGAAACGCTTTGGCAAACGTGTGGATTGTTACATGTATTAACTGCATAGTTAATTCAAATTCAGGCATATTTATACACCGGAGTATTTGTTAGGTCAGGGTATTGAGGGAAATGGGGCAGATCAGCCATGGTCTTATAGAATAGTGGATCAGGCTCGAGGGGCTGAATGGTTCTATATTTCTATATACAGTAGAGGCAGAATTAGTGTTTTAAGCTCGGACAATCCTTACCTTTAGCTGCAACACAAGGTCCATCCTGTACTTGCAGAGAGGGCTAATATCGTTCAGGATCAGTGCAGTGATAATATCGATGCCGTTGGATTCGTGAGTTACAATACACGTCTAGGTAAGATCAGATAAGACGGTGATACGCTTACAGGGAAATACATTCAGAATTAATTGGTTTGTTAACGGTGTGTGTCAGCCCGGTCCAAATTGGTAGCACTCTCACCTCTGAGCCACTTGCCTCTGAGTGAAAGGCATTATATCAAATGCAAGGATGATTATTTATTATTTATCAATACTCGTATCTGTGAGACAGACACAGCAATATGGAAATATTTTAAGATATTAAGATTTGCCTTGCGTTTTAAACATAATGTAACTGAACAGAAACACTTCCTTGCAAGCAAAACATTCTTTTAGTCAATCGCTGCTGATAAGAAGTCACTCTGAATTGCAAGAAGTGCAGGCAATGAAATAGTGCTTGAAAAAATGGTCTCTTTGAAGTAGATGTTTCTATTAGCAGGCTGTTCATCAGCCACTACACACTGTTCCTGATAATTTTCAACTCACAAATGATTCTGGATCATTCCCATTTTCTGATTGCTTTTAGGACTATGTTAACATCCTACTAAAACAAAAAAAGACTTCAAATAGTAGGTCTCCTTAAGTATTAGTAAACACCAAATAAATCTTAACACCCTGTAAACCTAACAAAAGTAAGGCTGGGGCCAGGAATCATTGCTGAATTTTTAAATTCCGAGAACAAGGAGATCACTGATTTGAATGAAATTAAATTGACAGATATGTCATTAGGAAAGAAATATTAAATGTGTGCAGTTAAGTTACACATGTTTTACACAGAGAGACTTTCATGTAAAGGTGGCATAATATGTAGACCTCTCAGTCCGGTTTCGTCTGTTCGCAATTGGTCTGTTCTAAAGACCAACTCCACTTAAAAGGTCTTGAATAGTTCTGATATCAGTGAACATTCCTCCTTTGGTGTGAATTAATTTCTACCACGGACATTTCCACCAGTGCAAAACGCAAAACTGCAAGGGATCAATCTCTCTTTGTGTCAATGTCCTCCCTAATGCTCACCGGGACTTCTTCCCTGCCGAGCCCTGCTGACAACATGTGGGGTTGAGTAACACAGTTAAACAGAAACGTTGATATAAGTGGGTATCGAGTGAAGCGTCAAGTGAGCCTTGTGTCATTGAGCTCCGAAAAGGAGCTGCTGGGTGCATTGCTCAATGGGAGGTGTTTATAGGTTTTATGCCTACCTGATTTTCAGTGCAAGGCCCCTGACAGTATTCCGTGAGAGTCTCCAGTGTCTGAATGATAAGGGGAACGTTATTTTCATTGATGTACAGTCCCAGCAGCCCAAGGCCTCCTGTGGTGCTTCCACACATAATGTCCAAGAACTGAAGCGTCTGGCAGACTAAGTTATAGTTTGTCTTGTTGTTCTGACAGCGGAGTAAATTCTGTTGAAGGCAACATACGTAACCCATCAAAAAAACAAACCATTCCCACTGACATCCTTGGAATATATACAGCAGCAAAATTCCAGACAGAAATAAATGCATTTTGTATCATCAGGGAAAGCAAATGAGTCTGAAACAATACATTTGCTTCAGATTAAATGGCAAAACCATCGGAAAGAGGCAAGAGAGTCTTTGAGGTGTTTTCGTGAAAGTGACTTCTGTTGTTATTCAATAGCGGCATCGTAATATTAAAATAAAGGGTTATTTAATTGCTGTGATGTCTCAAAGTGCTTCACAGAATTTACTATAAAGTAAATTGACTCTATATTCTGTGGGCGAAACGAGGCAGTCAATTGCACACAGCCGTGTCCCACAAACAGTCGTGGTCTGAGTGAGTGACCAAATTGGTTACTTTTTTTGTGAATATGACTAACCTGGAGGTCACTGTTATGGTTCTCACACAAGAGCTGTAGAAGTCGTAGGATGGGCTGCATTATCGCCACCGTTGGGCCCATCTCATCTTGCTTTTGCCCAGAATCAGCATCTCCTAATTTGTGATTGTGTGACCTGTTGTGTGCATTTGCCAAGAGGTATTGCACATCCTTTCCTATCGAGGGGCCAAAGGGACATGATTGACAGTGGTTAGTGCCCAGTTTTCAAGATCTTCAGTATCTGTGGTTCTATTCCCATTGACTTTCCTGTTTTTTTTTCTTTTCCATGATAACTAAATCAAGATTAACCCGGGCAGATTATTAACAGGAAAGAGTTTGTGACGTTTACATAGCAACAAAAAGAACCCCCCCAGTCAATTTGTAAAAGAAAATAGTCTTGTCGGCTGATCTTAAACTTTTGATTCTAAAAGCCCGCAGAGTGCACAAGGAAAATTGGGGAAAGACGGAGAGTTTCACATCGTTCAGTCCTGGGAAAGAATGAATTGCACTCGGAAGCAGCTCATTAGGTTTTGACTTTAAGAGTGTGAAGGAAACAATAGAGTAAATCTAGACCCAGGTGGCATCTCTACCCCTATAATAATAATCCTTGCACTGTATATAGTTAATATTGACTCCTCATTGAAAGGCATTATTGTATTATTAAACAACAATGACAAAATCCTTATTCGTGAAAATCCTTCAAGCTTTCTGCAGCCTGAACAATCGGAAGTGTATTTAAGAAATACCATAGAAACACCCCCCTTCCCCAACCTTTATGCCCATGTCCGTTAGCTGTGCTTGCTTTCTCATGCACATCATCCTTTGACATCTTGCTTCCCAAATCGTTCACATTGACCAACACGGTTGCTTTGATTTCCTGTTGAGCGATTTTCATGCGATCATGAAGCACCTTGAAAAACTTCTCCGATTTGTTGTCTCCGGTCATGAGAATGTAGAAGGAATTCTAAAGAAGAAAATAGGAATCAGCTATATGCCTTAATTTAAGGAATGCTTCTTTTTTTACCAACATATCTTTCAGACGGCCTCTTCTTCCAAATGATGACTTTCAAGAGAGGTTTGGATGAAGAAGATCCTTCGGTCTATTTGGTCTCATCCTTCCACAGTCCCCACCCTACTGTCATCCCAACACCGCATCAAGGCATTACGTAAATGGGTCCAGTTTCCTGAGCTCAACCATGTTTCCTGGTAACCCTGTTCCAGCTATGGCTAGGACACATCCAGGAAATGAATGTTAAATATCCCATCACTGTGAGGATCATCACATCCCATCCACATTGTTTCCACCCCTGTGTTACTGTGTATTTGTTTTCAGCTGTGGTTGGTAATGTTTAATAACTCCCGCCAAAAAAACATTCAATCAGCTTGTTGATCAAACCTGTCTGAACTCCCAATTGCATTTATAATAATAATAATAATAATCCTTGCATTTGATATAGCGCTTTTCACGTCGGGAGGACGTCCCAAAGCGCTTCACAGAATACACTGTAAAGTGAATTGACTGTATATATGTGGGCAAACGCGGCAGCCAATTGCGCACAGCAATGTCCCACAAACAGTCGTAGATTGAAAATGACCAATTTTTATTATTGTTTTTAGTTTTGGAGGGATTATTATTAGGCTCTGTGTGGAGTAAGGAAACTTGCCCAAGGTTTCGCCCCCTGCCTGGAAATTTGGTCAATCATGGCCTGAATCAGTCATGGTTTGTTGGAAAAATCTGTCCTAACATTTATAAACAACAACAACACAATTACATTTGTAAAGCGCCTTTCACGTTGGGAGGACCCGAGAGTTACGGACCCGAGCTGAGGGTCGGGGTGGGGGAGGGTGAAGGGCAGGGGGGAAGCAGGGAGATTGAATAATAAAATCATTATGCTGCAATGAGAAATGTCATTTGTGATACCCAGGTCATTTCTAGCTTCATATCTATCTCTATCAATCAATCTCTCTTTCTCTCTATATATATATATATAGATAGATACATTAGAGAGAGAGAGAGATCTAAAGCAAGAAGACTTTTAAAGCTTCTGTATCTTATGCTGCAAGTGATGGGAAATGTGTATATTTGCTATAAAAGAGAAAACGACAGAAAAAACAGATTTGTGGGACTAGGGCGGAAGACTTGGCAAGGAAAGAATATATGTTTATGTAGACGATGGATGTTGTACAAGGATGCGGGCAGAGAATGCCACCCTCTCTTCTTCCCTACATAAAGATGTTCGGAGTTTAGACAAGGAGGTAGCTCAGAACTGGAGTCTCCCTTGGTAGTGAGTGAGACAGTATATCCCAGAGCTTAAAAAAAATTTGTCAGGCTTTTGTTAAGAACCTCCTGTGTGTTCTTTGCAGCTTTGAAATTCTTCCTGTTTTATTTCTGTGCTGTATTATCTGCTTGAAAGATGACAGAGAGACGTGGAAGCAGTGAGTTTGCATTAATTAGAAAATATGAAAGCTGAAAATCTAATATAAACCCGCAAAATCCATAGCAGAAGTACCTGATAGAGAAAATTAGGTTCAATGTGTTGGCTTTGACCCTTCAATAGAATTACAGAAAAGGTTGTATCTGAAACCATAAGCCTATTTACCTTGTGGGTTCCCAGCGTTTTATTTTCATGGCTTAAATCGGTCCAGTTGCGTTGTTATTTTGCTAAATGCTAAATGTACTTCTGTTAACGTGAAGTTTCCATGCAACTTTTCTTCCCATGCACAAGATCTAGATAAGGTCCAGGACTGGAGCTCAATCGCTGCCGTCCAGTGGCGTATGGACAGAGAAGGAGCCACAAAACTGGTTGCCGATCTCATCTACACAATTAATTAGTGTTGCCATCTTGGATATAAATATTGTAATGGGCATCGAGTAAGTTGTGATCACTACTCACTGGTTAAGAAAATCACTTCCTTAACAAGTGCTTGATGATAAATGTAAAGGCAATGCAAATTGCAACAGGATGTCCTGATGTTTTGGTTGAGCCAGGTTTCAGGCGAGCAAGGACAGAGCAATGGTAACAACAACTTGTATTTATATAGCGCCCCTCATGCAGGGTAGCATCCCAGAGTGCGTGACTTCCCAAGTTTCCGAGTGTAGTGGCTAAAAGCAGGGCCACCAATGGTGGCACGGAGGGCACAAGGGACATGCAGAAAGCTAGAGCCAGTCGAGCGGAGGCAGCGGATAAGCATTAATAGGCAGTATTTATACCTGATTTTCCGTGTTTCCTCCGTCCAGCAGGGCGATGGCAAGTAAAATGCTCTCCTGGAAAATCTTGTCATTTTTGGAACTTGTGATGAGATCGGCAACCAGTTTTGTGGCTCCTTCTCTGTCCATACGCCACTGGACGGCAGTGATTGAGCTCCAGTCCTGGACCTTATCTAGATCTTGTGCACGGGAAGAAAAGAGAATGGTCTAGTGAGATATCTACAAAGTCTACCGGGAGGGACATTCAAACCTGAAAGCGAGATCCCAAGACAGACGCAAGGAGTTTGTTTGTGGAGCGAGTAAAATGCGCAGTACAGATATTAGGCAGTATACTACATTTTGTTCTAATACTAACACCCGATAGATAAAACTTACATTATTATTCAGGTTCTACAAGATTCCCTTTGCAACCCTGTACATTATGGATCGACTTCAAGATCCTCACTCTTGTCTTCAAATCCCTCCACTCCTCTGCACCCCCCGACCTCTCTGACCTCCTCTCTTCTCACAACAGTGCCCGTTGCCTTCGCTCCACCGGGTCTGGCCTCCTCCTCATCCCCCAAATCCTCCTCTCCACCATCGGCGGCCGTGCCTTCAGCCACTACGCCCCGAGGCTTTGGAACTCCCTTCCTCACTCCCTTCGGCTCGCCGCCTCTCTTACAATTTTCAGGTCTCTGCTGAAGACCTTTCTTTTCGACCGCGCCTTTGGTCACCTTCCTCCCCCTCCCTCGGCGCCGGGATCTGTTACTGTGAAGTGCTCTGAGACGCCGTCCGGTGTGGAGGGCGCTATATAAATCCAAGTTGTTGGTGTTGTTGTTATGGCGAATCCACAATGATAAATGTGCTGTCTGACTGAATATTGGCTGTACATATTTGGGTGTGTTTGACAACATGTGTAGTGGACTTACCCGCAATGGACAGATCGCCAGAGTCAGCTTTCGAGTTGAGCTTTTTGTTATAAAGGTAGGCGTTCAGAAGAGTTTTTCGCAAACCGTTTCCCTGTGGAAGAAAATATTTCGGGTGAACATTAGAAGTGAGAGTTCCACTAAATCCCCAAAGAGTGAAAGCCAATCTGGATTAAAATAAACCGTGAGCCAAAAAGATATCTCTACATTTAGTTTGAATAAAACATTACCTCACGGCGTCAATCAAGAAACATTCAATCAAGAAAATTTATTTTGTTGGCCGACCAAAAAGATTAACCACCACTGCTCTAAGGTTTCATCCCATCAAGAGAAGCTGACATGCATTCTGTTTACCATATGTGCGATAAGTTTTTGTCAGTTCTGATCTAATGGTACAATCATTAATTGTCTGCTCTTCATCCAGGAGATTTGAGACTTTCTCTAGCAAAAGTCAAACTCGGTTTCCAGTAAACTCCTTGGATTTTCAAGTAATAATAATAATAATCCTTGCATTTGATATAGCGCCTTTCACGTTGTGAGGACGTCCCAAAGCGCTTCACAGAACACACTGTAAAGTGAATTGACTGTATATTTGTGGGCGAACGCGGCACAAAATATACAAAATATACAAAATATACAAAATAAACCAAAATATAAATCTTTTGATTGAAAATCTTGGCGCAGTGATAGCACTCTCGTCGCTGAGTCAAAGGTTCAAGCCCCATGTTAAGACCTGGAATCACATTGTCTAAGCTGACACTCCAATTCAATGTTGTGTGGGGGAGGGGAGGGGGGGGGGTTGCATAATCAGAGGTGCCGTCCTTCAGATGAGATGTTAAACCGAGGTCCACATTTGTCTATCCAGGTGGATGTTAAAGATCCTGCGGCACTATTTGAAAAGAGAAGGGAGTTTCTCTCTCCCAGCGTCCTGGCCAACAATCCCCCAAATAAAATTGATCACTCGCTCCATGGCTGTTTGTGGGACATTGCTGTGTGCAATTGGCTGCTGCATTTCAAGGATAATATCAAGGATACGCTACCAAATGTAATTGCAAGACAGATACAAGCAGCACGCAGCTCTTTGTGATCTCTGCAACTCGGAATCAATGTTGATTTTTCCAACACTAGGACTGTAACCCACAACAAAGGCACATTATGGTATCACATACACAACTCAGACTGCCGGACTCATGATCACTTCTACAGTGAAACTGGACACAAACAGATATATCCTCCTAATAAAATATCTGGGGTCCTCCATTAATTAAACAGTCTTTTTTTTTAACCACAAACATGAACAGTTGTGATAAATATAAGAATCCCTGAGTGTACATGCAAACAGATACCTTGTGAGTGTCATTAAAGACCTCAACCTGGGGAGCTGAACCATTTGTTCAGCGTGTGGGAAGGAGTCATTAGTGCCTCGTAAACACCGGGATTTCTGATTTTAGTGCTTAAACATCACGAAGAAATTTGTGTTTCGTACGAATGGATACGCTGGAACACATTCTTGATAAAACAGATATGTGTTTTTAGCAGGAAATGTAACCGAATCAACAGCTTTCTAATTGAATAAGAGCAAAGCTGTGGCTGGAGACAGACCATCAGATACAGTGAGCGTGACAATGCTTTAGGACAGGGCTTTAGGAAGGTCGGGAACTGTATGCAGCGCAGCATTTGTGTCAAGTCACCAGTCATGCTGTACTTGTGGTGCTTAAACAGTCAAAGGAACTGATTGAAGAACATTGGCCACCCTCTGAGCAAAACCAGGTATTTTTTCAACAGCAACTTGGGAGTCAGTGTGTTGCTGCGGTTTACACTGGTCGAACTCAACATGGTCTTAAAAAGAACTCCAACTATCCAGCACCCTGGGACGGCTTTCCGACATGAAGGACTCCATATAGGAATAAGTTGTTGTTGTTATAAGAATAAGAATAATCTTTGCATTTGATATAGTGCCTTATTACGTCTCGGAGACGTCTCAGAACGCTTCACAGAATAGACTGTAAAATGAATTGACTGTATATTTTCTGTTGCTCAAACTCAAGCCTGCTGGTTCTCCCTTTATCTCCTCTATCATTAACGGCTTCATTTTTCCCCAGTGTTCCCCGCTCTCTGGGACTCCCTCACACAATCCCTTCAACTTGAGCCTCTATTCCTCCCTTACCACCCTCCAAAAATCTTGCTTCTCTGACCGTGCCTTTATAGAATAACCTTGATTCTCACCGCCCTCTCCCCGGTGATGGATGATGTAGGTGCTTAGAATCTTTAACCGTACATGAAAGGTACTAAATGAGCTGTGTTTATTTCTAAGAAAAAAAACCTGGCCTGGCTTGAACTCGAATAATTCTGGAAGATGATAATAATAATCCTTGCATTTGATATATCTCCTTATCACATTGTTTAGACGTCTCAAAGCGCTTCACAGTATATACTGTAAAATAGATTGACTGCTTATTTTGTGGGCAAAACGCGGACGCACAGCAACGTCCCACAAACAGCTGCGCGACCAATTTTATTGCAGAATTAATTCACAAATTGTTTCCTGGATTGAAGGTAGTAGTGAGGCCGTAAAAATACAAGTTAATGTTTTGCTGAATGTGGTTTATCTGAAATCCTGTACATGTCTGGGTTAAACAGCCTCCTCCCACGAGCAGTGTGTTTATTTGAATCCTAGAGGTAGGTGGTTAGATTGATTTGTCCTCACCCGTTCTCCAACACTCTCTCTCTTGATCAGCATTTGTTGAAGTGTGCGCAAAACTTTGATGCAGAGCTTCTCTTCTGTTGCCATCAGATCCTTTGTGTGTTGAATTAGCCTAGAAAAACAAATACATCAGCAAAGGTCAAGTACAGTGGATGCACATGAATAGGAACTATTAGATAAGTGCCCAGGGCTCCTTATCCAAACGTTGGCTATCACCTTGATCAATTTCTGCACAAATTCTGTCTGGAAGACAGTGTCACATTGGTAGGTACAGTTAGCACCATCTCATTGACTCAATAATCTTTCTGTCATTTTGGGGCAGTTCATTCAAAACCTGTGGCATCAGCTGTTGAAAACGATTCCAAGATTCTGTCGCATTTTACAAGAACAACAACTTAGACGAAACTCTTCCTGGAGACCAATAGGGATCGCTGAGCAAAGAGAGAATTTCAAAGGCAGGGAGCGAAGAAACGGAGCAAAGGAATCTTGAGAGAGAGTCCAAAAGAGCCAGGGCACAGTGGCTGAAAGCTCGTCCACCGATTGTGAGGTCGAGGGACTGATAAGGAAGCAGTGTGACACTGGCAGGAGAGCGAGTGGAAGGCATGGTTAGCTGAACAAGCCAGAGAAGATGACTTAGTCAGGATGGGGCATGTTTTTTTTTTTGAGTCATTCCATGTCCCGCTGGAATGGAACAAAAGGGTTATTTCAAATATTGCTTGATTACATAATAATATAATCCACACACAAATATAGTGCCTCTCTCGAAGCACTTTACTGTAAAGCGTAGTGACTGTATTTTGCAGGCAAACGTGGCAACCAATTTGCACACAGCAATGTTCCACAAACAAGCTTGAATGATCAATTGTATTGAGGTGAGGTGTGGTGGGGGGGGGTTGTTGGCCAGGACACCAGGAGAAACTCCCATCTTTTTTGACCTGAAAGTTTAACATCTTATCCGAAGGATGGTATCCCGGCAATGGCATATTTATTCACCGTAATGATAGTGTAATTTGTATTCGATAACATATAGAGAAGTTAACATACAAGGACGGTGTTCATTTTGCGTGCCACATTGTAAAAGTGTCTTTTTCTAAACCTCCACGTAACAAAATACTAACATCGTCCATCTGAAACGAGTAGGAGATTCCTCCTGTGGTGCCTCACACGGCTGTAGAATCTCTGAAGACAACTTGGTTTAGGCTTTACTTACTTTGAGATAAATCCTCCATTTTCGCATCGTTGCTTAGCGTCCGACCCTTCCATAAAAAGCAAGTCCGGCCTATGCAAGACATCAACCAGCACGTGAAATTCAGCATCCACTAGAGGCTTCAGCCTTTCTTCCAGTTTTGTTATGATATCCTAGAAAAAATTAGGAAAGTATTGGAAATGGAGGCGATGGAGAGACGTAACTGTTGCCATCCTACAGTCAGTTTAGGTAACACCGACAACAAATTACATTTGTACAACGCCTTTCACGTCAGGAGGATGTCCCAAGGCCAACCTTACGTGCTCCGAGACGTCGTCCGATGGAAAGGCCGAGTCGTTGTTGTTGTCGTTGTTACAGTGTACAGTGGCTAATCACCAAAAACCATGACTGCATTAGGTGTTCAGTTACTATCCCTCAATACATAGCATTATCAGCGCACAAGCTAATGTTAAATGAGATGAATTTACTTTCTGTAAATTGGTAAATCCTCTACCAGCGAAACAAGCGCCTATGTGAGGAACGTTACAAAAATGTAACAAGTACTGCAGAATAAATCCTTCCCGTCTAGAGATTACGAAAGATGTTTCAATGAAAAATGTCCCTGGTGAAACCTGGTGTATTTATCCTTCCAGGATGCCCATACTAATGACTTCCTCTTACACCATCCACACTATTTCATGGAAGTGAAAGGAGAGAAAATCGGTTTAAGGGGGAAAGAAAAAGCTTTATCCAGAAAACTGGATTAAATTCACTGCATTAGGTGTTCAGGTGCTATCCCTTAATACAGCAACCTCCATTGTTGTGTTCAGTTAAGCGACCGATACAGACATAAAACTCCAAGCTGTGTCACTGGTGGAGGGGGTGAGGGGAAGGCGGGGGAAGAGATAACATCAATCAGCACTGCTGCCAACAAATGTAATAGATCGCAGGTTGGGAAATTCTGGCTAATTTAGTGACTGGCTTTCTGCGATTTGCTGTTAGGTGGGTTTGTAAACAGTTCTCTTCCAAACGAAACAGCGAGAAGCAAACCTGTAGTTTCTCGATGATGTTCTTGTATTCCCACTGCTGCTGGGAGGCAGGGGTCCGAGGGAAAGCTCGGGTGCTTGATTTCCAGTTGGGGGCGTTTCTTTGAGATGACTGCAACTGGAGATTTAACAGAGTGCTGGCTTGGGTGTCCAGGTCCAGTGGGAGCGGTATTGAACGGCTCTTGGCTACAATGGAAAACAAGTCACGAAAGATGCTTCCCAGGAATACTTCAATGAACTAAATACTCAGGGTATCACAGTCTTGCAGTACACCCACATCTCCATTATTCCTTTACATTCGTAGGTACTTGACGCAGGTCAATTGTTTAAAATTAGCATTGTTCTCATCACTGGAGACGATGCATGTTTGACTTTGCTCAGTTCTCAACAGAAGTTGTGTTAAACAGGAAGGCACCAGACTAGGAGGCGAATTGCAATTTTTCTTAAGCTATTCAAAATCAATAGAAATCTACACTCTTTGAAGCCAAACTTTTTTTTTGCAATTGACCTGTAGGCTTAAGGCCTGACCAGCTCGATCAGTTCATTTTTTGGCCTCCAAAGAGTGTGGTCTTGCATTTGATAATAACACCTAGGTCATTGAGACACCTCGAATTCACTCTAAAGTGTAGCCACTCTGCAATTAGAAGCAAAATATTGACAACTTTTCAAATAGTGTCACGGGATCCTTCAAATCCACCTGAACAGGCAGACAGGACCTCAGTTTAACGTCTCATTCGAAAGATGGCACCTCTGAAAACACAGTGTTTCCCCCCCAGCCCTGTATTAGTGTCAGCAAGACTGTGAATTCAAAGTGCCAACGCACTTGAACCCCACAACATTGTGACTCAGAGATGAGAGTGCAAACAACTGAGCCAGGCCCACAAATTATAACACAGAGGCACTTTGCATTCAGTTCTTCAGTCAGAGTACTTGTTCCCTTACCCATCAACGCCAAGGTCCTGATACAGGTTTCAACTGAGGACTTTTGCTGCTGTTGCAGCCAGGAGCAATCTAGGAGCCGACATGTGGACTGTAGCAGCTGCACGACAATTGACTGATGTGTCTGTAAGGCACAGTGAGCGATACACACAGAGTTGTGATGTTAAAGCAGAAGAGCTTACTGTTGTAGAATACAATACAAAATTACATCTGTAAAGTGCCTTTCCTGCCGGGAGGACATCCCAGTGTATCACTGTCAAAGTTAACCATGAAAAGAGGGGATATCATTAACATGTTTATTACCGCGTAAGTACCTTGGGCCGAGGTGTCGAATGAAACACTGTAATATATCATGTAGCATCCACTCATTTTTGACGTGTCATCCATGAGCAATGAGGAATTACATTCTTGAAGATGTAATTAAAAATGATCTATTTCATCTTGTTAGATTTATATCGCTGAATAATCTGCCAAATTCCAATGTGTTCATTTCCCCTTGAGGACCTCCAAGCTATTTGGAAGGCAATTTGCACCTGTGATTGCCTGAAATGATGAGTTCCAGCCCCATGACTGAGGCAGACACATGGATGTATGGGAGAGGTGAGATGGTGGGATGAATCATTTTGATCATCAAGCAAGTTGATGCTTTCTTAAGCTATGGCCTGCATCCCCTCTCTCCCCCATCTCTCAACCTTGGTTTTGCTTTCCGTCCCAAAGTACAAGAGAGGAGTTAGAAGAACAACATTGAGATTGTGGACATACTTGGACTTAATACTTTAAAATTCCTTTTTGAATCACAGGAAGCCAAGAAGATCAGTACAATAAGGAGTAAGAAGGGTCATTGGAATTAAGAAGTTCAGGAGAGGTGAAAAGAGAACAAACAAAATGGGAGAAAGAACAGAGATCGAGTTGATTGAAAAAGAGTGATGGAAAGCAAGATTCTCAGAGGTTTCAGTCACTATATTTGTCAAGGGATTGGCAAAAAAAACATTATCACTGGAGAAAGATATTTTTTAATGCTTCTTTCTAATGAAGTTCTGCTTAGGGTTATGAGCAAAAATAAAGTTGACTTCGAAGTTTTTGGATGGGCAGAAATTTTACTAGAAAAAAAGCAAAATGGATTATACCAAGATGGAGTGACCAATTGTAAAATCCTGTGAAACGCTTTGAGATGTCTTAATGCCATGATAAGGCGCTGTATCAAATGTCAAACTAGATTAACTCTGGTGACTTTACTGGCACAGAGAAACAGGATCAAAGAAGCAGAACAGAAGCAACATTTATACCAGGAAACAGAAGTTTCTGTTTCTTTTATGAGGGGAAATGAGATAAATATGTTCGAAAGAGAAATATCAAATAGTGCGAGGAGAAAAAGCAGCAGATTGGGACTAAATGGAGAGTTCTTTCAGAGAGCCAGCACAGGAATGATGGTCTTAATTGCTGTATATTTATAAGGGTCTGCTTTTTTAAGGAATAAATTCTCTAAGATGATTCCAGAGAGCTGGTAAAAAGCACCAAAGGAGCATGATACGTGAGCAATGCCAAAGGGATAGGAACACATTATTACTCGTCTATTTCATGGTCAGGGAATAATGTGCACCCTGTGTGGAGGTGGGGTGCGGGGGATAAAGGGGGCGGTTAATCTTCTGTTCTTTCAAATTTAATGAAAGGATTCGCAGCGATTTTACCTGCAATGATGTGCTGTTTTCAGAGAATGGAGAGCTGAAGAACGCATTAATGGTATCCATGACAACAGTCACCACATATTTCTCCAGCGTAGGATCCGAAAGTCTTTTCTCCCTTTTGTTGCACACCTTGGAGTGAAATAAAAGCAGCACGAAAGACTTGCGTCAAAAGATCTCAAAGTAGTTTTTCAATTTATAGAAAATAAAGGTTAATTATTGTAATTCACATTTGTAACAGCGATGCAGTCAAATGTGTTGTTTTGCATGATTAAGCATGATCTTATAAATGTAATTAATTTACCATTCACAGAAATACCCGGCAGAACAATTTACAGGTGTAATACGCCACTGCTAGACGCAATGCTTTTGTGAACACAAATTCACAAATTGCAGCTTTGTTTCTTCATGAGAACATCCAAACAGTACGAGGATGCACGCTTTTGCTCAAGGTTTGCCGAATATTAAGATAAATGGGAGAGGAAATCGTTGCCTGTTCATTAGACTTGGGTTCGCGTTTGACAATAAACGTTTACAAAGCCCACGAGAGAGAAGGGAAATGAGTGAGTGAGTGAGTGAGTAAGAGAGAGGTAGAGAGAGAGAAACCATTGCTTGTATCTTGCTATTGTTTAAGTTTTAATTACTTCGCCCTCTACAAGAGGGAAAGGATTTACCATAGTATTCATCTGTCAGAAAGAATTATGCTTTAACCTCCCACATCCCCGAAAATATTAAAAAGAGATCATAATTGTCATTTTCTACCACCCGTGTACGCTCTTAAAAATCAATGTGGTCACTCAATCCACCGCTGTTTGTGGGACAATGCTGTGTGCAATTGGCTTCTGCGTTTTGCCCACAAAATATACGTTCAATTCGCATTACAGTATATTCTGTGAAGCGCTTTAAGACATCTCAATGATGTGATAAAGCGCTATTGTCAACAACAACAACAAATTACATTTGTATAGTGCCTTTCACGTCAGGAGGACGTCCCAAGGCGCTGGACAGTCAGAGATCCGCACCTGAGCTGGTGATTGGGATCAAATATCAAATGCATCATTATTATTCAGTGTTATGGATTAACCTTCGGCAGACCTACCCTGGCCATGTCCACGGTGAAGTTCTCGAAAAGTTTCCAGATATGATTACTGGTATAGATCTCTTTCATCTCGACCTCTGTGTCCACGTAGCAGTGATTCACAAAGTTGACGTAGGCTATTTTCACCTGAGTAGAAATAAAAGAGGTAAAATTGTAAATCCATTTGAATACCAAATGAGAGCGAAACAATTCTGAATGCAACCGACCTCTGCCCTTGGAATGTTCAGTTCCTTCTTTCTCCCAGGAATTTCCTCTGTAATCTACGCCTTTGCCTTTAATAATTCTCACATTTCGTAGACCAGGGCCTATTGCTTAGATGAATAGACAGCTGAGCTTGCAAGATCTAGAGCTTAAGAGTAAAATAGTATTCGTCCCCAGTATACATGACACCAAAAGCGTGACAAAATTAAACTCGACTTTTGTCTCGTTATTCCTTCAATGAACGACACCCACCATCCCCACCTTTATTTAATGGAAATATTCCAGTTAAATTACAACATGGTTTCCTTTCTCCGAACCGCTGCACTGCTGTCTGTGATGCCGGATGTAAATGACACACGGATTTGTCTCTCGTGCTTTCTGATACTCAAATCTGCCACCCGCATTCACAAATCCCGCTCAGGCTGATAAATCAGTCTCCACCGCCAGGAACAGAGTGTCTCTCACTCCTGGTACTGCTGTGGCTCAGAGATAAACATCCGAGATAAACAGGGGCGCTCTGAATCAAATCTGAAGGGACGTAAAAATAAATGTGTCCTGGCCGACAATAGGCCAGAGTAAAACTGGCCATTGTTATTAATATTATTATTAATAATTAACCATCATTTAATCTGATTTCATTTAGAAAGAGTCAGGATTTACTGTCTTGTGTGGGTGAACCGTTGCTAACGTCAGGATATTTCCGCAGCCTCACTGCCCTTCTCTGAATCCCAACCATTGTCTCCAAATGCTTTTCTAAGTCCAAAAGTGCACGCAGTGGGGCGAAATATGCAATTTCTCAAACCGTTCATTCTGTTAATTTAGTACCAGCACTTTGTCTCGACATGAAAGGTGCTACATCATTGCGAATTGCATCGTAGCTGTGTTTGCCTGCCAAATAGCCACTGCGCTTTACAGTAAAATCATGTAAAAGTGCTTTGAGATGTCCTCCCACAACAAGGATTATTATTAGTGGCGAGACCACTGTCTTAACTTTAAATTGATGAAGAATTGAGCCTGCATTCGGATGACGGTTGTCTGCGGTTCGTGAAAAGTATCTGAGGCTGAAGCCATGAGAAATGTCAGAGCCCAGATCCCCTTCACTTCAGTCCAACTGGTAGGGAGTTTGAGTGAAAGTGGAAGGTGTTGCTTCGAATCTCACACAAAAATCATTTCCGTTACCTTGTCCCATGGAGACCTGCAAAATGTTGCGAGGCTGCATCATTTTATTTCCCCCTTTTCAGCAAGATCTTAGCTTTTAATTTATTCCAAGAGCGCAGCTGAATTGAATTGTATATTTTTTCCAAATGTAGGTTCTAATATCCTGCATTAGGAATTTCCAGCAATTTACTTCGGCAGATGTTACATAAGGGATTCAATTTTTCTTTTTGTTTCGCCACCCACTCTCCCAAATAGCTCAGCATTGAATGCCAGGAATGCCAGCCACATGACTTGTGTCTCATCTTTGGCTCTTTCTCGGTGGCTGATTTTGTTCCCAATGGAGTCAGTCAGCAGATCTGCTGAAATGAATACTCAAATTGGTGCTGTCATGGGACCTTGCTTTCAGCTGTGTGTGAAGCAACGCGAGAATTTTCCAAATGCTTTCTACAAGTGGAAAGATAAGGCAAGTTCGCTGTAAAAGGAACGGTTTGCAGATTCCTGGGATGATTCCTTACAAATTCCAGCACCTTGGGACGTCCTCCCGACGTGAAAGGCCCTATACCAATGTAATTTTGTATTGTATTGTGTTGGATGAGAAGCCTCGTGTGAATACAGTATTTATGTCTCAGGCTGCTGGGAGCCAGTATCATTTTAAATTCATTCATAGATCACCCTTTAGGCCTAAAACACGACCTAATTTTCACCTAATCTTATGACTCCTTTGGTCTTAACCTTTAAGAACACGCAGAATTGTGGAAATTTCTTAAACTTCAGTCATCGAGGCTTTCGAGGCTTAAGACTGAATTGATGAACTTTTCCACAAAGAAAATTCTGTGCGACCATAAATTATAAGATAAAACGACCTTGCAGCCTGAAGATAGGTGGAACTTTGAGTCGAGTGTCACACAGCTCTGGGAAGAGCAATGCTGTTTTTATATTTATATATAATATGATATATATGATATACAATGTATAATATAATCGAGGTCTAACCAAATTTCTATCACAAGGGCATCTATCCATCGTTGAGCACCCCCGATCCATTCTATTACTCAGAATGTCGAGATCATCCGCTCTTTAGATCACATTTTCGTCAAATCTCATCAGCGAGATGATCGTTTCTCTCCCCTTTCTTCTCTACAAAGCTGACAATGTGCTGCATTGAGATTAAAAATGTCACCACTGTCGGTTGATACTTCTGACATGCCGTCACCTTTAGATTTGTTGACAGCGTTGACAAGTCAACTGACATTGTGCTCCCGCAAAGTGTCAGAGCAGCAAGCTAAAATATGTCGGCAAATTCAATCACCACCGTCCTTTCCTCTCAGCCATCGTTACACATCGATATTTCTCTCCATTTTCTTGAGTGGGGTGGGGAAGAAACTCCCAACGGGCATAATAATAATGTTAAATATTAAAATAAAAATCCTGATAAGCAAGAATTGCCCGTCAAACTGCAGCAGCCCAAATCAATATTAGGCTGAGCTACTAATAATTTATATTATGTGGCTAACATAGATGCTTGGATCCATTATGTGCTGATTGTTAAACAGTCATCTTTTCATCGTGCCTTTATAATGGATTTCCATTGATGATAACTGTTTTTTAATGACTTAAGTGTGTGTCGGGGCCCAATCCCAAGGCTGATGGTATGGGAAGAGAGCAGGTAAAAGGCATCAAAAGATCTGCTACGCTCTAATTAAACTAGCTGAACAGCCTCGATTGCTTGAACGGCCTCTTCCTGCTCCTATGATCCTATGAATGCCCGAAGGATTTATCTGTGTTTATAACAGGACTCAACAAGGACAGTTAAATATTTTGTGAAAACAGCCCCACTTCTCCCACATATGGGCACTGAACCTGCATTTTCGTGCGTCCAGTCTTGACACTCTGAAACAGTGTCTATCCTTATACAGATGCTTTTGCGTGAATTTCTTCAACCGTTGCCTTGTTTGGAATCTACTGAACAGGTTATTCATTTATCTCAGGAATTTCTGCCATTTCAAGCTGAAAATTAAATTAATGACTACAACACTCTTTGCTATTTTTTCTCAAGAATGTTCCGCTAAATTCCAACGTTGTTCCATTCACACCAGAAAGAGAGATGGTCGACGAAATTTACATTCAGCACGATTGTGCTGATGGAAGGAGTGTATCTGTTGTATGTGATAAGCCTGATCCACAAGGAAGGAGTTGGCATCAGAAAGGGAATATTGTCAATTTAACTTAATCCCAGCTCGTCACACTCTCAGATAGGGTCAATTCCTCATTATTTGTTGGCTTGTCCATGTGGCATTCCACTTGAATCAAACTGAATGAAAACAATCTCCTAACCCAGACCCTATTCAGACCACACCAGTAATGCTGTGTGCAAATTGGCTGCCTACAAAGCAGTCAAGTCACTAACCCTTTACAGTAAATCCTATGGAGACATCCTCCCGACGTGAAAGGTGTGATGTGAAATGCAATGATTATAACAAAGAACAGTACATCCCAAAGTACGGACTATCGCTTTCTTCATTTTGTTTTGCCCACAGTCATTTCACTTTACAGTATATTCTGTGAAACGCTTTGAGACATCTCGAAGACGTGATATTATTATTAATGTGGGTTTGTTTGACCTCGTTGAGGTCAGGGTCAGAGGTACCTCCGTTATGCAGTCCTCATGAGTGATGACTCTCACAACGTCCTCCAGAGGCAGCAGCGAGGTACACTTGATCTCCGTGTAGACGTTCTTGCCCTCGGCGCAAGCAGCGAGGAGGTTCACCAGGGAGATGTGATAGGCGAGAGCGCTGTTCTCCTCCACGCCTTCTCGGGCCGCGCTCATTATTTCCAGCATGGTGGAGAACGAGGCCTTGTCATTGTAGAATATCACAACGTCATCGCCGGCGCTGGTCAGCTGTCGAGACGCAAACAGGAGAGACTCAAACGGAATCGACGGGTCAGTGAGCGGAGGGCGTCAGTTTAAGATCAATGCCAATAAACAAAGGGAGAGGATCGGAGAATTTTCATAACACAAATGGGTGGTCGAAGCAGAATCTGTAACATTTCTCAAAAGGGAATTAGACAAATATTTGTAAAGGGTAACGATGAATGGATACGGGGAAAAGGCAAGGCAATACAAGCCCGATGGGCCGAATGGCGTTTATCAGTGCTGATAAATTCTATCGGCTTGATATTCAGCCTAACTTTAGCCTGTGAGACCGTTCAGTGTTGAAATCTTTGAGCAGTTTTTGCCACTGTTCTTAAAAAGAAACGGCTTCCAAAATAAATTAAGATCAAGAATAAGAAGGTCTTGGAATTCCGCACAATCTTATATTGTAAGGCAAAATGGGTTTACGGACCATATTAGGTGGAGCTTTAGAGCTAATGATTCAATGGATTCGTTACAAGTTGGGACCACAGTTGAAACAATCGATCGAACGATAAATCCATCGATCAATCAATCATTCCAACACATTCTAATCCCTGCGATTGAAGGGGGGTAAATTCAGAACAAATTTGCGGAAACATTATTTTAGTGAGGCGAGCAGTAAACATGTGGAACAGGCTTTCTAGGGAGACGGCGGAAGCAGAAAATGGCACTTGCTTCAAGAACAAATTAGATAGATTTCTGCTAGAAAATAATATCTCAAGATATAGTTTGGGACACGACATGTCAAGCGACTGCCAGGATGGTGGAAGGCGAAACTAGATGGAGCTCGGTCTTTTCTCACCCATCAAATTCTTATGTTCTTATTACTCTTACCTCTGTCATCACCATGTCTTGACACTTCTTAACGTACTTCCCCTCGGCTTTGATGATGGTGTGTAAGAACTCGAGGTACTGAACGTGACGGCCGTGAGTTGCTAAGCAGTGCACAAAGTGCTGCAGGACCCCTTCGCTGATCTCAGAGCACAGCTGATAATTGTTCATGAAGATGTGCTGCATGGTCTCAGCCTCTAAGAGCTGCCAAAAGGAAAGTGAGGGGTTGACCATATCATCAGCATTCGCCGGACAAAGCCACAGAGCTTTCAGCCACTATGCCTCGAACCTCTGAAACACTCTCTCTCAATCCCTCTGCCTTGCCCCCCGCATCCTCACCCGCACCCCTCCCTATCTCCACTACTGTCAAGCGCTTTGGGACACTGCTCTACATAAATGCAAGTTGCTGTTGTTGTTACAGATACATCCGAACCAAGCGGGCGTGCCCAAAAGGGATGAATGCATCCTGGGTTTGTACGTTACATAGACTTGCATACACTGTAAACTCCGGATAACTTGTCACTCCAAGGGAAAAAGGGCTGAGTGACGAGTTAGGCATCTGTATAATACATAAAGAAACACAACCGGGATATTGGTATTGATATAAGGTGCGGATCCCTGACTGTCCAGCACCTTGGGACATCCTCCTGACATAAAAGGCGCTGTACAAATGTAATTTGTTGTTTCTCGTTGTTGATAGACGATGGCTTTTGTGGTAGTGACAAGTTAAGCCAGAATGCAGTTGTCAGAAGTTTACAGTAGATCAACTCTTCAAACGCAAGTCTTCTCCAATGGGGATTTCTGACGCAAACCTTACCTTTGTTTTTTTAAAAAAAAGTATTTCTTCATTTGTTTTAAAGTGAAACGGTCGTGTTTTATAAAAACAATTTTTTTTAAATTAAAAAAATAGATTTTTTTTTACAGCTAACAAGATATTTCTTCACACTACAGACAAACCCGAACAAAATCGTTTGCCCTGTAACCTAATTGCTTTAAGCGTAAAACTGTACCCGTGAAACTAGCGTTTGGTCCAATTTCCATAAATTTGAATAATTGCTGCATAATTTGAGGCCAAAGACTGTCAACACTGTTGTTTTGAAAAAGACACTGATAAAAAAAGGATTTCACTGTGTACTGTGGATGAAAACATCTTCCAGCCACGCAGCTCATAAACACCAATCACTTCAAAGTTACTCATTGTCATTGTCCACTTCTCCTTTTTAAATCCCTTCGTGCCCTGGCACCTGCCTACCTCTCCGCCCTGCTTACCCCTCCAACCCACAACTCGCTGCCGCCACTCGACTGGCTCCGGCCTCCTGCACGTCCCTCATGACCTCCATTCCACCATTGGTGACTGCGTTTTCAGCCACTACGCCACTCTGGAACACTCTTCCTCTATCCCTCTGCCTTGGCCCCTCCTTCCCCATCTTCAGGTCGCTCCTGAAGACCTTACTATTCGACCGTGCCTGCGGTCACTTCGCCCTCCCCCCGGCTTTGCGTCGTGCTCCACCACTGTCCAGCGTTCTGGGATGCTACTCTGCTATATAAATGCGAGTTGATGTTGTTTGTTGTTGTTCTCTAGCGCTGGTTATTACCTTTGGTTTATCATCATCAGAGAACCCAAGTCATCAGGATCAAAGCGAAACTTTAAGGGGAGATTTAATAGAGGTGCTCAAAACTATGAGGCATTTTGTTATTTAATAGGGAGAAACTGCTTCCAATGGCGGGTGGGTCTTTAACCAGAGGACACAGATTCAACATAATTGGCAAAAGAACCAGGGGGGAAATGAGGAGCGTGTTGTTACGATCTGGATTGCACTGCCTGAAAGGGCGGTGGAAGCAGATTCAATGATAACTTTCGAAAGGGAACTGGATATTTACTTGAAAACAAAAAAAAATTGCAAGACTGTGGGGAAGTGCAGGGAGTGGGACTAATTGGAGAGCCCTCTCAAAAAGCGATGGGCCGAATGGCCTCCTTGTGTTCTGTAGGAATCTATATATGGGTGGATAAAGCTATCAGGCCAGCTGCAAAGAAATGCTCCAATGTTGGCAGGTTTCGGAATTTATGCTGTTACTGCTGTCAACATGGAGCGATTGAAAAGGATATCCAACAGAGTCCTGTAGTTCGGGATTAGAACACTCGCCTCGCAAGCAAGGGATCTGGGTTCAATTCCCGACAGGGCGAAATGATGGGCAAGTTTCCTTACTCCACATGCCTCTGTTTACCTAACAGTAACTAGGAACCCGGTTGTTAGTCGATTGACGGATCGCTTTTCTGGGGATAATAATTCCTTCAAAAAATAAAAAGTAATAATAATTTGGGTCACTCAATCCACGACTGTTAGTGGGACACTGGCTGTGCACAATTGGCTGCTGCGTTTCGCCCACAAAATGTACAATCAATTCACTTTACAGCATATTCTGTGAAGCTCTTAGAGACGTCTCGAAGACGTGATGAGGCTCTGTATCAAATGCAAGGATTACTATTATTATTATAAATCTCGGTAATATCTTGGCAGCGGGTTCACTTACTCCAGGATTCAGGAACAGGTTCAGGTGTTTGTAAAGCAGAGTCTGGTTCTCCGGATTTCCAGCACAAAACTTCTGCAGAAACTGGTGCGTGTACTTCAGAATCTCAAGCATTTTGGTATCGTTCTGCAATGAACCACAAGTTGCGAGTTACTTATCCCGAGCAGCAGTAAAATAAGCAATTTATTCTGTGCATTACGACTTGTGGGACTTCACATAGGGTAATCCGCACAGCAGAGTAGCACGATTCTCTCATTCCCTCAAAAAAACATAAAAAACATTTGGTCACTCAAATCCACGGCTGTTTGTGGGACATTTTCGCCCGCAAAATGCACGGTCAATCCACTTTACAATAGATTCTATGAAGCGCTTTGAGACATCCCAACGATGTGATAATGCGCGATATCAAATGTAAAAATGATTATTATTATATATCATTATTATTATGATTCACGTTCCTGGAACTTGGCAGTTCTGGACATTTGAGATTATTCGTAAAAATAAAATAGTATAAAAATGAAGAAACTAAAACACACTCATCAGAACCCAGCTCGACAGCACTGCCAAACACCCTGAGCTAGACAGTCTGCCCGTGCACTCAGCCAGACAGCAGTGCTCCCTTGACCTGAGGGGGTGCCTTTGGAACCCCATCCTACATTCCTTTTACCTCGTTCCCTCCCTTACCTCCTTCAAGGCACGTCTCAAGACCCTAGTCTTTGACCGTGCCTTCGACTACCTTCCTACCCCTAACCTCTCTGCCCTCCAACACCTCCCCCCGACCCCCGGCTTGGGTCCAAATCCCTGATTGTCCAGCACCTTGGGACGTCCTACCGACGTGAAAGGCTCTCTACAAATGTAATTTTGCATTGTGCTCTAATGGCTCTCCTGCAATAGGCTGCCTTAAGGAGGAGCAGGAAGCCACTTACAAAGTAAGGCAGGAGGCAGAATCAGCAGAGAGATCTGTCAAACAGAATGGAGGAAAATATCCTGACTTGAAAGGTCAAAGTAAAGGTCTCGGAATGAAATTCAGCTAAACGCTCGAACAGGAGAAACATCTCTCACTGAAAGGTCACTGTTGATTGCTCCCACACTGCGACTGGATGTCTTTAAATACCACAGCTGGGCAACAGCCCCAGTTATAGTTATTCTCATTTTTGATTTCTCTTTCTTGTTAATTCAGTGTCAGAGTGGAGTCCTATAGTATAGCGGTTAAAGGCACTCGCCTCACAAGCGAGAGGACCCGGGTTTGATTTCCCGGGCAGGGCAAAACCTTAGGCAAGTCTCCTTACTCCACACACCTCTGTTGACCTAGCAGTAAGTTGGAACCTGCTTGGTAGTCGATTGGCGGATCGCTTTCTCGGAATGATAATTCCTTCAAAAAAAAAATAATAATTTGGCCACTCAATCTGTTTGTGGTACACTGCTGTGCGCATTTGGCTGCCGCATTTCGCCCACAGAAAATACAGTCAATTAACTTTGCAATATAGTCTGTGGAGCAATTTGAGATGTCTCAACGACGTGATAAGGCGCTATATCAAATGCACGTATCATTATTATTATTACAAATCTATCTGCCATCCGTTTTGCAGCTGTTTGATCTGATCTATAGGGAAGAGATGCTACATCAAGTACAAGAATTATTAGAGTCCAGAATTGACGATCAAGGCTCACCTTCTCGTATGGCACCTGCAGCAGATCGAGCATCACTTTGTGAGTCCCCATGTTTTTCAGCAGTCGCTGTTGTTTCTTCCTGACTTGCTCTCCGACCCCACACATTTTGTTCAGTCGCTCCAAAATCTGCAAAGATTTTTCATCACACATCCACATGCGTTAGAGATCTGCACATTGTACATCTCCTTTACCATTCCGCTCACTTTCCAGTAACAGCCTCCATAATTACTCAGGTAATGTGTAGCCCCCTCGCATCACTTAACCTGTCCCATTAATATGGTTTCATATTCCTTTTTTTTTCGCTCTATATTAATATTCTCCTTTCCCGCTTTTTTGCTTAATATTCAGGTGGATATTCACGTGGCACTGTAAAACAAAGGGAAGGGAGTTTCTCCCGGTACCAGCGGCTTGGGACGTCCTCACGACGTGAAAGGCGCTATACAAATGTAATTTTGTTGTTGTTGTCTTGGTAGACAATCCTCCGGATAAAATCAATCATTCATTCACTACTGTGTGCAAATTGGCTGCCACATTTGCCTACAAATACATAGTCACTACACTTTACATTACATCCTTTGAAGTGCTTTGACACATCCTCCCAACGTGAAAGGTTTCACATGATTATTATTATTAATAATACTATTGAAAGACAAATTCAGACAAAGTCCTATCCTGTATCTCTGCTGCAGTCCTATATGAGAGGGGTGAAGGTAGCATCTTACCTCATGGGCCTTCTACCCAACCCACTCATAGTTGTCAGGTGGGAAACAGGGAGACCAGAGAATTGATGCAATGAGAGAGAAGGTTTCCCCACCCCTCCCTCCAAAGACACAACCCACCTCTTTGACACTTTGATAGCTGCCACTACTTTTCCCCCCAATTGTCTTCTCCAAAGACGAGTCTTCGCCAGGCTCCTGAAACATGAAGGTTATAACAGTTGTGGGATCATCCAGGACAAATCCCCAGCTGCCAGTCAAAGTCAGCAACTGCATCCAACTGGTGTCAGCCTGGCTCAGTCGACAGCACTCTCGCCTCTGAGTCACAAGGAAGTGACTCAGTCTAGGGTGATGTTTCAGTACAGTGCTGGGGGGAGAACACTGCATTATCATTTGGATGAGACGTTAAACTCTGTCCCCGTCATGGGGCAAATATCGTGGTTTAAAGAGAATCCATAATAGTTTTTTTTAATAAAAGGAACAAGACAAATTCTTTTTCAAGGAAACAAACTTAAAAAAAGGGCTTTGAGAGAAAAGGCAGAGGAGCTGGACTAAACAGGCAACTCTGTTCTCAGCCAATAGAGCCTCGCAGGTGTCTATCCGTGCTCCAATTCCATTCTAACAGAAGAAGAATGACCTTTGTTAGATTAGTTGCACTGAGGAGAGTTTGGAGGTGAGAGAAAAGGATCAGACAACAAGGCTTATTTGGTATTCTGGCCAGGAGTGTGAGTAGAAGTGCAGGAAAAACATTCCTAGATATAGGAACAGTGTTGGATAGACTTGAGTTTTATGGAAGTTGGTGGACATACCAATGCCAACCAATTCAGGCATATTGCACCACCACCACCTAAAGGCAGGAAAGAGGTACTTCAGACATACACTGCCTGCATCCAAATGAACAAGTCAAGTCCATTAAAAGGGGAAAGTTTTCACTGAATTACTCTTATACTTGCCACCGATACAATTGGTAGACGAACTGATATTTAAGTGAATTGTAGCCCTGTGTGTTCTTTACTCCCATACAGAAATGCTCCTCCCATCTTTAAAAATACACTTAAAGCCGGGAGAATTGGGTAGATTTCAGGTCAGTTTGGAGCCACGGGCCTGATTAAATGGATACACTGTGCACTGGAAATGCATTCGTCTGCAAAGTCAGAAATGCCACCAGCAACCGGAAAAAGTCATGCCTTCGTTATCCGGCCTAAAGACCAGTTGCCGTCTCTGCTCCAGGTTCCCCGCAGCACTATGTCTAAAGAATGTTTTTCGTTTCCTCTCTCTCTTCAGCAAATCATTAGGTAAAACAGCAACATGGAAATCATGGTGGTGTTTTGCACCTGCATCCCAGTCACACAGTTCCTCATTTTCACACTGGGCACCAGAAAAGGGGTACAACGCACAAAATGGCTCACTTAAATCAGTGAACTGGTGTCAAAACATTCCTGTAAGAGGGGGGTGTGTTTGTTTGTGTGGGCGGGGGGGGTTTGTGGGTGGAGAGATCAGGAGGAGGTTCTGAATCCCCCAATGATCCCAATGATAACCTGATGTCGGTATTTGTCTGGTTTACATTGCTCACAGTGTAAGGGATAGTTACCACAGGTTTTACTTTCTTTCCTTCAGGCGATCCAATGCTTTTTTTGTCTACCCAGAGCTCAGACTTCTCCACCATGGTCCGCAACCGATCCAAATCCGACTTGATCCCTTTGTAGTTCTCAACGTCTTGAGTGGATATGAGAAGCTGGACCTAGAAGGTGGGTAAAATTATAAAAATTCAGTCGGATTTCTGCAGGGTTAAAGCATATTATTATTATAATAATCCTTGCATTTGATATAAAGTCTTTCACGTCAGGAGGAGCGATTCACAGGATTTTACTGTAAATGTACTGACTGCATTCTGCAGGCGAATGTTTGAGAAATGCAAGTTACGCTGATAAACTAGGAAAAGCCTCTCTGTAAAAATGCTGAGTTAGATACTCAGTTATGGTCTGGAAGTGGAAATGCTGTTCAGTACTCAGTGATGCCCATTAATGAAGCAGGATATGGCAGCATTAATGCATGATCCCTTGGGAATTTTGCATGGATTCACCGGATATGCACAAGAGGGAGTAGTTTCTCCCGTTGAGTTAGCATGAGATATTAAATCGAGGTCCCATCTGCCTGTTCAGGTGAACGTTAAAGATCCCATGGCAATATTTGAAAAGAGAATGGAGTTTCTCCCGGGGTCCTGACTGACAAATCCCCCAACTAAAATTGGTTACTCACTCCATGGCTGTTTGTGGGACATTGCAGTGCGCTAACTGCCTGCTGCTTTTGGCCCACAAAATACGCAGTCAATCTACCTTACAGTATATCCTGTGAAGGGCTTTGAGACGACGCGATAAGGCGCTATACCAAATGCAAAGATTATTAAATGGGGTGGAATTTCATGCAGCATCTTTATAATAAGATGCAATGCAGTGAAAACAGAACCGTCAGGAACTCTCAAACCAAAATGCTAATCCTTTAATTGCATGTTGATGAACGCCATTTAAATTGTAGTGCCTCTTCCCTATATTTATGCCTCTTCTGCTTCTGTTATCCCAACTGCAGCAATCGATATTGACAACCCAGTATGAGTTGGCAAAACTACAGTATTTAGGTGACTTGATACATTCTAAACATTGTCCATGGGTTTTATTTGAAAAGGGACAATATTCACACCAACAAGGTTATGTATCAAGAAATATCAGAGGATATTTCCTACATAAACCCATCTTAAATTCAAAACGGAACTATGCAAATAACAGACCAGATAATGGTAGGATTTCTGCTTCACGAGGGCAGTGATTCTTCCCATTCAGCTCCTGTTAACTCTACACCCAAGCCCTAACATGTAGGCAGGTCCTAATAATAATAATCCTTGCATTTGATATAGCGCTTTTTTACGTCGGGAGGACGTCCCAAAGCGCTTCACAGAATACACTGAAAAGTGAATTGACTGTAAATTTGTGGGCAAACGCAGCAGCTAATTGCGCACAGCAATGTCCCACAAACAGTCGTAGATTGAAAATGACCAATTTATTATTGTTTTTAGTTTTGGAGGGATTATTATTAGGCTCTGTGTGGAGTAAGGAAACTTGCCCAAGGTTTTGCCCTCTGCCTGGAATCGAACTCAGGTCTCTCACTTGCAAAGCGAGTGCTCTAACCGCTGAGCCACAGGACTCCGCTGGACAAGCAGCAGGAAGGTTACACAGACAGTACTCTCAACGGCAAGCTACAGCGTTTGGAGCTGGTTAAACTCCAGCAGTTACCCTGGGAATCCTCAAACCTTGTCTCTCGCCAACCTGCAACCCTCAAGAGACAGAGTGAGGATTCCATTCCAGACACAGGGACATTTCAACAAAAACAACAACAAGTTACCCTTGTATATCGCCTTTCACATCGAGAAGACGTCCCAAGGAGCTGGACAGTCAAGGATTTGCACAAACAGTAACAACAAATTACATTTTGTATAGCGCCTTTCACGTCAGGAGGACGTCACAAGGTGCTGGACAGTCAGGGATCTGCACCCGAGCTGGTGGTTGGGATGAAGAGGGGTGGAGGCCAGGGAGAGTAGGAGTAGGAGGGTGACCAAAGGCATGGTCAAAGAGAAGGATCTGTGTAAACGGCATATAAATATGCACAACAGCCTGTGCCTTACCTGTTTGAAGGTGGTGACCAACTCCTGCCTCTGGCTGAAGTGTTTGAAAAGAAGTTGCAGAGACCCAGAGACCAGAGGCGGGTAGTTATGCATGGTCAGGTGTATCAGCACTCGCAAGAACATCGTACCCCCTTCATCATCCACCTCCAACGTGGAGTGTTTGCTAAAGAGAGAGGAAAACACGTCATCTTTTCAAAACAAGATCAGAAACGGTCGTAAACCAAGAGTTGTTCCATTATTCCTCTTCGTAACACAGCACAGAGCACTTCATGTGTTATAAACTGGGGATAGGGAACTCAGTTGATGCCAGGATCACAAGAGAGATCCAGGAGGTGAAGCCAAGGCCCAACTTGGCCTCATTCTTCCATAGTACCCTACTCTCCACCTTCTTCCCATAATAGAATCAAGTTTTTTTTTCAAGGAAACAAATTTAAAAATTAACTTGAATCACCTTTCCTTTAACCCATTCCACACTTTAATTGTCTGTTGTCTGTTCCCAGTGTCTCCTAAACATACCTTCACAATCAGGAACCTGTGACCTTTTTGTCCTGGAAGCACTGTTCTGGATTTACATTCCTCTCTGTCTCTCTCTCTCTCTCTCTTAACAGCAGAGATGAGCCACAAAACTAGTTTGAGATTGGGGCTGAACATGACGATGGATCGAGACAATGGTACAACTTTACTGACTATCAATCAAACAGTGAATAGAGCTAAAGAGATAATAGAAAGGATTACAAACTTTCCATGGTACTTTGGAAAGAATGGGCTAATTATATAGTCTCAGCCACAAGCCCACGTAACAACAGAGTAAGTGCTCCAGGTGTCTTTTGCCCCTTTTGATAAAGAGTTCTAAGGTGAAAACCTAGTTATGACCTAAGCAGGACATAAGGGTCCAGTCACCTGGTGTTGAGCAGGTAGCATGGCAGAGTGGGTTAAAGCTATTTGTAGGTCGTCTATGTATAAATGACCTGGCACTATAGCATCGTTTCTTAGCGCACACACACTGATGGATGTTAAGCTTGTTTACTGTGGTATAGGATTACCCTGCTGTGGAGGGATAGGACAAGGCAAATCCTCTTTGAACAGTGTACTGAGCAGCAACAATGGTATTTTAATTGGAGTGGGAGGACATGCCTTGATAATCTCGATAATTGTAACTTTCCAGAATCAGAGAATCAAGTTGCCACCGTTACTATTTTCCTGTAGGCCACTTTACAGGACAGGGCAGGAATCTGAACCTGCTCCTTTGCCAATTACTTCTGAACTCTTCTTCCTTAGCATCGCTGGCGAAATCTCCTGCACTTCAGCCCCGGAATGTATAAATCCCCTCTCTCCCTCCTTCCCTCCAGCATATCAATGGTGCCACAGCAACACAGCAAAGGCAGGTTTGCATATTAATCTGTCAGTACATTATTTCACATTGTAATGCAATGCTAAATAAAATATATTTCTAGCCGGACCATTAGCAACAACGTGGGCCTTTTTACAGAGTGTACGGAGAAAGAAATCTTGCCTGGAGGCAGTTTCCAGGAACAGAGGCATGGCATGCTTGCTAATCAAACTGTATCGCAACTAAGACAGGCAGCTTTAGCCCATTGACTCCATTGACACCACAATTCCTAATCACAGAGCATGAGCTCACACTCCTACCTTGGCACTTGAGCTCAGCCCTTTTCACGGCTCAATATAAGCGAGCACTTTGTGGTAAGAACCCCTCTCTGTGGGGAAGGATCAAGCTAGCGAGACCCATCTCGACCCCTACCTCACAAGATTCCTAGTGCTGACAGATCCTAGAGTGTGTCTGAGAGACACAGCTTTAAATTGGTGGGGGCGGAATCCTTCATTAACATTAACATACGCCTTTTCGAGAGGTGGAGGTCTTAAGAACAACCATTTTGATGACTGCAAAACATAGCTACTGTTGTGCAAACTCTGGCAAAGCATTAACAAAAAGATCTGTACTCTCTGGCCAACAACCTATTTCATTTGTGAGCCTCGGGCACCAGCAGAGACCAGACCCTCCCGAGGCTGAATCTGAGGCTGAACCTCAGCAGGGAAAGGGCTTTGTTCCAATCGTGAAATTTCTTGCCCAGAGTCTCACTGGCCTGAATTGACCAACGATACCCTCGCACTATCTATGCAACGCTGTGGTACACAGGTTGAGGTCCTCAAACATATGACCCGGTGACGTCAAAAGGTTCGTACGTACAAGAAAAACATGCATTTATTTTCCAGACCCATACACTTGCCGAACAGCAACAAATTACACTTGTATAGAGTCCTTCACGTTGGAAAGATGTCCCAGGGACCAGCAAACAGCGGCATTGGGATTAGCAAATTGTGGGTTTGTCAATCTCAGAGCTCGACACGACACCATCAGTGTTGCCCAAGTTGGTCCACTCATAAGACAACCTATAGCCCTCAGGTATTGCTGTAACTTTGGCTCTACCACCTTGAAGCTTTGTTGCAATTTTATCATCTCAGAGCAGGTAGGAATCAAAGCAATACGCTGCACAAACCTACCCAACTCCGAACATGGCCTCCGCTTGATCAGCAATATGATCCAGGTTGACGGTTGTGGCTGATAAAACAGGAGAGAAAAAAAAATCAGATTTGTGCTTGAAACTCACATCAGGATAAGTCATGGTTAACGAACAAAATGTTCCCTAAATTGGCCCTTATTCTGGTTATACTGCCAACTACAATAGGCCTCGGGGTTCAAATTAGTGGCCATGCAGGAACAAGAGCTGTGTTCCATTCGGGCTGTCTCTCTGAGCGTTGTTCCATCTGGATTTGTAAATAGAAACAATTCTGTCAGGTAACCACACTGTCCTCATGTCTCATCACGCATGAAATCCCAGCGCAGTGAAAATATCCCAGCAGAGTCTCTTGACTGCTATCCACTGGCCCAAGCTGCTTCTGAGCCAAGGCAAAACAGACCTCAAAATTCATTCAAGTTCCACAATTCTTGCTATGAAGAAGGCCAATGCGGTGAAAACATCAAAAGTTGACCCAAACTTTACGCATCTAGCCCAAAGTGATCGTTTACAGATGCTCTCAAGGAGAAGCTTAAGCACGGTAATAGATTTCCGCATGTGTCAGACACCACATGATCAGACACGCATGGTGGAAATTTATTGCCGTGCTTAAGAGTGTCCAAACCAAACTGAGAGTGCCATGCATCCCACCTACACAGAAATTCAGCTCTGGTAGATAGCAAGCGCTGTTATAACACTCACCAGCTAATCACTTAACAACAAATTACATTTGCAAAGCGCCTTTCACCTCGGGAGAACGTCCCTAGGCGCTGGACAGTCAGGGGTTTGCACCCGAGCAGGCATGTTGGGATCAGGGAGAATGGAGGGCAGGGGTGCGGTAGGAGGGTGTCCGTAATGTGCGGTCGAAGAGGAGGGTCTTGAGACGTGTTTGGAAGGAGGCAAGGGAAGGGAGGGAGCAAGACAAGAGGGACTATGGTATGGAGTTCCAAAGAGTGGGGGCAGAGGAGTTGATGGTGGGCCGGGCGAGGGATGTGGAGCAGGATAGTTATTGTAATGTTACCGGTTGGCTCCATAAAAGTTGCAGCGGTGGCTCCTTCGGCACTGTTATCTGGTACTGGGTTACTCTCCACAAATTCCTTCTTGAAGACTGACAGCAGGTAGGAAATCCGAAAATCCAGTCTAACATTAAGGATGAACTGAAATGGAAAGATCACAAATCAAGACGGTTAACTCTCTTTCTGTTCACGCCTGCCTGCCCAGGTGGACACTATAGGTCTCCCGTGGCGAAAAGAGAAGGGGGTAGTTAACAATCCCCTGGGTAAAACATTGGTCATTCACTTCATAGCTGTTTGTGGGACATTGCTCTGTACAAGTTAACTGCCATGTTCGCGTACTAAATACAGTAACCACATTTTATTCTAGCAAATCCTGTGAGACACTTTGAGACGTCCTCCTGCCGTGAAAGGCGCTTTATCAAATAATATAATATGTAATCCTTGCATTTAATATAGCGCCTTATCATGGCTTTGATGCGTCTCAAAGCTTTTCACAGAATATACTGTAAAGTGAATTATTTTGTGGGCAAAACGCGGCAGCCAATTGCGCACAGCAGTGTCCCACAAACATTCATGAACTGAGTGGCAAATTATTATTTTTTATTTTTTGGAAGGAATTATTACCCTCGTAAATGCAAGGATTGCTATTATTATTATTATTATTATTATTTTCCCAGGCATCAGTTTTCCTTTCTTCTAAGAAGAATCGAGTCATTATTCACTGAACTCACTGGGATTGAAAAATGAAAAATTGGCAAACCAGTGGTCACAAAGTCAGTGCAGGCCTGACCATTCCTCATACCTGTAAAATCTCCAGGATTTTCAGTTTGGTGTCCATAACTATGATGTTCTCTCTGTCGGGGATGTCTCTTGGTTTTAATTGTGGTTCTAGGCTTACGCTGGGGCGAGCGAAGGTGCTAAAGATAGATTGTTTTCTGCTTAGAACCATAGTGGACATCATCTGACCAACTCCGTGAATCGACATCTTCATATTTTTTCCTGCAATAAACACAGAAATGGGGTGGGAATTGGAATAGGTAGGGCTACCTATGTATGTGTGTTTAGTTGTGAGCATGGGGGGAACCAAAACAATTGTGTGTGTGGGTGTGTGTATACGGGTGGTGGGGGGGCCAGGGGAGCTTGTCACAAAATTCAGGGGCAAAAAACATGTTTGGAGGTAAAGAACATATATATATGCGCGTGTGGGGGAGGAGGGGAGGGGCAGGGAAAAGGACATGTAAAGTCATCAAATGTTAACGTCATTCCATCAGGAATCAACTCCTTCGAATCAGGAATCAAACGCTCCTCCGACATGGCACAAAAGCAAAAATAATTACAAATATTATTAAAAATATTCCAAGATACTGACCTGCTCCCTCTTCGTGAAACATAGCTTCCATTCCGTTGGGATTTTGAACACAATCTATAATGCCCAGCAGTGTTCTGGTCAGCCTCAAGAGTTCACTGAAACTGTAGAATCCGAAGTAGATCAAATGCCTAGCCAAACTGACAACCTGAAGAAGCAAATCAAGGTGTTTTACCATCTGTACTGTCACCTACAATATACGAGTGATACACAATTACGACACGATACAAATTTACATTTATGCAGCGCCTTTCCCATCGACAGGTACTTAAAATTCCAGAACAAAACAAAGCTTTAATTGAGGTTTTGCTGGATCAACAAAACCTTAGCAAAATCAATGCAACCAATCAGTGATATACAATTAACATTTTGTTACTCTCTCATATTCTGGCTGCTCAGCTATATACATGGGGATAGCAATCTTCAGCATTCAGGTAACACTAGTCTCATGTCAGAAAGCTTTTTGTTCGGTGCTTACAATGAGAATTCCATTCTGAGAGCACAAGGAGAGGTTAACTAGCATTAGACTCCACTCAGCCACATATGGGCACTGCAGTATGTTCTGTGAACCACTTTGAGACGTCTTAGAGACGTGATAAGGTGCTACATCAAATGCAAGCATTATTGTTATTATTATTATTATTATTATTATGACAGTAACCATTTGAGAGTGACTTGTCAGGTTTTGCCTAAAGTCTCTTCTATATTGCTAATATAGACCTCCATATCCTGAAAGACAATGTGTCTGACATTAGATGAAAGAGTAAGTATTAGGAATAAATATAGCACCTTTCACATCTGGAGGATGTCACTGAACATTTCACTGGATTTCCCGTGAAGTGCGTTGACTGGATAATTTATGAAATCCAACAATCCTCACTTCAACTAAACACACTGCCGCCAATTCTGTTACAAGTGTTATTATTATTATAAGTGACACTCCGTGCTGAGCAGGCCGACAGTGTTATTCATTGCGAGCGTTACTCACAAGAAAGCAAACAAGGAGTGTTACCTCGAACGTGAGCTTATTCTTCTCCTCATCGGAAAACGGATAAGAGTCGTTCACCACGTTGTTCAGATAATCTTCCACAAACTCCATCGTGTGAGCAAACTTGTTTTTCATGTCAGTCCGTGAGTCATTCATGTTGGAATCATAACTGCGGACATGTAAAAATGTGAGTGAGCGTGCTGACCAAAATAATAATAATAATAACCCTTGCATTTGATGTAGCGCCTCATCACATCTTCGAGACATCTCAAAGCGCTTCACAAAATATACCGTAGAGTGAATTGACTGACCCTGACTTGTTTATAAATAATATACATGTAAAAGGGAGCAGCTTGAAGTCAGGGACAAATAATTAAACAGACACGGTGAAGAAAGATCTTACTCTTTGATAGTAATGGTTGTGGGGATTTCGGTCCAGAGCCGGGCAAACTTGACAGACGTCACCCGCTCCTGAGGGTCCCTGTCCACGTGGACATGCAGCATCAGGTGGCAGAAGGAGGCACGGATATCGTACGGCAGCATTTCGTCCGCCATGCACAGGAATATCAGATCCACGCTCAGCTGCTTGGAAATTTCATCGATGGCTAAATACTGACGATCCAGGCACATCCTTGCAAAGAGTTTTAACTGGTACCTAAAATAGCAGAAGAGGAATTGGAACATCTCAGAAATATAATCTCGAATTTCTTTTGAAAGTAAACGACCAATTTTTATCTGAGGGATTGTTGGCCAGGATACCGCAAGAAACTCCCTCCTCTTTTCGTATTGTGCTACAGGCACTAACATCAACTGACATCTACCTAAATTGGCACAAACGGGATCACAGTTCAATGCGTCATCCAAAGTATAGCAATGCACAGCTACTGCCTACTGCCAGCCTACATGACAAAGCTTGTTGTCTCAAAGGCAATGCTTTTCTCAGCTCTGGGAGACAACCTCTCTTTCTCTCACTCAGTCACAGTGTTTCTCTATTTTGCCCACACACTTTTCCTCCTCCCCACAGCCCCGCTTCAAGTTGAAGTCAAAACTCTTTGTACTGTCCCTCTAGTGTAACTCGATCTTTGGCAACACGTCAGGTCTGTCATATTGCCTAGTGCCAGCAATCAAAAAAGATGTGAAATAAAGGGTTGACGGAACGAAAGAGAAAGATGTCAGGCATTTTCTTGATCTCTGTCTCCTCGGTCTGCGTTTCCTTGTAAAATTGAGAAGTTTTTAAAAGCCAAGATTGGCCTCAACTAACCACTTCTTGTTGACCTACTTTCTTTGCTCTCCTATTCTTTTGAACATTGACTGTAAGCCACAACATGGGCCTTGATCCTTAACCTAGATTTCACAATGCCAAAAAAAAACAACGCAATGGGTAAAGTTATTGTGGCAAACAACCAACATACAGCATGTGACTATTTCAAATAACACACTAACGGTGTCAAAATATTGATCATCCCCAATATCAAAATATTTTAAATATTTATCTCTCTGCTACAGTAAGCGCATTCGCAAACGAGCAGACTCCTGTGCAACACTGATGTAACACAGCCTCTAATATAATACAGATTTTAACGATGCCTTACTAATGCAAAAACCCTCATACAACACCTTTTGTACATACTTTTCTCGGCCTGACTTCTCTGTCAAGTAAATAGATAATGACTGCTGTAAAGTATATTTGTATATTTATTAGTTTCCATTTTAGAGACGTGACTGATAGTTCAAGCAAATCTATGTTAAGATCCTTTGATTCAAAATGTAACCTCAGACTTTGAACACTAAGGTCCAAAATTACTCAGTTTTAGCTTGTCAGATCATGCAATATTATGGAGAATTCCTGAATTCAGTCATAAATTGGAACCTGGTTTTCCACAGTTCTTACAGAGAAACCAGTTTCCAAATAAAAATTGAATTTAAGATTTTTCCTGCAATTCTTTAATTTTCAGACAATATGGCCTTACAAGCCAAGACTAGGTGGAATTTAGATCCATGTAACTATTGCTAGACGGTTTGATTTATTATTCAATTTTAACTGGGGGATTCTTGGGAGAAACTCCTCTTTTCGAGCAGTTCACGGATTAATTTAACCTCCATCTGAACAGATAGATGGGTCCTTGGTTTAACATCAAACCCCAATCCTGAGGATTTAGTCCCCAGTGATGCAGATTCTATTACCTTAGGAAACTATTTGCAAATTACCTGTAATAAGTCAGAATGTTTTTATCATGAAGGTTTCCAGCCCTGGCTTCCTGAGCAAGTTGTCTGATGCTCTTGTCCTGGCTTTCGTTGTTTTTGTCTGTCCACAACAACCAAACTTCGTCATCAAAGTACTCCATACTCATGTACTCTGACGTGTGGGACATCTCCTTCACTGGCCTCAGCCTGCGTAGAAAACAAAGGCACTCAACTTCTGCCGAAAAGTCATGTGGTGCAAAACAACCCAAGTGGAGTCCTGTAGCTCAGTGGTTAGAGCACTCATCCTCGCAAGTGAGAGACCCGGGTTTAATTCCTGACAGGGAGAGAAGTTGGGCAAATTTCCTCGCTCTGTTTACCTAGCAGTAAGTAGGATCCCAGTTGGTAGTCGATTGACGGATCGCATTTCCAGGGGTAATAATCCCTTCAAAAGATAATGACAATAAATTGGTCACTCAAGCCACGACTGTTTGTGGGACACTGCTGTGCGCAACTGGCTGCCGCGTTTCACCCACAAAATATGCAGTCAATTCACTTTGCAGTATATTCCGTGAAGGGCTTTGAGACGACTCAAAGATGTGATAAGGCCCTATATCAAATGCAAGAATCATAATTATTATAAGTTGCCAATTCTGCAGGCATTCCCACGTGCTTCGCAACAAATGTCTTCTCACTCTATTGAGGGTTAAACTTAACTAACGTCTTCAATAGTATTCAAGAATGGCTTTCTTTCAGATCATGCATGACGTTTGTGACTGGCAGTGGAGGAATCTACTTGCACTGTGCTGTTAGGCAGCCTCAGTAAACTATCCCTTGGAGATTCTGTAGCGTAAAGGTTAAGATGCTTCCTTCACATGGCGTTATTATGAAGTTAAGCACCTTGGCTGCCTCGCCTCTGAATCTGTCAACCACACATAAGTCTGATCGACCAATTCTTGACTGCACTATTACTTGGAGCAGGATACTGCAGGGGAAGGGGACCAATATCCATTTCTGTTTGCTCAGCACAAAGTGTATTGGAACTGGGTGAGCAACGGGAAAAAGGAGGAACTGTAAAAACGATAGAAGGATTGAACGAAGAACAAAACTGACTAGCGAGATGAGAGATAGAGAGGTAGAGGGAGATAGAGGGAGAGGGGAAGAGAGAGGGGGAGAGGGATAGGTGGATAGATGATAATAATAATAATAATCCTTGAATGTGATATAGCACCTTTCACTTCGTGACGATGTCTCAAAGTGCTTCACGAGGTGAGATATCCGAACTACTTTCTTTCCCTTCCCTACTCTCCCAGCCCAGTTGCAGTTATCGATTTTCTCATGAGATTAAGACAAGTTCACAATGTACACGGTGCCCCGGAGAGAGCTGGGTGGAACCAAAAACATGCTTTTTTTTTTTACCAAATTCATGCTCTTTTACGTTGGAAAAAATATAAACCTGACTTTTTGGAGGAAAAAAACAATAACTATGACTAGAATTTTATCCAACTGTCACCAACTTTCTCTTAGTTCCCTATGAAATGGCATTGATCTGCATGCAGATACATTTGCTCAAACTGAAGTGAAGGTAAGTGATTAGGTTTTTATCTTTAGGTTGTCTGTATTTCTTTGTTTTTAACCTTGCTTCAAGATGTTTTTTTTTCCCCCCACTGGTCATTGAAAACAGCACTAAGAAATATAACATTGAAATTATAAACACACCCAGTTGTGGGATTCTTTCTTCGTCGTTTGCCATTGTGCATCTAACTAAATGACAGAGAACACCACAACAATATTCGCTTGTGCGCTATTTTCTTTGCCTTCATTCTCTGCACTTACATCTCTCTGAGATAACTGTCTGTATTTATTGGATCCAGATCGGTAGCAAGTACCAACACAGACACAAAAGCACAGAATAGCCTCCTCCTGTTTTGTATATGTACTATGGCTGTCCTTAACATAAACAGTCTTTTATATCCCTATTGCAAAGACTTAAATGGAACATACTTATTGAAGATCTAACATGCATCACTTCCTGTAGCTTCAGCTACATTAAATGTTGGACAACTCTACTGTTTCTCCATAGATTCTCAGACTTGCAATGCTTTGATTCGATGAAGAAGGCACTTAGGCCCATTTGATCTCCATGACCTTAATCATCCTTCCCAGCAACTGTTCCAGTAGTCAATTATCCTGATATCTGTCCTATAAGCAAATGTCTGAACACGGTTTGAGGAAAACACAAAACCAATACTACCGTTATGGAGATGGGGACTGAGTTGGGAGCAATGCTAAACACAGCCACGAGGGAATACGAGTTTCAATTTTTACTGTCATGTTTTAACGAACAGAATTGCAATAACTTTGCCTTTAAGATCCCCCAATACAGGTCGGCTCCCACGATCGCTAATTTTGTGCTGCTGAAAAAAAAAGTAGGTTTAAAACTCACTCTGTTTTTATCAGAATATCTTGATTCATGGGATCCAATACGCATTTGCAAATAAGTTCCTGGGTCACTGGAATGGCGATGTGGTTAGAAACACACAGGTCAGATAAATAGTCTAAGAATCTGTCGAAAAGAAGTTAAAGTTAGATACTGATGTGTTAGACAAAATTGTAGATGACTTCAACAATGTACCCTTAATTATTTGAAAAATCCACTTGAAAAACTTTCAATTTTAACTGACCAGTGGTTATTAATTAAATCAGTGGTAATATTACATAACTACATACATTTTTTATGTACAGAAAATCACTACCAAATACTGGGTGGTAAATGGCTTTGTTGTTTCATGGGTTGACTTGATTATAGTTTGATTGGGATGTGGATCCTGACATTTATTTACCAAACAAAAAACAAAATGGGAGCAGAAAGCTAATACAGCTTGTGTCAAGATATCGGTGGGTTTCTCAATGCTCTGAAGAATAACCGATTTCCGGGTCATCAGGTTACCACTGATGTCACTTCACAGCACATAAGAAATTATGCCAGCAGCAACCTGAAAATCCAGAATTCAGCCATTTTTTAGCGTGAGAAAGCCAGACGGTTTTCTGCACGGTGTGAGAGGGAACTATGACGTGCCTCTTATCATGCTGGTTGGGAATTTATGGCTCTTCCCTATTTAGTGCATTGCTGTTAGCAATTTCCTTTACACTGTTCCCCCACACCGCGCACTGTGAAATCAATTCAGCAATTAACAGGCGTCCATAGAACCGGGCATTGATGTATATGCCAAAACAACATGGTACAAGTGGGCGATGTTATCATTTTTAATCAAATCCTTTGCATCACCTTTGACAGGGGGAAGACAGATGGAGAAAGAGAGAGGCTATATCAATGTGGCTCTCGATAGTTATACTGCAATTACGTTTCCACCGAGAAATCTCTCCAGTTGGTGAAACCAAAGGTGACCTAAAACCAATTGAATTTTATAGACCGATGGCTATACGGAACAGAAAGAGGTAAGTTGATAGATCTCTGACTGACTTGAGTCCATTGAACCTATAGCCTTAAACACATCCACCCTCGTACCTGGGCTCTCTGTTCTTCCGGACCAGTTTGACGAAGGTTTCAATCTCTTTTTTTGTGATGTGTTTTTCTAGAAGTTTCCTGTTGTTGTGGAGCAGCGCTGTAATGGTGTCTTCAGCCAGAATGTCATAGCCAATCTGAGACTGCATCACTCCGAATTGCTTGGCGATATGTTCCTGTCACAGCAACCAGAGGAGGATTGTCAAGCCAAGGCAATTTAGGAGATTAATAAGCAATCGCTGAGCCTGCTGAGACCATTTATTAGACTATGCTCATTCCCCTGCCCTTTTCTCCAAAACCTTAATACTATTACTTTGTTCCCAGCCATCCAGTCTCTCTGTTCCCACTCCATTCCCCTTATTTTCTGATGCAAAATAACAAAACCCTGCATTTATAGAGTGCCCTTATGCAGGGTAGCGTCCCAGAGCGCTTATATTGAATGTAGGATTATTTTCCAGTCTTTGATGCAATTTGATGTGATGGGCAGCAGGAAATATACATCGAACTACCTGCTGCATGTCTGTTTACTCCTGCTATTAACATTGTATTTTGCATCTCCAATACACCTCATTGATGAGTGAGTAACGCCAGTTACTTGCTGAGTATGCAAGAATTGTTATTCGCAAATATCAGGAGCGTGAGAAGAGTTATGGAGCACTTCTGTAATGAATGAGAACACTTGAAATTCGGTCAGAAACTCATAGCTTTTGGTCCAATTGTAAATGCTCTGGAACATGATACACTCCCAGTGATCAGTAATGGCACATCTGATCAACTGCCCTTATCACTTTCTTACTCCCATCCCCAGTGAATACTATCCACAGAGATCCATCCAACTGCTAACTCTTTGGTCAACTCTGAAAATTCCCAAACTTCACATATGCCAATAGCTGCCTTTTGTAATTGCTGTTTGCTAAAAATATTAATCTAACAACTGCCGACTTCGAACGTCTGCTAATGAATGCCTAAGTCAGTCTCCCAGAGGACATGCTTGAACGTTGGTGACAATAACATTTGTTTAGCGCCTTTCACATCAGGAGGACGTCCCAAGGCGCTGGACAGTCAGGGATCCGCACCAAGCTGGTGATTGGGAACAGGAGGAGTGTAGGGCAGGGGAGGGGAGGGGTAGGTGGGTGACCAAAGGCATGGTTGAAGAGGCACCTGGTTTTTCCTGTAGTCATCCTGTGAGTGCCGGATGACTCTGTAACACAGACGAAGCATGTACTGATATGGAGCGTTCTTCTGGTCAGACAGCTCCTCCAACCTCAACATAGGCCCATCTTCTTTATCTTTGAATGGAGCCTTCAGGATTCCAAATATCTGCGCAAACCAAGGATGAGGGCGATTATTGACAATAATAATAATAATAACCCTTGCATTTGATATAGCACCTCATCATGTCTTCGAGAGTCTTAAAGCGCTTGACAGATATACTGTAAAGTGAATTGACCATATTTTATGGGCTAAATATCTCTGCACTTCACAGTATATTCACTTCACAGTATATTCACAATCAAAGTACACACACCAACTATTCAGACATTCACTTATCCACATTGGGATTTTCTTTTTGGGGGGGTTAGCCAGAAATCCATCACCGTGCTTCAGAGTATCCAAACCAATCTGAGAATTCCATGCATCCCACCTACACATGGAAATCCCATAGAAAGATTGTTGGAAAGGAATGCACACTCTCTCCCTGGAAGGACAGGTTGGCAAGAACCAAGGCTTTGGGGTGTGGAAGTGATAAACACAGGTCTAAAAGTTACCAACAAAACTCGCATACACATGAGGTTTCTCAAGACAGTTTATCCACTCAGGAAGAATAAAGCACAGTCAACCTCACACTAATATGCACACAAGTGTTGTTTTTTCAAATAGCATTTTATGTTGGTCAGCCGGGTGGCTGACACATGCAAAAACCCATCACCATGCTTAAAGGTATCTATTGTTTTAAAATTTAAGGCCACAAACAATGTTAGACAATGCTCAAATACACAGAAAGAATTACAGAAACTGGGTTTCAAGTTAAAACAACGGTTAAGAATTTCCCCAAATCCTGCAAGATCGATTTGAGACCATGTGCCGATTTGGGTCTGACTCCCTGATCTGAAAACAAAACTATCCATTTGGTAACCAAGCCAAAAATGTAGACAATAAATAAATACCAGTCAATGTGTTGATGTCATTTGGGTAACACTACTACTGTAATGGGCCCACACTGTATGCATTGTTTTGTTCAAACTATGTTCATTGACAACAACAAATTAATAATAATATTGATAATAATCCTTGCACTTGATGTAGCGCCTTTTCAAGTCTTCAAGACGTCTCAAAGCGCTTCACTAAATATCCTGTAAAGTGAATTGTACTTTGTGGACAAAATTAAATTTCTATAGTACCTTTCACGTCAGGAGGATGTCGCAAGGCACCGGACAGTCATGGTTTTGTACCTGAGCTGGGGGTTGGGATCAGGAAGGGCGGGAGGGCAGGGGTGGGGTAGGAGGGTGACCTTGAAGCAAGCAAGCGAGTGGGGGGGGGGGGGGTGAAGCGAAGGGATTGTAGGAGAGAGTTCCAAACGGTGGGGGCAGAGAGGCTGAAGGCCGGGCTGTCAACACTGACACCGTCATTCGTGTGATTTCTCAGTACCTGTTTCAGGATATTTTGCTCCCGCATCAGTTTCTGCCTTTCCCGGTTGGGTTTTGTCATGACGATGTCCAGAACGTTCTGTCCATTGTTGGGCACCTCCACAACGAAGAAAACCAGGTCCTCCAACAGTTTGATGGCAAACCTGCAAGGAACAGAGATTGATGGAAAAACGCGGTGAGTGGTTTCAGCCTTGGAAAGCTGCCTTTTTGCATCTGGCACCAAGGTAAGAAAATCAAAGTTCACACGAGGTCTGTCTCCGTAGGTGTTAAACGAAAGCAGACTTCCGGACTTTGAACTTTTTTTTTTGAACTTCGGACTTTTAAGGAATTTTCACTATTAAAAGAGATGGTTATAAGTGTTCTAGTAAAGCAAACGACAGGTCTGAACATGACAGTAGTCGATAGGCCTTACGTCAGCTGAAGTCATTCGACCAATAAGGTAAAAATAGACATATTGTTGGGCACGATGATATTTTCCATTCTGCTCGTGCATCACTAAATGTGCTACATATAACTAACGTTGAATGGTATTTTTACCCAATCAGAGACGAAAAATGCGACACTTCACGACAGATTCGACATGTTAATTGTTAATTGTCCCTTCGAATCTGAAGCGAAACAGCCCCACAATGTTATTGATGCTGTAGCTTTGGCAGGTAAAGGGAAATCTTATTTTGCTGTAATGACAGCAGAAAGAAGTTGGAGATGATCACGCGGTGTGTATGTCTATCTATCCATTCCCCCACTGTCCGCGGGCTTTGATACCATCTCTCCATTGCTGTTCAGTCCCTCTGCGCACATTATCAGCGTACGTCAACCTAAAGCTTCGCTTGTTACCTTCGATCATTGTGGCTCAAGGCTCCCTGTTCAATCTTCTCAACAATCGTCCCCAGGATTTTACTGGCGTCATTCGCAAAATCCAAATCCCGAATTTCTGAAACTGGGACAGAGACGATGGCAAAGGCTTCCTTATCCTCTTTGGTTGGGCACGTTCCAAGCTAGAAGATATAAAATGCATGCCATTCAGGAAACAACAGCAGCAACAAATTACATTTGTATAACGCCTTTCATGTCAGGAGGACATCCCAAGTCGCTGGTCAGTCAGGGATCCGCATCTGAGCTGGTGGTTGGGATTAGGAGGGGCGGAGGGCGGGGGAGGGCAGGGATAGGAGGGTGACCGAAGGCACGGTTGAAGTCTTGAGATGGGTCTTGAAGAGGCAAGGGAGGGGGTGAGGCGATGGGACTGTGGATGGAGTTCCACAATAGTTACACTGGGAGGAGATTTGTGCAATACATCAGGGATAATTATCACAAGGACCCAATTTGCAATCCTTTCTGTGTCTTTTCCTTAAAGATTTATTTGTTTGGAACTCAACAACTCTCCAACTGGAATGGTTTCTCTGCCACACATTCAGCACTCTATTGCCACTTTTTGTTTTAAGTTGCGAGTTTTTCTTTTAATTACAGCCCAAAACGCCTTCTTAACTTTTTTTTAAGTCGTGTAGGCACAGAAGCTGTAGAGAGCTGATGTGGAAGAGAGATGAGTTATATAAAAGTGGCCAATTGCACAGAAGTTAAAACAGAAAATGCAAGGCAGGCAGTCAGTGTCTGAATAACAATAACAACTTGCATTTATATAGCGCCCTTTAGGCAGTGTAATGGATTCTGACAACGAGCCAGGGAGAGAGGGAGGTGACCAAAAGCACGATTTAAAAGGAAGGTCTTCAGGTGATATTTGAAGATGAGGAGGGAGGTGAGAAAGTTGTGCGCATATTTTGCGTCCACCCCTATGTCAGAACCACTGGATATATCGGACAGAACAGCAATCAGCCTTCAGCAAAAAGGTTGGTTGAGAGAAGTGAAAAGCCTTCAAATAACAATTCAAGGCGTCTTCAAATTCTTACATTTAAAATATTTCTCATATGAGCTGCCTGTCTGGAATCATTTGCGTTGTCAGCCTGGCTCAGCCAACAGCACTCTGGTCTCTTGAGGTCAAGCCCCATGTTAGGACTTTGAGATCACAGTCGAGACCGGCTTTCCAATACAGTGCTGGGGGAAGCACCACATTGTTGGAGGTGCCTTCGGGTGAGAAGTCAGTCAAACATCTCAGCGGATAAAATCCATTTTGATTTTCAATGCATTTGTTTCAGTTGTTTTGGTCTTTTTACTTTGGTTTTTTTTTGGGGGGGGAGGGTACTGCGAAACAATGCCCGAGGTTGCCAAAATAAGTCCTAATCGCTGGAAATACATTTGCCTACTTTCCGGAAATGCATGAAGCGAACACGGGCACAACTTGCATCAGAGCACAGATGTGCCCCAACAGACAAATTACAAGCTTTTACTTTCAAATGCTTTCGAATCAGGAAACTGAAAGCAGGCTGTTCTGCGTCCCCTGTGAATCGACTGTGTGTTTTGTGGGCGATATCGAATGGCGTGTTGCAGAGACTGCTCAAATCAAAGCAGCTTCCCAGTTACTGTGTACTCCGGGCACTGTTGCTCCCGAGGTTGCGAATGGTCGGGCAGTGGCACCAACACAGAGGGGCAGAGAAACCCATCTGTGGGTCCAGTTAGTTGTCAGCAGCTCTGGGAATCAGCAGAGAGGCCTGATGTGCGCTGTAGCACTGCTCCCTGAAGGCAGTCCTGCAGTACTGCACGCAACTGCGCGCCGTGTGCAATAATCCTTGGCATTTGATGTAGCGCCTCATCACGTCTCCGAGACGTCTCAAAGCGCTTCACAGAATACACTATAAAGTGAATTAGCTGTATATTTTGTGGGCGAAACCACGGCAGCCAATTGTGCACAGTCTTTTAAATGACTTCTTCAGGGATTACGACAACAGCGATTTGGAATTGTCACATGTTAAAGGGTTAAACCACGGTATCAGAGCTCGAATAAGACTTTGCAAAACATTGTACTTCAAAACAATCTGATATCAGGGACGTACCATCAGTCTTATCGGTCTCTCTTCTTCGGTATCAATGGGCACATTTGTACTCTGAATCCACGTATTGGTGCACAGATGTCGCAGTCTCACATACGAGTTCCTGAAATATTTCAAGGGATGATTGTCAGAGATCGCTGGTGGAGTTGAATATTATTTATTTCAAAGGCAGTTAGTTTGCTGGGATTTCCGCAGGACATAAGGGGGCCATAATCGGTTTCAGCTCCCTCCGAGCCAGACAGGGCAAAATTCGGTCAAGATTCCTGCTTCTGATCACTATCCAGCGATCCGTGAGTGAGGAGTCGAATTAGGATCAGACGCAATTCCCTCAGTGGTCAAAGAAGCTAAACACTTATTGTCATCGCGCACACATTAATAAAGGCTTTTAGGCAAAGTAGCCAAGGACATTTGATGACATTTGACCCTCATCCCATGCCATTGCCAAGTCTCAGGATTCACAGGTTTTACTGTAAGGTGTAGCGACTGTGTATTTTGTAGGCAAATTGTAAACACAAAACAGAAAGATTGATTGTCTTGGGAATCAGTGCATGGTAGGCCCTTTGTGTTTATAAGAATTCCCCGTCACTCTGCATAACATTTGACTCAAATTTTTCGAACGAGCACTGACGGGACATGTTAAAATGTTCATTTGAGTCGCATCTTGTAGTCCAAGCCACTGTCACATGTTTTTTGGAGAATGAGGCTATTTGCAACGTGCATAGGCAAACAGAAATCACAAAATTGTGATTGAACAAACAGCAAATATGAATGCTCTATTCATAATAATAACCAAATAATAATCGTTGCATTTGATACAGCACCTTATCACATCATCGAGACATCTCAAAGCGCTTCGCAGGATTTATTGTAAAGTTTAGTGACTATGCATTTTGTAGGCAAAACCAGCAGTCAATTTGCAAACAGCAACGTTCCACAAACAATCATAAAAAGAATGATCACCTTTTTTCTGGGGGATTGTTGACCACAACAATGAGTGTGAACCATGGTGAATCTCGGCAATGAGTGTGAGCAATGGCATTTAACACATTAAAGTGACAGGCAGGGGTAACTAAAGTGCGTGGATTTCTTCAGATTTTATTTTAGTGCACTGTGATGTACAGACTGTGTTTAGTCGACGCCAAGATGCTATGGCATTTAAGAACACTTAATTCTATAAAGCCTCTTCTGTTTGTACTTGCAATTTCCCATTAAGTTTGGCCAACCTTTAGCTAGCACTGTGACACTTTAATCCAAGAGGCAGAAAGTGCAGAATTAAAACTGGTGACATTCAAGGAAACTTTCCGTTACCTTAGAAACCCAATAAAAAGGTTCAGTCAGATCCTAAGCTCCGACCCGGTGTCTTAACTACATGACAACTTAAATCACAAGATTGATGGATGAAGAAGGCCCTTCAGCTCACTTGATCTCATCTTTCCAGAATACCCACCCTCCCATCCTCCCAACACAGCGTTGAGCTGTTTTGTTCAAAACAGTCCAGTGTCCTGGCCCAGCCAGATGAAACGTTAAACCGAGGTCCCGTCTGCCTGTTCAGGTGGACATTAAAGATCCCACAATGCTGTTTAAAAATGTTCAAAAAGAAAAGAAAGTTGTTGCTGGTCTCCTGGCCAACATTGCCCCAGATAACATTGGTCATTCATTTCGTAGCCACTTGTGGGACAAAACCACGCACAAGTGGGGGCTGCTGAGATTCGCCTGAACAACACGCAGTAACCAGACTTCACAACATATCCCGTGGAGCACTTTGATACCTCCTCCATGCGCGAAAGGCACTGTATCAAATGCAAGGATTTTTTTTCTCATCTTACGATCAGTACCTGGGAACAAACGAGTCTGTCTTTTGCAGAGTTGTTGGATCCTGCTCAAACAGCGATGCAATGTCGTTTGAGTGGGCCACGGCCACCAGTTTGAATTTGGTCTTATTCCCTGTTTTCTTAGTGCTCTGTCGGCTTTTGTATTCCGCCTAAAAAGAAGGGGGGAAAAAATGAACGAGAGCAGCGAGATTGTCTTTGTCTAGCCACACTGCACCTAACACGATACAGTCAGAACACGTCCCACTGAATTTCCTGCTGACTTACAGGGTATCTGTAAAAGTTTTGTGAAACTTAGGCTGAAGAGATCAAGCTTGTCAATACAGGTCAATTTTTCCCAATTTTATGTTTCACCCAAACTGGAAGATTTCATCCCTATTTGATCTTGACTCCCTGCTTTTTTTTTGCTCCCAAACCAAGTGAAAAGGAATGGTGAGCTGCCACCTCCCACATTCTGCCAGCGACTGCCCTGTATTCTATCACCAGGAGCTGTACAAGTCTGCAAAACCCCTCCACACAAGGTTTGAAACATACCGTGTCTTGTTGGGGAAATCACGAGTTGTGAAGCTTTCTCTCACCACTGTCGGACATCGAGTTAATATACTGTCTGGCACCGCAGCCCATTCCCAAAACTAAATCTACCAGCGATACTCCAGAGTTAGAGGATTCGTCCCTAACGTTCCTTCAACGGCTTTGAGGTCAGCAAAACAAAACAAATCAAAAAAAAACTTACTGAAGATTTAGACTCGGCAGCAACATCTCCTTTGTAAGCTGGATTTTCCTGTAAGTCAGAGAACAAACATTAAGGACCGACTCTAAAATAGGAGGATGATCTGTATGTTTTGGTGGATAGCATGTCTGGATGTTACAACCACAGAAAATAATAACAAATTGTATTTATACAGCGCTTTTCACATCGGGAGGGTGAACCAAGGCACTGTTTGCACCCGAATTGGGTTTGGATTTCGGAAGGATGGGGATCAAGGGGAGTGAGGGTTTGGAGCGGGGGGAGGGAAGATGACTGAAGGCAGGTTCAAGGAGGAAGGTCCCTCCGCTCAGCCGGCTCTGGCCTGCTCCACATCCCCCGACCCACCCGTCCTTCCATTGGCGGGAGAGCCTTCAGCCACTCTACCCCCAACCTCTGGAACTCCATCCCCCAATCACTCCGCCTCGCCCACTCCTTAGCCTCCTTCAAGTCCCGCCTCAAGACCCTCCTCGTCAACCATACCATTGGCCACCCCCCTTCCCCTCCCCTCCCTTCTGCCCCCGTGACCCCAGCTCGGGTCTGAAATGCTGTACACTGTCCAGCGCCTTGGGACGTCCTGACGTGAAAGGCGCTATACAAATGTAATCTTATTGTTGTTGTTGTCTTAAGATGAACTTCGAAGGAGGCGAGGGAAGGGGGTGAGGTGAAGGGACTCTGAGATTGAGTTCCCGGAGAGTTTGGGTAGAAAACCCAAATACCTCATGATGACTTTATCTTCCAGAGCAGATTTTGCAATGCTCTGGATCCCAGTGCAGGGGAACACACCTCATTTACACTGCAGGACCAGGATAAGTTCCACAGCACTGGGGGCAACAGGGAAACAGCTGTGCATATGTGTGGAAACTCATTTGCACTGCGCTTCAAAGCAATATAATCTGTTAGCCCATTGTAATTTCATTTCTCGAGTAGGCATTCTTTGCGGTAACGGGGCTTCATGGACTTAATTTCTTAATCAAGAAACCCCGCAAAATTGAAATCAAACATGTCTTGGTACAAATTTCCATGAATGTATCGAGGCATTTAGCATTCGCCTCAGCCTCTCTTCATCTGTTTTTAAATCCTACCTCTTCAACTGCACCTGTGGTCCCTTCTCCCTTGCTACACGTCCAAGACCCTATCCTGCACAAAGGGCACTATATAATAATAATCCTTGCATTTGATATAGCGACTTATCACATCTTTGAAACGTCTCAAAGGGCTTCACAGAATATACTGTAAAGTGAATTGACTGTGTATTTTGTGGGCGAAATTTTTGTCATTTATCAAAGAAATAAAAGGCAAACATTGTACCAAAGGCAATGTGGATAAAACTTGTTTTCTTTGGGGGATTTGGTTGTATCTTTTTTTCGGTAACTGGTGTGTTCTGTATTGTGACTTGGCTCTTGATAGAGGTGGTGACAGTCACAATACCAGAGGAATTATAGTGTGTCAATTCATTGTTACATTGGATGAATATCCTGCATTCAGAACAGGTTATAATGAAAACATACAATGTGCAAGAAAAGCTAAGATCTGTTTGTAATGTCAATTGCTACCAAACAATAGGACAGCATTTTCCAACATGAGGACACCAACACACCCAAAACATAGATTCCTGATACTCAAGTTACTTTAATTCTTCATTGTATTCAGTGTGTATCAACTCAGTTGGTGGCACTCTTGCCTCTGAGTCACGAAGGTTGTGGCATTGCAATGTTTATTCTGCCCGATTTCTTCTAACATTGGAAGAGATTTGTTTAATAATAATATTATTATTTTCATTTGATGTACGGAGGACTTCTCAAAAGTGTTTCGCCCACAAAATATACAGTCAATCCACTTTACAATGTATCCTGTGAAGCACTTTGAGACGTCTCGAAGACATGATAAGGCGCTATATCAAATGCAAGGATTATTATTATTATTTACTGTCTTTAACCCACCTGGGCCTGGCAGGGTTGAGGAGCTTTACGTAAGGCTCGAAAGATTAGCAAAGGGACAGGAACTTCACTTCAACTCCACTTTTTTTCAGGCCTCACACTATCACCACCATTTTAGTTTATGCTTATTCATGTATTCCTCTTTGCTTTTCTCTCCCAAGCACTCCTATACTCACCTTGCACTTCCGCTGACTCTAAGTGCAAGTTAGAGACCAAGCAAGATTAAATGACGGGCGATACTTCTCTAAAGCTAGCCAGCAGGAGGCTGACAAGAGCAGAGATTGGCTTTCAGTTGTATATCCCTTCATCCCAATAGCAAAGTCTCAACGAACAGTCGTGTTAGAGATCGGGTACAACACTCCTGGCCACCCTTCACCCCACTGTGAATGCTTTCACGCACTCCATCACTGTGAACTAACACCCCACACCCACCCCACCCCCCCTCCCCTGACTCAGGCCTTTTTAATTCCCCCCAAGGATTTGTTATTCCAAAATGTTCAAACTGCTAGCTTCCCTCACATCACTTCTAGATTCAATTAGTCTATCTTATTCGCCCGGAAAGCAGTGTGCATTTGATATCATATGGCATGTAGCTCTTTGCAGAAGTCCAGTTTTGTCTTCTATTGTTTCCTGCCCAAGACCTGGACAAGATGGAGCCAGACACATCAGGAAGACTGAAATCAATATCAACCACATCAGAGGAGATAATGTTTTGAAACTCCCTGCAAAACCTTTCTTGGAAAGCGAGCGGGAACCAAGGGAGTTGATCAAAACCCTTACAAATGCCCAAAACGCACTGCAGAATAACACAATACAATCAAGCAGGTAAATGCACAGATTGTCTAAATAGTCAGTTAACACTAACTCATGCTGAACGCTGGCTGGTCAAGTGGCAAATATCATTATTCTGCGCTAGCTTTCCGTACTGTATTCATGAAATAAAAACTATAATAATCCTTACATTTGATATAGTGCCTAATCATATTGTCAAGACGTCTCAAAGTGTTTCACAGAGTATACTGTGAAGTGTACTGACTGTGTTTTGTGGGCAAAACAACAAATAACTGACTCAATGCACAAGTCTCTATCCGGCAGTGATAACAACCGGAAATATAAATGTTAATTAGACGAGAACTTTACACTGTCACTTACACTATCCCAACTCTATTTTTCCACCTCTGTTTGCGACCCCCAGTCCCCTGATGTTCTGTCAGCTGCCTGTCAGATCGCAGGGGCTGGATGAGCGCAAATTTTCTTCAGCTTGAACGTTGACAAGACGGAAGCCATACTCTTTGGCTCTCATCAACGTCTAAAATCTCACGGCTCTCACCTCCTTCACCTACTCAACCAGCCCCTAAAACTCTCCGAACCTGTACGCAACCTAGGCGTCAGGTTCGACCCCCCAATTATCCTTCTTCCCCCACATTCAGTCCCTCACCAGCACCGCTTTCTTCCACCTCCGACGCATCGCCCGCCTCCGCCAATACCTCTCTCCGAAAGCTGCTGAAACCCTGGTCCATACCTTTGTCACCTCTCGGCTGGACTACTCTAACGCCCTCCTCGCCGGTCTCCCATCCACTACCATCCATAAAATCCAAATCAATCAAAACTCTGCCGCCCGCATTCTCACCCGCACCAAATTTCGCTCCCCGATCCCCCCAGTCCTCCGCTCCACCCTCGGCGGCCGTGCCTTCAGCCACTGTGCCCCGAGGCTCTAGAACTCCCTTCCTCACTCCCTTCGCCCCCTCTCTTCTTATTTCCAGGTCTCTGCTGAAGACCTTTCTTTTCAACCGCGTCTTTGGTCACCTTCCTCCCCCTCCCCCTTGGCTCGACCCCAGGATCCGTTACTGTAAAGTGCTCTGAGACGCCGTCCGGCGTGGAGGACGCTATATAAATCCAAGTTGTTGTTGTTGTTATTATTGTTATCATGGTTTCTTGTACACGTGGTGAAGTTCACTGTCTGGACTGGGACAGAGAGTCTGAAAACCTGACCAGTGCCTCTTCTAGAGATGTTTTCTCACATAAAACACATCCGAGGTTTGCCACCGCTCGCCCGGTCAAGCTTTGCAAAATATTTGATTAGCAAACTCTCCAGCTCCCAGCATAATTATTATTATTATTATAGAAACCCCTAAGCTGGAGCCGAGAGTCTGAGTTTATGCAAAACTAGACCAGCAGCAACGGGAGGGTTTAACAAATGGGGCTATATGTTGCACAACTGCTTTGGCAGAAGGAATCCCAGGTGGCAGACAATATAAGTTTAATTACTTTAAAACTGCTTTGGATGAGACATTAAGGTGTCTCGGCTCTACTTGAAAAGAGAAGGGTATTTTGGGGCCAACAATCCTCCAGTAAAATTGGTCTTTCACTTCCTAGCTGTGTGTGGGACATCACTGTGTGCACTTTGGCTGACTCATTTGCCTACAAATAGACATAGACACTACATCTTTGAGACAGGGACACATGAACGAACAGACTTGTGCTTTGAGACGTGCCCCCAACATGAAAGGAGCTATACATCAAATGCAAAGGTTGTTATTGTTGCATAATGATATGAAAAGCAACACCGCACAGAATTGTTTGAATCTGATCTTAAATTGGTGCTTTCCGACTCTGATTCCGGAAGTGTTTTAATCATTTTTTTCTTCCCGAAACGGCCCTTGAAAGGATTGAGCGATTGTGAGGCTCTATCTTTATCCTTGCATTTGATAGATTATAGATTAATTATTGTATTATGTTGATTGATATATTTTGTGGGCGAAACGTGACAGCCAATTGCGCAAGCGGAATCTCACAAACAGTCGTGGACTGAGTGACCAATTTATTATTATTATTTTTGAGGGGGAAGGAATTATTACCCCCGGATAAGCAATCCACCAATCGACTAACAAGCAGGTTCCTACCTACTGCTAGGTAAACAGAGCTGTGTGGAGTAAGGAAACTTGCCGAACGTTTCGCCCGGATGGGAATTGAACCCAGGTCTCTCGCTTACGAGGCGAGTGCTCTAACCACTGAGCTAAAGGACCTTAAAGAACAATGGTAAGTTCTACCTCAGCAGCCAGGTAATGTCCGGTAGCGAGATGTTTGAATCTGTAGAGGCTGTTCCAATGGCCAGCTCCTCCTCTGCAGGGATCATGATGGACAACCTTCAGGAAGAGAGAAAGAGAGAGAGAGCAATGTTATCATGAATCACGATTATAAGCTAAAGTTGAACATATGTTTGTTTTTCCTACCAACTCAGAAGTAAGTCATGGCCCTCAATGTTGCACAACTTCCTTCTAAGAATGACCGTGCTCAAAATAGGGGAGAGTTCCCATGCCTTATAACCAGAATGTGTGAGATAAACTGTACCAACAGTATTTAACACTGTGAAATGCCACTACATTGTATCTCACATATGAGTACTATCTGATCCTCATTCCATTGAGATCGGGGTCATGGCTTTGCTGTTCCTTATTTCTCTACTGTATAAAATATGACGTTCAGCCACCCTTCCTGGCAGCCCATTCCAGTCGTTAATCACCCACTAATTAGAGAAATAGTTCCTGGTGTCTGTCCTGCACTTGCCATCGCAACTCTATGTCTGTGCCATCTTGTTCTAATGTCTTGGTGCATATTGTTTTGAATCATGCTCTTATCTCACCTCAGGGGCTGGGGAACGTAATGCACTGCTCTCTCTGCACTGAGTGCTGCTTTGTGTGTGAGGAAGGTGTGTTAATTCTTCAGAGCAGGGGATGTTGTAATAATGTGTGTTCACGATGCAAAAGCCTTGAAAGAAATTATGTTGTAATATACTTTTGAGGCTGCCAGTCCTGTGGAATTTGCTCTGTTTATTTAATGGGATAGGTTCCAGAACACCAGGACAACACACAAGAAGGGCAATGTTGCTACACAGAAGGTGACTGCCCAAGTGGCACCAGCCAGGAACCACAAAGCGCTATGAGCTACGAACAAAGGTTACACAAGCTCAGGTTCTTCTGTCTTGAAGCCAGACGTCTCGCTGCGGATGCTTATAGAAGGGTATATAATTTTAAATGGGATTGAAAAAGTAAACCCCCCCCAAATCAAATGTAAAGATTGTTATTATAACAATATTTTCGATGCAACAATTCTGTAAAACAAAAGGACATAGGGTTTAGAATTGTAAAGGACAATTTCAGGACAGACACCGGGAAGTATTTGATTGTCCAGAGGGTAATTAATGATTGGACCAGGTTGCCCAGAAAGGTGTTTGAGGCCAGGACACTGGACTAGTTTAAAAAGCAGCTTGTTGCTATGATGGGAAGACAGTAGATTGTGTGTATTTGTGTGTCTGTGTATGCGTGTAGATCGTGTCAGTGGGTGGTCATATATATGTGTTGCCTGTATATGTGTGGGTGTCTGTATGTGTATGTGGTGTGTGTGTGTGGGTGTTGTGTGTGTGTTTACGCGTGCATGTATGTGTATGTGTACACATATGTGTGAAAGTGGATCAGGAATATCCTGAATATCTGGTTTTGTCAATCATACCACAAAGCAATTTTTGCGGCAATGCACACATGGAAACCTGGCTAAATATAGTCCTGTCAATCTTGTCTTTATAAGAATTTCCCTAGCTGCCAGCTTCCGCCACGAGCACTGAAGATGCAGAGGATAAACACCTCTTAAGGTGACAATTCCCACCTCCAAAGAGAGCCAAATCTTATTAACCAGGCAGACATTATACTCAGACAGTTCCGGTTGCTGCAACATAAAGGCCCAAGAGGTAGTTCAGAGGACAGCATCATCCCCAGTATTAAGAGTAATAATGAGCTACGACAACAATTGGTCTTGAGAGAATGTGTCTCAGAGGCGATCTTGTAGAGTGTATAATATTTAAATGGGATTGAAAATGTAAACTTAGAATAGTACTTTAGGATGCACCAAGACAGAAGAACAAGAGGACCCTAGTTTAAAATTGCAAGGGGGCAATTTCAAGACAGACAGCGGGAAGTTTCTCTTTACCCAGAGGGGCATTAACGACTGGAACAGGTTGTCAAGAAAGGTGGTTGAGGCCAGGACCCTGGACTCATTTAAAAAGCAGCTTGATGCCGTGTTGGGAGCACAGTAGGGTGGATATTCTGGCAAGATGAGATCAAATGTACCGTAAATGTAAATTCTTCATCCGAACCAATTTTATGATCTGGTGAGCTCCACAAGGCAAATCTGATGTGAGTTTTACACGCTTGATGTGAGAGCTGTATAAATCACTACTCGCATTTTATTTCTGATGAGTTACTTAGCCTGAAGCCTTTCATAAATCTTAATTATCGTGGACTGAGGTGTGACAACAGCAGGAAAAGAAATATTTCATTATGAGATGTTACCCTCCAGAAATGAACTTATTGTGTTTGTACTTGTTGCTCAAAATTCTTCTCAGAGATCCCAGCTGGATTGATCGAATTCTTGAGTAATAGTTTAACGCTTTAACACTGAGATCCGTTCAGCTTAGTATTGCATTAGGTTGTCACTGAGCCATACAGAGAAAGGCTAGCAAAATAAAATTAGTTTTTTTATTTCCTGGTTTTGTTCCTAGTGGCATTGCTTGGTACCATCCATACATGCGGGCGCACATGCACTCACACACACGCACACACACACACGCACACACACACACACACAGCGACAAGGCTTACAATACAGCATGACAAATGCACGTAAATCAAAGTAATCCTAGTTACCTCGACCTCCCACAGTGCATTGGAGCTGGTTGCCGAGGTGGCGGACTGCCGCAGCGTGGTGCGCAGGAAAACGTGCAGCTTCGACTTGTATTCGTCGCACGTGAGAAACTTCTCCTGCTCCGCATGGAACAAGCGAACCACGTCACCCTGGATGGGAAGAGCACAGAATAGTTAATGATAATATTAACAATAATCCTTGCATCTGATATAGCGCCTTATCGCGTCTTTGAGATGTCTCAAAGGGTTTCACACAATATATTGCGAAAGTGAACTAACTGAATATTTTGCGGGCGAAACGCGGTAGCAAATTATGCGCAGCAGTGTCCCACAAATTGTCGTGTTTTTAGTGACCAAATTATTATTATTAAGGGTTTATTAGCCCTGGAAAGCGATTCACCAACCGACTGACAACCGGGTTTCTTCATACTGCTAGGTAAACAGAGGCGAATGGAGTAAGGAAACTTGTCTAAGGTTTCGCCTTTCCCAGGAATCGAACCTGGGTCCTCTCATTTGGGAGGCGAGTGCTCTAATTACTACGCTATGTGACTCCACAGCAAATTAAGGCAGCTACAATAGGAAATCAATGGGCAGAGGACATAGGTTTTGAGTTGCAAGAATAATTTCAGGACAGAACCAAGAATTTTTTCCTTCACAACTGGAACAGGTTGTTACAAATGTTGGTTGAGGCCAGGACCTTGGACTCATTCTAAAAACAGCTTGACCCTGTGCTGGGAATACAGTAGGGTAGGTTTCTGGAGGGATAAGAGATAGGCCCAAGCAACTTCTTTCCTTTTTTATAATCCTGGCAATGATTATTTTTTAGCAAGAAATAGTTAAGTGGCCCTTTAATGCAATGGAGTTTCAATATCTTTAATATTGCGAATCAATTAGGAAGTATTGATCTGATACAGTGCCGGACTTGCATTCAGATAACTCTGTGGTATTGTGCTATTTACAATTATAATTATAAAATTCCTTACATTTCTTACAATGCCTTTCAGTTCAGACATCTCAAAGCATTTCACAGGAACACTTTGAGATGTCCGGCAGCCAGTTTGCACGCAGCAATGTCCCACAAACAGCCATGAGGGGGAATGACCGATTTTATCTGGGGGACACCCGGAAAAACTCCCTTCTCTTTCATTTCAAACACTGCTATTGGATGTTTAACTTCCACCTGAACTGGCAGATGAGACCTCGGTTTAACATCTCATCTGCAAGATGACATATCCAACAATGCCGCACAGCAGCACTGTTTTGGTGTGTCCGTCTCAGTTAAGCCACTGAAACACAAGTGGCACTAAAATATGGCTTTGCTTAATGCATTGGTCCTGCCGCGATGTGACCATTATTAAGACTTCACACAACACAGCGTCTCATACCCCCTTCAAAACATCTTCCATGTAGTCTCTGTACTTCATGTATAGGTTTATCTTCCAGCTTGTGTTGCAGTTCACAGAGTTTACCTGTCGGAATTTGAAAAACAAAATGTTATCACTGAAGAGAGTGAGACTGAGAAAAGCTTCAAAGAAAATCAATGCCACAATAATCCATTTTTGCTGACTGGAAACTGCCATCAGTATCCAAATCTTCCAAAGCAATCTAGTTTACATCAGTTTGCATTGGGTGGTAAGACCAGAAGTGGGTCAGTCAGCCCATTAAACCTCTTCTGTCAGTTTAGAAGATCTTTTCATCCTATTTCCTGCTGTCTTTTCCCCATTCCTTTTCTACATTGCTTCACAAGTCTGTCTGACTGTCTGTCCGACCTGCTAACCCCTTCTCAACCTGTCCGCTCCCTCCGCTCAGCAGGCTCCTGCCTGCTCCATGTCCCCCGCCCGGTCCGCCCAACCATCATCAGTCGGGGCTTCAGCCTCTCTGGCCCCACCCTCTGGCCCCACCATCCCACATTCCCTTTCGCCTCACTCCCTCCCTTGCCTCCTTCAAGGCACATCTCAAGATCCTCATCTTCAATCGTGCCTTCAGCTACCCTCCTACCCTCTCTGCTCTCCACCCTCCCTGATCCCAACCCGCGCCCCCACCCCCCACCCCCGCCTCGGATCCTAATCCCTGATTGTTCAACAATTTGGGATGTCCTTCCAACATGAAAGGTGCTTTACAAATTTTGTATTGTATGTATGTATGTATGTATGTGTGTGTGTGTGTGTGTGTGGGGGGGGGGGGGGTATGAATGTAATACATGCATGTATGTATGCTTGTATGTATATATGCATGTATTTCAGAAAAGGGAAATGTCTATGCATATGTGGATCTCATAACCACTCAATTGGTTCCACTTGTCTCAGGTACTAATGACAAAAAAATCTCTTGCTTTCAAATTTATGCACTCTCTTTCCTTTACATTCTACCTTTCTGTTGTCTCTCTCTCTGTGATATTCTCTTCCGCCTGTTGAAACTCTTACCTCTTGACATCCTGGATTATCAAGCAGCTCGTAATTACTTGCGTGTAGCGGTTGCCCAGCATTGACAGGATTTAAAATCACTTTGTCCCCAACAACCACCTGAAATAATAACAATAATAATAATAATAACCCTTGCATTTGATATAGCACCTTATCATGTCATTGGGAGATCTCAGAGCAGTTCAGGTGACCTGACCAGGGGAAGTCGGCCATTTTCCTGCACTTTGCATATAAAACAATCAGCGAGACACTGGACCCAGCCAACCTTGTTATAATGAGGTTTATCCTGTACTAATCAAGATGCAGTCCTGCCATTAAATGGCATCTGATCTCAAACAACACAACACTAAATGATTTACATAGCTCTGGAAAGCGGGGGCAGAATGGCTCAATGCCCAAATTGCCAATATCTGTCTATCTTTTACCTCGATTGATTTCAACAGCAGTGAGTTTTATGGGCTTCCCCATTAGAAACACGTGTCGGAAAGATTACAACGCAAGTGTGAGCTAGCAGAAACCCTTAGCTGTGTACTTACATTGTCCCCATTGCTTCTCAGCTTCCAAAAGGGCTGAATGAATAACCAAGAACCTTCGTTCCCTGTGGTGTCCAGAGTGACTCTCATGGCATTTTTCTCCAACAGAGCCGGTAGCCTCTTGTTCACAGTCAGGTACTTATTGCTTTTCATGTGCAGCAACTGAAAAAACAAACACAAATACGTACAGGGTGAGGCCCGAGAGATGTGCAAAATACTTATTTGCAAAGAAGAATATTTCGACATTTTATCATTGAAAAAAATAATCCTTGCATTTGATATAGCACCTGATCAGGTCATTGAGACCTCACAATGCGCTTCACAGAATATACTGTAAAGTGGATCAACTGTGTATTTGTGGGCGAAAGATGGTAGCCAATTGCGCACAACAGTGGCCCACAATAGGCGCGAATGACCACATTATTTGGAGGGATTATTACCCCTGGAATGCGATCTGCCAATCGACTAACAACTGAGTTGCTACTTACTGCTAGGTAAACAGAGATGTGTGGAGTAAGTAAAATGTAATGCGATGTGATATTTAGGATCAGTGATGTCAACTTAACTCCCAGGCTCATGGAGTGAAGGTGGGGTAATAATTCTTTCCTTCAAAATAAATTGGTCACAATCCATGACTGTGGGATACTGCAGACCTGATATTATCCCCTGTATCACATTATAGCGGGTGCTGCATTAAATGAGTTGGTTCAACATTGATTACTGATTGTACTTTGAGAGTGAAAGGTGTCATCAGTTAATGGAAAGAAAGGATTATGCAAAATGCAAAATACTGCAGATGCTGGAAATCTGAAACAAAAACAGAAATCACTGGGAACACTCAGCAGGTCAGGCAGCATCTATGGAGAAAGGAAAGTGAGTCAATGTTTCACGTCCACGACTCTTAGTCACAACTGGGACATGTTGGGAGGGAGGGAGAGGCTTTTAAGGCCTAACAGAGAGGGGAGAAGCAGGGCAAGGAAGACAACGGAGAAAATGGGGTAGAAGACAAGAGATGTTGGGCTCAGGGGGTGTTGATGATGCAAAACAAAGGATCAAGCATCTGAATAAAAGATGCATTTGACAGTAAGCCATGTCCCAGTGTATTGTAGCAGGCTATAACAGAGCAAGTAGCAGTGCTGATCAGAGCTGCTGCTTATCTAAATATAGCCCATCTGTTGTTATTTCACGATTGGGTCCAAGAGTTACAGCATAAACCAAACGGCAGCTCTGCTATCTCTCTGATCAGCTGAACTGAAAAGTTTCAGAAAGAGTTCTGTGGGTGGCTTTGTCACATCCTCTCAAGAGGTTTCTGTGCGTGTCATAAGCAAAAGTGCCATATTCACGTCCAGTGAGTAAACACACCAATCGCCGAACTCCATTTATAAATAAACCCCTGTGGTCTGAACCTGACGTTTTACCAATGCAAATATTTTCCTCCAAAGCCAATGAATCAAAAATATCACTTCATTTGTGTAGCTGCTACTTTATTTGCATATTATGAGGAAGCAACCGGTTTGGTAGGTGTGCAAGGATGAGCTCTGCGTGTCCACAATGAAAACTAGATCAATTCCTTTCCCCCTCTCCTCTCCTCTTCTCCCCTTGCACCTACCAGATGACAAGCATGTCGAGTCATCTTTTGTGTGAATTGAAAGTGGACCTCTGTAAAGGTGTTGGTCTTAGAAAGGGCAACAGCCACACAGTTCCTCTTATCACTAGTTACAGCACACTGAGGCTCATTTTAGTGATCAGTGAGGAACTTCTGCTGAGTTCAGGCTAAAAGTTAGTCTGAGCGTAAGAAAGCAAAAGGTGTTTTGACATTGACTAAAGAGATTGACAGACTTCAGCAGTGTCAGTTTGGCTCAGTAGAAGCAGTCTCGCCTCTGAATCAGGAGATCTGTGTCGGGACTTGGAAATAATAATAATAATAATCCTTGCATTTGATATAGCGCTTTTCACGTGTTCTACACGTGACAGAATGTACTGTAAAGTGAATTGACTGTATATCTGTGGACGAAACTCGGCAGCCAACTCCGCACAGCAGTGTCCCACAAACAATGGTGGATTGAAGCGATCAATTTATTATTGGGTTTTTATTCTTGAGGAATTATTATCAGGCGTGTGGAGTAAGGAAACTTGCCCAAGGTTTCGCCCTACCAGGAATCAAACCTAGGTCTATCGCTTGCGAGGTGAGTGCTCTAAGCTAGGAATTAGCTAGGACTCCACACGACAGTGTGGAAAAGAAACAGCTTGCCAGGACACAGCACAAGGAAACTTTCCACTGCTTAGCCGCACTGTCTAAACTGACACTCCAATGCAGTACTGGGATTGAGTTGCATTGGCGGAGATGGCCTCCTTCGGATGAGAAGTTAAACCGAGGTCTCATCTGCCTGAACAGGCAGACGTTAAAGATCCTGTGACACGGTTCGATAAGAGAAGGGAGTTTCTCCCGGTGCCAACAACTGCCCCAAACAAAAATTGCTAATTCCTTTCAAGGCTGTTTGTGCGACATTGTTATGCTCAACTGCGCTACCACTTTGGCCTACACAATGATTTCACAGTAAATCCAGTGAAGCGCTTTGAGATGTCCTTCTGACGTGAGAAGGCACTGTACCAAATACAAGGATTATTATTACTTGCTTTTCATGACCTTTCCGTGAGTCAGAGAAATAAAGTCGCATACACCTATGCTATTTTTATTAGACACACGTCTGATTTCATGACTCTATTAAGAGATCTATGGAGTAATCAACCACATTGTCATACCGCAGGTGAACTTGAGTTTACCTGTTGATAGCTTGAGGGGGAAATGCAGCTCTCAGTATTGATAGGGAGACAAGTCTGTTGGACCAATTACTGGGTGGCGTATCAGCTTTAAAATGCATTGTTATTACCTCCACGTCCTGTAAGTGCATTTTGTGTTGAAGAGTGAATGATAAGTCTCAGTAATGGACCCTGTCTGATCAGTATTAGTACTAGCTCTGCGAAAAAAATTTTAAGCATGAATAAAGGTGTGGAAATAATCCTTGCATTTGACATAGCGCCTTATCGTGGCTTCGAGATATCTCAAAGCGCTTCACAGAATATACTGTAAAGTGAATTGACTGTATATTTTGTGGCCGAAACGCGGCAGCCAATTGTACACAGCAGCGTCCCACAAACAGTCGTGGATTGTTTTTAGAAACTATATACACATACAGAGCAAAAGTATGCACGCAATCTGTGGCCTATGCGTAAGTAAGGATGAAACAGTAAGGGAGTAATGCATGCGTGCAGAGGTTCTGATGATAACAAGACAATTCACGGTAGATTAAATGGAGGATGAGGAAAGAACGGATGCCAGATGCAAAGGGATGTCAAGGTCAAGAGTATAGGAAAAGGTTGCAAATGGTATTGGTAACATTAAATAGCAATGAGATGAATAACCAAATGCAATATTATTGATGGGTAAGGGTTGGGTTGAGGTCGGTGATATTGCAGGTGGGAGTAATGCAAATTGCAAACAAACATCAACCAGACTCAGTTGGTAGCACTCTTGCCTCTGAGTCAGAAAGCTGTGGGTTCAAGCCCCACACTAGGTCTTTGAGCTCACAATCCAGGCTGACACTCCAACACAGTGTTGAGGGAGTGCTGTATTTTTGGAGATGCTGTCCTTCAGATAGAGCTGTTAAAACTAAGGACTCACCTGCCTGTTCAGGTGGACGTTAAAAATATTGTCAAGTAACTATTTACCTGAAGCAATAGGTACATACCTGCACGACACTCCCATATTTTATCACATCGCCGTGTACTTTTTTATTCTCTGTCTCATTCTGCTTCTGCTCCAGCTCAGCTGCATGCTATGATAAAGAACAAGGCGAAAAGAAAGCTGTTTAAACAGTCCAACATCAATTAAACTGACAGTTGTTAACATTCTTGCCTGTGAATCAGAGGTTGTGGATTCAAGCAAAATGTCATGACTTTGAGCTAATTTGTACACTTGAATACAGTGGACGGTGATTGCTGAAGGTGTTGTCCTTCGAATGACTTGGCAAAGTGAGCTCCTTTCTGCATTTTCAGGTGGATGCCAAAGATCCCATTGATCCCAGTTGAGAAAAAGAAGGCAGTTTGTCCCAGTGTCCTGATCAACAATTGCCCAGATAAAATTGGTCATTCACTTGACAGCCCTTGGTGGGACATTGCTATGTAGAAAAATAGCTGGCGTGTTCACTTACAAAATACACAGCCACTACAGTTACAGTAAATCCTGCAAATCACCTCGAGACAGCCTTCTGTCATGAAAGACGCAATATCAATTGCAAGGAATACTATTCTAATAAATGTTTGGGATTTGGAGTGATTGGAGGTGACTTGGACACCAAGATCTTTGAAGCGCTTTGAGACGTCCTGGAAGACGTGATAAAACGCTATATCAAATGCAAAGATTATTATTATTATTATAAGGTAATATTTGCGGTGTCCTTTAATGTTTTCTTTGTGCCAAGTAAGGAACAGCTCAAACTATACCCCTCTGTTTCTTTCTTACCCTCGTTACAATAATCCTTGCATTTGATATAGCGCTTTTCACGTCTTCTAGACGTCTCAAAGCGCTTCACAGAATATTTATGGGCGAAACGCTACCCTACAATACAAATCCATGACCTGCAATTTTCCTTTCTACTTTGACAATCTATCTTCTGGAGTTCTGAGCCAGAGGCCCAGTTCTGCTTGACTGACTTGTGTCACTATATTTTGTCCGTGGAACAAGTTCCATTCAAGGATTTATGTCATTTGTTTCACATGACTCATTTCTTTTTCCACGGGATTAGAGACCAACGTTGGGTGTGAGTCACTGGAAACATCAATGAATTGCAGAAGGAAAATAAGTTTAACTGCACGATGTAACTGCTGATAGAGATGTATGCTTCAGCTAGCAATTATTCTAATAATAGTCCTTGCCTTCAATACAGCGCTTTTCAACAACAACAACTTGCACTTATCTAGTGCCCTCCACACAGAGTAGCGTCTCAGAGCGCTTAAAAGTGGCGGAACCTGACTCCGAGCCGGGGGGGGGGGGGGAGGGAAGAGGAAAGTTTTCAGGCAGGACTTGAAAGAGGGGCGAGAGGGGGCAAGGTGGAGGGATTGAGGGAGAGTGTTCCAGGGTTTGGGGGCGTAGTGGCTGGAATAAATGAAATAAAAACTTTCATGACTGGAGCACACCTCAAGGCACTTCACTGGATTCACTCTAAAGTTTACTAACTATTTTGTAGGTAACTAGCTGCCACATGCTCAGGGTGTATATATGTATATCAAATTTACATATAAATAAAGCTCAGATAAAGGACCAATTCCCTCGTCAATACCAGATGGGCCCATTCCCAAATATCACCTCTGTGGACACAATCCACTTTATTGGAGTCATTAAATGAGCCTGTATTGTGCTAGACATGTCACTTGTTACCCGATGTGCTCTGCCAAGGGAACATCATCCCCACCCTTTAATTCAAGTCATGTTATCGCTTTCTGTTTACCACAGATGAGCATGTGATCTGCTTTAACTGTAGATGTCACCCTGGCCTTCCTATCTAAGGAGTCATCTGTTGGGGGGTGGGGGTAGGTCGAGGGGCAGACGATATTGCTGGCAACTTATTGGCACAACTTTCCATTTATGTAGATCATTATTTTCCTTGCAAAAGCACCACAGCATCACAAAAATGCTACGGTCTCCCCCTGTGCATTGCATCGACATGACAAATGTGATGCTCAGCTGTTCCTGGTTTGTTGTCTTGCCCCACAACAACGTATGTTCCCCCCTATTCACAAAGCTACATTTGCTGTCCATCTCAGGTGTGTCAATTAGTATTCTGTCGTAGGGACTTAGCCACGCTTCACAGGATTTACTGTGGTGTAGTGACTGTGGCAGCTAACATGCGTACAGCATCAAGCCCTACTGTTCTCCCGCCCGACCCCCCCTACCATCGGTGTTGTTGTTGTTGTAAGGTGGGAGAGAAAAACACTGTTTACAAGATGGAAACTTAAATATTCCCCACCACAAATTTATTACAACAACAACTTGCATTTATATCGCGCCCTTCATGCAGGGTAGCATCTAGGAGAGCTTAACAGTGGCAGAACTTAACGCCAAGCAAGGGAGAAGGGGGAGGGAAGTGGCCGTTGGCATGGTAAGGTTCGCTGCAAAATACAGTCACATCTGAAGATGGGTAAAGAGGACAAAGGGATTGAGGTACAGTTACATGGTTTTGGTGTGTAGAGGCTTAGGACCCAGTGTCTTGCAACTACAGCCAAGGTGCAATAAGTCCACTGGGATCTATCAACGTCCTTCACTTGTTAAACCTATTAGCTTTTTCCTGCCTTAAAACGTTTTGTGTTCTTAAATCAGTCTCCCATTGTTCTCCCGTCATTTGTAACAGGAAACAGGAAAGCAGTTATTGGTAAGCCGCCCAGAGCATTCACAAATAAACGTGTGGCAGGGCATGTAGGGTTTGTCAATCCAGATCCTGCATTTTTTGTTCTGCGAGTCATTGGATATTAATGCGACCAAAGCAAATACGGCCAAACAAATATGGTCATCAGGTCACCGTCAACATCACTTCCCGTTGGCTGAGTGTACAGGAAGTGAGCAAACCAGCTGTGCTGCAGGTGTCCACAGTGTAACCATGTTATCCTGATTTCAATTAGCGAATAGAGGAGTATGGGAAAGGGGGAAAGGGGACAAAGGGGTGGGTGGGAGGTTCATGTGGAGTATAAACACTTGGCATGGACTGGTTGGGCCGAATGGCCTGCTAATCGCTCCGAGATGCCGTCCGGAGTGAAGGGCGCTATAAAAACATACGTTGTTGTTGTTTCCATGCCATTTCATCCCATGTAGTTTCTTTGAAATTGAGTCATCGAGAAGCACATTATAATAGTTTGGCTCCAAATAATAAATTTGACTGAACTTAGTAAAAAAGAAAGCTGCTGATCAGTTTTGGAGCACAAGCTGGAAGTTGGCTTACACCTGTGACATCCCTTTTGCCCACCACACAGGAAGGAAACAATCACACGCTGCAAATTTGGCATAACTGTGCTATTTCAACAATGAACCCGGGCACTCAATCCATATTCATCTAAATTGCTCAATCATTTGGACTCAGGAAGAACTAAAACTGGTTTTAATCTTGATTGTTACAAGATTAAAAGTCCTGGTTGCAATACAATCTTAATAAGATTGTTTCCTACAGTTGGATTTCGCTTTTAATAGCAATGTAAGTTGTTAACCTGCACTGACTGAGGGTTGTCCCAGCTGGACAAGCAGTGGGAAGCTTTGGCCAACAGTGCTCGCCATGGCAAGCTATGAGATTTTAGCTGGTTGAACTCCAATTGTAAGTATGGTGATGGATTTCTGCATGAATCAGATACTCTGCTGACTCCCCCAAAAGTGACTGGTACAAAAATATAGTGATCAATTTTGCGCTATTTCTTAACAGGGTTTCTTAATGTAGCAAAACGGGCGGGGGTAGAATTTTGACCTGTGCCTCCAAACTGCACACTATATTTCTAATTCCCATTCACACCGAGACCAGATAAGTACAAAGAAACTGACACTTTCTAGGCTTTTCAGACTTCCCCCAGCGTGTAAACTGATGTGCAAAACTTGAAACGTTTTCTTGAGATCTTCTTGTTTTCAAGTCTAAACATTGTTGTACCCTTTGTAAGGCAATATTGCTAGATCTGAATTGGTTCAATCATGAGTTTCCAGTCCTCCTGGTTTGTTATCTGCTTGAGATGGGTGTGTAATGAATGGTTCCTTAAAGGCATGCAGTAAATGTAGAAGTACATTTTAGTGGTTTTTACTCCAAGTCCATTAAAGGGAACAAATGATCAAATTTCTTTGCGATGGAAAAAAGGTCCCGATTTAAGAGACTTACTGCAAAGCTTACCTGTAACTTCTGTAAAAGTGCTGCATCAGAAATTTTATCTTTGTCTTGCTTTGCCTGTTTGGCTTTCCAATATTGCTTTTGCGCAGAGTAGCGGTTCATAGGACATACTTTGAAAAGGCAATCTGTAACACAAAGCGGTTTGAGGTTCAATAAACTTATTATCCAATCAATGATAATAATCATCCTTGCATTTGATATAGCACCTTCCACATCAGGAGGACATCTCAAAGCGCTTCACAGGATTTACTGTGAAGTGTAGCGACTGTGCCTATCGGCCTTCCCAACTCTTCCTTCCACAAGCTGCAGATCATTCAGAACTCTGCAGCTTGTGTTCCTTCTGTGACCCTATCACCCCCATCCTTGCCCGGCTCCTCCCAGATGACAGAGTTCAAAATCTTCATCATCGCCTTCAAAGCCATCCATGGCCTTGCTCCTTCCTACCTCTGTGACCTGCTAAAGCCATGTCAACCCTTCACTTAGCAGGCTCCACAATTTTCCGCCCGGCCCGCCCCACTATCGGCGGTCGGGCCTTCAGCCTCTTTGCCCCCACAACTTGGAACTCCATCCCACAGTCCCTTTGCCATGCCCTCTCCCTTGCCTCCTTCAAGTAAAGTCTTAAGACCCTCCTCTTCAACCATGCCTTCAGTCATTCTCCTATTTCTACCCTCCCTGCCCTCCACCCCTCCTGATACCAATCCCCTGCTCGGGTCCAAATCCCTTACTGTCCATCGCCTTGGGATGTCCTCCCGATGTGAAAGGTGCTACACAAATGTAATTTGTTGTTGTTGTTGTGCATTTTGCAAGCGAAGGTAGGAGCCAATTTGCACACAGCAATGTCCCACAAACAGCTAAGAAGCGAGCGGCCAATCTTATTTGAGGGATTTGGGTGAGCAAGTCCCTTCTGTTTTCGAATAATGCCAAGGGTTTCAGAGAATCGAACCCACAATCTTCTGCCTCAGAGGTGAAAGTGATAATAATAATAATAATAATAATAATAATAATCCTTGCATTTGATATAGTGCTTTTCACGTCGGGAGGACGTCCCAAAGCGCTTCACAGAACACACTGTAAAGTGAATTGACTGTATATTTGTGGGCGAACGCGGCAGCCAATTGCGCACAGCAATGTCCCACAAACAGTCGTAGATTGAAAATGACCAATTTATTATTGTTTTGTTTTGGAGGGATTATTATTAGGTGTGTGGAGTAAGGAAACTTGCCCAAGGTTTCGCCCTGACCTGCCTGGAATTGAACTCAGGTCTCTCGCTTACAAAGCGAGTGCTCTAACCACTGAGCTACATGACTCCGCAAGGTTAATACTGCCAAGTAGAGATTGGTTCCTTGTAAGAGATATTTGGATTTTTTTAACACGTCTTGAAATCTTCACTTTAAACTACTTTTCGTGGCATTACATTACATGAACGATATGAACTGAGTATTGATCAACATTCACTCTCTTAGAAGTCTTTTCAGTGTTATTAAACAAACCTCAATGTTTATTCGGGAGGGACAAATACTATTGAGGATTTTATACGTGCTCAACTTTGAACAATGGGTGTGCTATTTATTTAACCACATCCAAACCCAGCTGCGCCTACTGTTAATTTTGTATTGTAAAACTTTTAGGCCAATTGCTATCAGCGACATCTTTCAACTTGGACAAGGAGTCCAAAAAGGAACTAAGAACAGACGGCATCCAATGCTTAATGTTTGAACAAATATTACTTTTAATGAATAAACAATCTGGGCCCTGGCGACTACTTTGGACTATTGTCTGCATGTGAATGCTCTACACTTTGAGCATATGCCAATGGCTCAGACCTACCCCCACTGGACTATTCCAACAGAGGAAGAGATACAATTGACGTTTGAACAGTTTGGAGCAGTTCAACTGTTGTAAACGGTCCCCCCAACTCCGTAATCTGTTTTCTAATTTCTTCTCTTCTGTTTCTACAGTTGCACCATCAGAAGAGCACTACTCTCTGCTGTGGATAGCAGGACCTAACCTGGCTTCAAGCGCAGGTATGATGCTCTACATTGGCCACCACTGGGTACATTTAATTTAATTTAATTTAATGCAGCCGGTAAGTGTGCATGTGGTACCTCGTCATTGGAGCCGGTAAGTGTGCATGTGGTGACGAGTCAAGGCTACGTTTCCTGATTTCAGTGCATCTTACCCGTTGGAGCATGCCCACTTACCAGCAAGCATTGAATCGCAGGAAATGGAAGTTCTTTTGCGCATCAGGCAATGGTTCAAGACTATGTTTCCCGCGATTCATTGCAGCTGGCCGGTAAGTGCACATGGTTGTGGAGTCCTGTAGCTCAGTGGTTAGAGCACTCGCTTTGCAAGTGAGAGACCTGAGTTCAATTCCAGTCAGGGTGAAACCTTGGGCAAGTTTCCTTACTCCACACGCCTAATAATAATCCCTCCAAAAAAACCAAAATAATAATAAATTGGTCATTTTCAATCTACGACTGTTTGTGGGACATTGCTGTGCGCAATTGGCTGCCGCGTTCGCCCACAAATATACAGTCAATTCACTTTACAGTGTGTTCTGTGAAGCGCTTTGGGACGTCCTCCCGACGTGAAAAGCGCTATATCAAATGCAAGGATTATTATTATTATTATTATTACATGTGGACTCAGTTAGACAGCCTTGTCCTTGAATGCTTTCTCCCCTTGCTCAGAAGAACAAACCTGCACTAGTTTGATTGAGATCAGGACATCACTGTGTGAGACACCGCCCTAATACAGCATGGTATGATGCAACTACAACAACTTCAACAATAATTCACATTTATAAAGTAGGATAAAGTCTCAGAGAGCTTCGGAGGGATGTGTTCGATGCCAAGAAAGGAGCAGAGGGAGGGAGAAAATAGATGGGATTTAATGACAAATGAAAAGAATATGAGACAGAAGGATAGAGAATGGGGGTTCCAAAGGGTGGTCACTCCTGTTTTTGAATAACTTTCATCCATTTTTAGTTTACTGCTCTGTATTTTTGACTCGGTACAAACAATAATAATAATCCTTGCATTTGATAGAGCGCCTTATGATGTCTCTGAGACGTCTGAAAGCCCCTTTCACAGAATATAGTCTAAAGTGAATTGCGACTGAATATTTTGTCTTTAATAAACAGGATATCCTAACATACGATATCTGTGAATCTTTTTTTTGCGCACTTCTTTGTAACACTTAATGTCTAATTTGCTGCAGTTAAGATTTGGATTAGTGGTGAAGGGTCTAATTACTGATCGTGGAATGATACTGTGAAGACTTCTTGAGATGCAGAAAAGGAAAATGAAAATATCGATCTTAGTACCTGACTTATATTTAATCTTTCGATATAAGCTATAAGAACAACTTGCAATCGTCAAATACAACAAGAAAAGCACCGAGGAAAGAGGACTGCAAGACTATGAATTACTGTTGCAGCCTAAAGCACAAATATTGTTATTTTAAAACACGCATTTCAAATGTTTCAAATGTCACCCAACTAGTTTCAATAGAATACATTTCAACATGTTAAGGAACACATAAACTGGAAAAACAATGGTGTACACGATTCTGAGGTTTACAAGGTTTCACAGCCCTCAGCAAAAATGTCGAAGTTTATTCGGTTCCTAAAAGTGCCTATTTGTCAACTTGCTACGCGAACTATATTTAGTCGGTTGGTCACTGGCTTAGCACACTACTAATTTGTTTTACAGGATCTCTGTCTAAATAATAACAATACAGTCAATTCACTTTACAGTACATTCTGTGAAGCGTTTTGAGACGTCTCGAAGACGTGATAAGGCGCTACATCAAATGCAAGGATTAAAATTACTACTATTATTCGGGGAGAGGTTATTGGCCAGGACACAAAGAGAAACTCTTTTCTTCTCTTTTTCAAAAAGTACCATGAATGTAGTAATCTTTGATGTCTGATCTCAGTTTCTCTAACGTCTCCTCTGAAACAGCAGCTCCGACAATGCAATGCAGCAAACCCCTCCACCCCCCCACACGGCATTGGAGAGTCAGCCAAGACTATGTGATTTCAAAGTCATGCAGGGCTTGAAGATCCTCAAGATCCTCATCCTCACCTACAAGGCCATTCACGGCCTCGCTCCCTCCTACCTCTCCGACCTACTATCCCCCTACCTACCTGCCCGTACCCTCCGTTCCTCTGGCTCCAGTCTGCTCCACGTCCCCCGCCCCAACCGCCCTACCATCGGTGGTCGGGCCTTCAGCCTCTCAGCCCCGAGGCTCTGGAACTCTATCCCCCAGTGCCTTCGCCACCTCCTCCCTTTCCTCCTTCAAGGCCGGTCTCAAGACCTTTCTCTTTGACCGTGCCTTCAGCTCCCCTCTCGACTCTCTACCCTCTCCTCACTCCCTCCCTTCCCTCCCCTCACCCTGACCATTTCCCCCCAATGCTCGGGTCCTGACCCAACTGTCCAGCGCCTTGGGACGTCCTCCCAACGTGAAAGGCGCTCTATAAATGGAATCTTGTTGTTGTTGTTGTTGTTGTTGTTGAACTCACAACCTTCTTGTATCTCAGTGCTACCAACGGAGCCAGACTGACATCTACAGAGCTAGGGGGTTATGATAGACCGAAAGAGCACGTTCACTGCAGAGTTATTCAAACTTTAGTTTGAAGTTGATTCCATGGCATTTCTTGGAATTGTACCAAGATTTCACGATTCCTTCCAAACCAGCTTTAAAAAGTTGGGATATGACATGTTTTTTTTACAGTGCTTGCGGAATGACTGGGAGTACCCAACCTGTAAGGCCTCCCTTGTCCAGACATGAAACAGAGAAGGTGTTTGAGAATGCCAAAGTACCTCCACAACAAAATTACCTGGAAAAGGCTTATTTTTTAGGCTTTGATATATACATATGTTTTGAGTTAGCTTAGCCTTACCTATATTCACAATACGGATATTTCCAAAAAACATGTCAAATCCCAACTTTTTTAAAACCAAAAGAGAATCGTGAAACCTTTTACGGAAACTTTGCCCCCTTTTTTTTTTAATGCTGTACTATTTTTTGATGGAATGCCTCCATCCTTGAACGAGTGTGTCAGAAAGAACTTGTTTTCCTACAACAAAACAACGCACATACTTCACAGCAAAAATCCTGT